AAAAAAGAAAACTATTTATTATTTAAATAGTTTATTTTAATAGTCTTAAGGATAAAACTATTAAAAAAAGAGTATTATATTATAAATATTAAAAGATATATAAATAAGGTTAAATAAAGTAGAATAAGGCTTATTATACTAGCTACTAAAAGGATAAAAGGTTATATAACCTCTTTAGGATTAAAGACTTAAGTTATTAAGCTATTAATCTAAGAATAGGATCTAAAGGATTAAAAGTTAAACCTTTTAATCTAGAGTTATAGTAGAGAGGTAGATAAGTACTTAAGGAGGAGGTATTCTTATAGTTAAATAGTCTAAATCTCTACTAATTAATCTAAGTAATAGTTCTACTATTAGGAGATATCTTCTAATATAACTTATACTATAATAACTATTTATATATACTTTATATATTTAAACTAACTCTCTACTTAAAAAGTAAACTAACTATAGATTAGGATTAAGCTAGTATTATATTTTAATTAGTCCTATTAGTCTAGTATAATCTCCTATATTATTAGTATATCTAGTCTATTTATAGAGTAGAAAGTTAATCTAATATTATTATTATTATAGATATTCTATAAAAGGATCTTTATTTATTTATTTAGACTAGACTAGTATAAAGGTATTCTAAAGTAGTATTATAGTTACTTAAATTAGAGGGGGGGGGGGGATTATATTTATTAATAGTATAGTTAGTCTTTAGAGTAATTAAAACCTTATAATTAAAGTAATAAGTCTTAAGACTAGATTAAAGGTAAGTATATTTTAGTATATAATCTATATTAAGTTAAATTACTTAATAGTGTTTTAGTTTTAATTATATTTAAAGTTAAGTATATTTATTTAGTAGAGGAAGAGTCTCTTAGTAGACTTAGTACTAAGTAGGTAGTCTTTTAGTTATAGACTATTTATAGTCCTCTTCTTTAAAGAAGAGACTCTAAGTAACTATAAAGCTCTATTATTAATAGTATTATATATTTTAAAGTAAGTAAAGTAGTATTAATATACTTTATTAACTCTTACTTAGTTCTACTCTATAATAAAGTAGGCCTAAGTTTATACTAAGTAACCTTTTGTAACGGTGGCTCTTCTCTAATCCACAGTAAATCTGTTTCTTAGGAAGTGAGTCAGGTTGAATGCACCACAGGTGCAGATGAGCAGTATCGTAGCTTGAGTCACGTTTAGGAGATTACTCCCAATAGTAGAACTATTGCTTAGATTGATCAGTAGAGATCTAGACTACCTAGCTATGGGAATACCTCCTCCTTAAGTACTTGTCTATCCCTCTACTGTAACTCTGGATCGGAAGGCTCGACCTTCGATCCCCTAGATCCTATTCCTGGATCGATGGCTCGATGGCTCGAGTCCTCGATCCCGGGGAGATCACGTGATCTCCTGTCTTTTTGGTGGCTAGTGTGACAAGCCTTCGCCTTGCCTCTCTCAGCCCCGCCTGCACGTCCTGCAGCATTCGTAACACCTTTATTATAGTTTAAATATCTTTCTTTAGTAAAGTCTTCTTAGACTAAGTAGTTTTTACTATTATTATAAGTATAGTATATATACTAACTATATTACTTATTATTAGTATAGAATTTCTTAATATAATTAAATCTATAGTACTAAAAGTACTATAAGGGCTATACTATCTTTATATAGAGTTTATATTAGAATACTTAAGAGTTAAAGTATACTCTTTTCTTATAGAGTTAGTTTATTATTTCTATATTATATATACTAATAACTAGTAATACTTTTATTCTAACTCTAGTTTAAAGACACTACTTTAGTAGAGACTATTTCTACTTTATTAAATACTAATAGTATATTTATTAGTCCTAAAGTGTCTTAAAGGATCTCCTTTATTAGTATTACTTTAACCACTATAGTATATATATAGTAGACTATTATTACTTTTATACTAAATATTATTTTTACTTACTAATTATCTTTAGTATATTCTTTTATACTATTATAGAATAAAAGGATAATATCCTCTAATAGGAGCTACTATATAGCCACTATAGTATTAGTCTAGAGGGCCTTATTAACTACTATTATTACCTTTAGTAGTAACTTATTCTTTACTTTTTAAGTATAGTCTTTAGTATTAACTACTAACTCTTTATTATATTATACTAGTACTAGCTTAGTGGATAGAGTTAACTATATTTAGTCTACTATTATATTAGTATAAGACTAAGGCTAATAGTAGTTTCTATACTTTTCCTTATTTTTTATTAGTAAAGTAATAATAGGCAAATATTATTACAGCCCGTCGCTAAATCCATGCAAAGAGTGCGAAACAAGTAATTTTGCAACGACAGCATTCCCGCTCGTTACTCCACTGTTGCAGATCTGTAGGAAGCAACTCGCGCCTTCGAGAAGTTGGAAGCATCTCTGCATTGGACAGGTTGGTTGGTCCCCGGACCACTACTGAAAGATCAGGAGATCAATTCGGCGACCTCTATTGACCACGATGTTTATCTACCTTTACAATCAGTCATAGTTAGGACATATTGCTTGACCAACCGACTTTTCCGATAGCCGTTTTTATCTGGTTATGTGAACTCTATGGCTACTCTATCTTCTTAACTCTATAGTACCGTAGTGTGCATACAGATGAGAGGTTTGGCCCAGAGCTGTTATGACCAGAGATTTGAGTATAACACAGTTTTATTGTAGCTATAGGCAGTGTGAAAATACCGCGTGCCGTTTGCGCCGCTGAAATCAAGCCATTGACCGGTAAATTAGAAGTTGGCTTAGTGACGACCAGCGAACACCAGCGAACACCAGCTGCTGTACGTTCCTTTTCTCTTTTTCTGGCTTAATACTTTTCACTCAATTTTCTCTAAAACAATTTGTCTATATTATCATTTATTTAAGCTGCTCGATCGGCAGCCAATGACCCAGGGTGGCGTGACTTGTTAGTTACCATGATGACAAACTAATGGCTAACCCTCAGATGCAATGCACAACTCGCTCCTCACCGGTTTGCTCGCTGCACTCTGGTGATCTGTTCTCCATCAGAAATATAGAAAAGACGGAAGACAAAGGCAGCCTTAATTTAAAACTGATTAATAAAATAAAACAAAACCAAAAAAAAAAAAAGAAGAAGAAAAAGAAGAACCATAGCCCTACTCGCTCTGATGCGGTATTTGTTCGTCCAGCCAGGATATCACCAGCCTCCCCCCCACCATAACGTCATCTGTCAATGCGTCACTGATGAAGGTTCAACTACTATCCAAAATCAGATGATTTCAAATCCGAGAAAGTGCCGGTGTCTTTAGAGAGTCATGATGAGGCGTGTCAGTGGCCTCAGCCACCAGCGCGCGGCTTCACGCGGCTTCCCATCACACACCCAACCGTCATCGTACATTCACACTGCCTATTATATTTAATCCACCCCCGTGGAAATATACCGTATGCGGTGGAAGCATACAGGTCTCACAAACCGCAGCAAGGCCGCAGTCTCTAGCATTACGGCAGTTGGGAAAAAATACAAGGATTCCAGTGTATATCACACCAGGCGACACTTCGCAGTATCTTCGGACATATGAACGACAGTAAGCGGTTATTTACCATGAGCTCTGAATAATGACAATCTACTTATTGGGGCGCACCAAGATCATCAGCTCCGACATGGCTTCAATTGAGAAAGATTCGTGGACCTCCGTCACATTCAGGAATGCCAGGGCTCTGCTGCACCCCAAGCACAGCCCGGCTTTGCTACTCTTTTCTACTCGGTAAACTGTGTCTATCAGGCCTTTGTCTCCTCAAAAAAAACGTCAATTTGCGCTTGCAGGGGGCTCAGCCACTTATGTACCTATTATTAACAGCCATCCACGTTGGAGCGCAGGCCTCCCTGTCGCAGTCAACAGCGAGATATTGATCACCGAGGCGCACTTGGGTGAAAAAGATTGCAGGACAATGGCGCTGCACCTGCAGACAATAGTGTGACTGCATTCACTGCATGCATGCACAGTCTGTCCGTCGCGCAGCTCTATGTACATGACATGCTGCTGGTAACTGAGACTTGATCAGCACGAATCGACCAGGATTATCGCTCTGCTGCCAACCATGGCCTCAGCTTGACCAGACGGAAAACATAAAGATGGTCCTCATAATATTTGATTCGTTAGTAAACGATTTGTGTATAGTAATATCCCGCTTTGCCTTTATGCGAACAAGTCCCGTGCCACTAGAAAATAGCAAAGAAAACATGAGGCGCCTATCAGTTTGACAGCACAGTTGCAGCTAGGTACCATATGAACCAGTCTAGTGCAAATGGTGTTAGAAAAGCAAACCGTAGAAAAACGCCGAATCCAAGAACCTAGGGTTTCCCCGAGCCAATGCAATGCTGTTGCCCACGTAGCACGCCACGCCTTATTCCCCGGCGGCACGGCGAGCATTCTCTCTGTTGATCTTTTTGAAGAAGGCATTGCTCTCCTTTTTGCCCTTCTTCTTGAGGCCTTGGTTGACCTTCTTGTTCTGCTCAATGTAGGCCATGTCCTGGCCACCGCTAAGCTCGCCCAGCGTGCCTGCAGTTCGCCGGACCTTCTTCTTAGCCCGTCCCATGTTGCCGCTATGAAACAAATCATCTGTAATGTCCTCATCTTCGGCGCCCTCGTTCTCGACCAGCACTTTCTGTAGCAACTCTCGACGCTCCGAGGCGGTTGCAAACGCCAGTCCCGGCGTCTGTTCTATGTTTGCTAGCTGGGTAATGACTTTGAACGCATAGCCCTGATCGACGAGGAAAGCCTGCCTCTTTGACGAAAAGTACATTTCTTGTGTATCTTTAGAGACCAGCGAATAGAAAAATGCATTGAAGCCCTCGTCGTTGCGTCTTTTGGCTCGTAGAATTCGCCCAAGGCGCTGCGCCTCTTGACGTCGAGAACCGTAATGCGATGAAATTTGGATAAGGCATGTGGCTTCGGGCAAGTCGAGAGAGGTATCGCCAATCTTTGATAGAAAAAGCGTGTTCACCAGCGGATTATGTTGAAAATTTTCCAATACCTTGAGTCGCTCCGCTTGTCCTGTGCCGCCGTAGATGAAGGCTTTGCCAAGCTTGAGTGCGTAAGCCTTGAGAGCATATACATTGTCAGAAAAGACAATAATCTTATCTCCACGGGACTCATGGTAGTTTATAAGGTATTGGCAGGCCTGGAATTTGCGCGGGTTCATAATGTAGAGCAAGTTCTTCTTGCGGGATGGTGCACGAAGATATTCGTCATAGAACTCGGTCGGCATTGCGCACCAGACCTCCGCACACTGCACGCGAGCAATATGCCCTTGCTTTGAGAGCTCCATCCAGTTTGCTTCAAAAAGCTTCGGGCCAATGAGGAAGTTGAGATCCGAGATCTTGTCATCCTCTCGAAGCAACGTGGCAGTTAAGCCGAGCTTGGAATGTGTCTTAATGGAAGAAGTAACCCTTCGAAAGATGTTTGCTGGCACGACGTGCACTTCGTCGAGCAACATAAGGCCCCATTCTCTTCCAGTAAGAAACTTCATCATCTTTTCCGCATCATAGGAACGCGCTCGCGATTGTGTGACCATAGAGTACGTAGTGACAATAATACCAGTACTGCCAGTGAAGACGGAGCCCTTCGAATCAGATGTGAAAGCCACAATATCATCAGGGTTGATGTTAGACCACTTCAAGAATTCGTTTCGCCACTGCACAACCGACATGGAGCTGGTGCAAAGCACAATCACTCCCTTCTGGATGGTACACGCAGCTGTAATGCCGACCAAGGTCTTGCCGGCACCACACGGCAGAACGATGAGACCACTCTTGGCTCTGCCGTTACCAAACATCTTGCTTAAGCTTTTTTCTTGGTAAGGTCGAATTTGAGTACCGGGTCGGAGATCGATATCGAGATTAGGGTTTGCCTCATCGCGTCGAAAGTCGTATTCTTCAAGAACCGGATAACCCAGGTTGAGGCATTCCTTCTGCACTGTCTCAACGTCCTTATCTGCGATTTCAAAAGCGTGCGTTACTTCTTGGTCGTCGTCATCGTCGTCGTCCAGCCTTGATTTGACTTCCTGGTGCGCGGATTGTTGTTCGTTCTCGCTCGTGTTTGCCTGTCTGACGCCCGCTGCATTCTTAGTGCCGGGAATTACCAACCCCCCAATCTTGGGCGCTGTCGTGGTTGTAATCTCCTCCGTCCCCTGGACACGGAGCGGACCGATTTTAGGGTTCTTCAGTAGCATTTGCAGCATCGCCGGGTCGGGACTTTCGACGTAATACTTGGTATTTTTCAACACAAGCTTGACTTTACCGTAGGTTTGTGTGCAGCTGGTGATGAACGCTCGAATTTCGTCGGGCAGTGGTGTCTTGAGAAATCTCTCGAGAGTATTGATGATATCCGTCGGAGATAGGCCTACAGACACAGCAGCGTACAGACTGTGCATGGTGAGGGCGTATTCGTGCATAAAGGTCGGTCGCGACAAAGGTTCGGAAATAGTAACAAGGAAGTCTTGCGCTTGCTCGGCCAACGGGCTAAAGCTTTCCAGAATGATGCGACCCTTTTGAGGATCGATCCATAGAGGTCTATTTCGGTGGTCCTTTTTAAGGACAAGATACGAGTAATCATTGTCACCAAAGATGTGCGGAATCGGGTCTTTAATGTTGTGTCGCTTCTGGTATCGATTAAGAGAGAAGCGGTCTATGTTCTTGTCGATGTCGCGCTCGAGAACTTCATCGATCGGTGCGTCGTCTTCCTCGTTTTCATCGTTACTACCGATGCTGCGAGGCGTCGCAAGTCCGGGTGTGCTCATGCGTGATGTCCGCCCGGTTTTGGCCCCCCCCTGCACGTTGCTGATCGCTTTCCGCTTGGGAGGCATTGTTGTGATATGGATGCCTTGAAAGACGGGCGGCAGCGAACAAGCAACTATGCGTGGACCTCTTCGCGCCGCCGATGTGTTGGCGAGCGTGAATGTTGTGGATGATTATGGGTTATAAGGTGGCGAGGCGCATTGGCGTGAATCTGTTAGCATCTTAGTACCTAGTCAGACGAGCGCTGACTAAACGTGCTCGCAGCCTTGGGGTGACGCTGGGTAGCCCCTCCAAGGTTATGGCACCGTTTTGGTGATGATTGAATTTTCTACCTATCATACTTCTTTTCTTTTCAATGCTGAGACCTCTACAGCCATGTGGTAAGAGAAATTACTGCGTAATAGAATGTTCCTGGCAGCTCTAACGGCCAAATAGCAAGCACATTCTCAACGCGCAGGTTGCCATCCGATCTCCCTGCTGTATGACGTTCCGCCACTCTGCCCGTACCTAATGTTCCGAACTGACCTGTTTACCCTGCTTTGTCCAGGCCGCAAGTGGTTCGACTGTGCAGAGTGCCACGCTGAACAAGAGAAACACCCGCTTCAGCAGTCATTCGACATGACTTTTGCCTGCAAAAAATGCAAGAAGTGCTTCCGCAAAGATACCCAAGAGTTCGAGGAGAGCGACGAATACTGCCCGCACTGCGATAACCACTTTGTCATTGAGGCCAAGATCGCCAAACCAGCACTCACAATAGAGAGTGATGATACCCGAATTAATAATAAACTCCTTAAAGACGACCGAGTGCGAGGCAAACCCATTCTACGGTCGATGTTTGACCCAGATGAGGACGCGAATAAGCTCGGCTAGAAGACTATTAATACATATACTTTCGCTCTTGTTAAGAATTTACAAGGGGAATGTCATCTTGGCATTGGGGCCCATACCGTTCCGGGGCGCACATTGCGGCGCTTTTACTTCAGCATTATTCAGGGCTTGATTTAAACAGCAAGTACTTGGATAACGTGTTGATACAGTGACCTAGTTCTATCAACAGCGGTAAAGAGCTACCCACTCGATACCTGTCTAACCAAGAGCTTCGTTTGGTCCTCTCCATTACTCAGCGGCGGAGTCATCCTGGCTTCTTGTCGGGATAGCTGTGCCGCTGATGGCGGGAGCGCGACCAGTCTTCTTCTTAGCAGCCTCCTCCTGCTTCTCCTGCTCAATCTCCTTGACGTAACGCTCGATCTCTTCCGTGGGGAGCATCTCGATAGTGGCTCCGGGAGCCATCAGGGCGATCTCAATATTCTTGGCTCCTGTTTGCACAACTTCCAGGAGGGACTTAATGGCCAGGCGGATAGTAGCCTCCCGATTCATCTCCTCCTTGTAGTTGCGTTCCAAGAACTCGCGGACGGTCTTGCTGGAGCGGCCAATGGCATTCGCCTTCCAGGCAGAGTAGATGCCCGACGGCTCAGTCTGATAGAGGCGAGGGACCTTGCTATTCTTATCGAAGCCCACAACCATGGTGCTAATGCCGAACGGGCGGACACCGCCAGCCTGGGTGTACCGTTGCTGCACGCCGGCGACGTATTTTGTAATGTATTCGATGGTAGCAGGGTCCTCCACAGTCAGTCTGTGCGACTGGGCCTCTAGACGGGCCTTATCGACTAGAATTCGGGCGTCGGCGTTGAGTCCGGCGAAGGCAAGGGCAACGTGGTTGTCGAGAACTTGAATCTTGGAGGGGGTAATTCGGGTATCTTGGAGCTTCATAGCAGAGCGCTTCTCGCAGCCAAGCACAACGACGTCTTGGCCTTTGACCCCAACAGCGCAGGTTCCTGCAAAAGGGAGTAGTCAGTACTTGTCCGGGGTCGTGCGACGGCGCGAAGGCGGCTGCTCACCTCGCTTGACAGCTTCACCAGCATACTCGACCTGGAAAACATGTCCATCGGGACTAATATCAACGTTAGAACAAAGCGCAATCCGACGAACCTTCGGGGCGGTTGTCGTTACCTGAACACTATTATGGTGGTTAGCTTCAAGCCCAGAGAGGGCCGATATGTCTGATCTAATTACGTACCCGACAGAGCTCTGTCATAACCTGAAGCCATTGGATATGTAGTTGGATTTTTCTCGACTTGACTGGGATTGCGCGCAAGACGAGTGGTATTATGGACGGCAGATTGGAAGATGTAGATAATAGTCGTTTGCTGCACGAGTTCGAGAGCTGGCATACCAGAAGGGAGCTCGTCAGCGGAGCTTCGTCAGAGTTGCAGCCTACCGATGCGGCGGCTGGCACGGTGCTGACCTAATAGAGTACAAGAGGAGTTAGCTTAGCCGGGGTTTTGCCCGATAGTGCACTTTCCTAAAACCAGCACGGCATTGTGCCAGACATCGGGGTGATTTATTTAGTTAATGGTGAGAGAGTTTACTTAGCCGTCGCTAGTCATTGCATTTGATTAATAACTGCTTGGAGCAGAGAGTGGCGTTTGCGCTGCTGTCATGACCTCTAACTTGCTCTTGGTGATGAATCCGCGTACGCCACGTCGTGACACGTCGTGCTGGTCGCGCAACCACCACTGCCTACCTACTAATAGATGCAAATTGCGCAGTATCGGGTAATTCCTTCAATTCGGCACCATAGCTAACAGGAAACCCCAATACAGAGACGATGCAAACTACTTGCATCTAGTACCACGTCTGCTAAGGCCCCCATATGCCGAGGGCACAAAATGCTGAGCAGTTACCCTGCAGCAGGCTCGCCGGAGCGTCGTCGGGCCGCTACACGACCTCGCTGGTCGTCTACTTCGAGATGATGCTGCCGCGGCTCATCGTGCTCATGTTCGCCGTCGTTGGCACCGTCATCGCGCTCGCCGGCATGGCTGGGCCCATGGTCGCGGGCTGCTCGCTGCCCATGCGGGACGGCGGTTGACTTTTTGGATCAGGTACCTCAACATCTACTCAATATTCCAAGTCAATGGACTGACAGCTCTCCTGAGGGTCCATGTGCCGGTGTCACCATTCCAATCTTTATTCCTAACGAGGCGTCGATTGGAGTGTACACATGGTTCAGTCCAACGACCAACTACCTTCCCGTTCTATCAGTGGTCACCTGGATTTGCCTCGTGGCGTGGCAGCGGCACATCTTCAAGACTCCTCACTCGGAAAACATGCTCGCCCAACTCCCTTGGGGGATTCTTTCGCATAAGATCTTGCTCGCGGCTCTCGTGTACTCATAAACCCGACCAAGCATGACTCGACTCGAGCCGGAATCAGACATTGATAGCGACACGGTACCGGCGAGCTACGTGCTTTCCGTTGCTATTCTACACCTGAAAATCCGCGCACAAGTACGTGAGCTGTACTATGCCGTCCAATCCAGACTCCTGCTGCTGCCACTCCTTGGTAGCTGTGCCATCGGCGCCGCCGCTGCCGGCATCGTCTCCCACAAGAAAAACTTGACGTTTTGGGCGCTCACCATATCAAGCCTCCTCATGTTCGTTGCGTCCGCCTTGTTGACCCGGATCCTCAAATCCGACTCGTCTCTCCCACAGGAGAGGGGTTATCTCGCCATTCTCGGCCTCGGCGCGGGTATGAGCATAGCCACCACGATGCTGCTGGCCACCCTTTTACTCGGACATGGAAAATCACGGCATGTGAGCCCCAAGTACCCCTTTCCGACTGCTACGCCATGACTAATAGATAATATTGATGTTTGCAGCAGTCGCTTAGGGTGTTATCGCTTTGATGAGGATCCCGGGGGCGAGCATCGGGTCGGCAGTTGGCTTCATCCTGCTGCACACGCGATTTACTCGGGGGCTGCACGGCGCGTTCACGCCTGAGCAGCTGAGTGCCTTTGATCAGTCTCCGCTGTCCGTGAGCTCCTTCACAGCCCCTCAGCTGCTTCTCGACCAGGGTGCGTAGGTCGCCGCCTTTGCCAATATTATGCAGGTGTCTATCGGCGTGTCTGGAGGCTGCTTTCTGGCATCGCTCGTCGTGTGACAGAAGCAACCGGTAGAAATTCAGGACAAGTTAGACGCGATGGAGGCCTATCCCGGACCGAGGTAGGCTCCAAAGTGTAGAGTACAAGATAAAACATGATGGGCTTGGAGTTTGCCCTCGGGGTGGATGAGAGCGACTCGGTAGGCTTTCGGCTCGTCGATGAAGTCTCAGAGGTGGCAGTAGACTCGAAATCGAAATCGCCAGGAGAATTTATGAATAGTTATAAAGTAGCATCGCGTACAAAGCGTTGCGTCATCACGCGACGTGACAAGCGGGGAAGTATATCGCGACTATTGACTTGGTGATTGCCGGGGTATGCTGACCAGATGGATGCGGGTTTTCTCCCTCCATCGATTCTGTGCTAAAAAAAAAACTTGGTACTAAGTAGTCATACGTTACTGAACGTCACATGGCTCTTCACTTGGTCGAGTCAGGTACCAGTTACCAATGTCTCGGATGCTGCTACCGGCCGAGCACGGACTCTAATGCAATCTAGATCGCCTGAGCATACGAAATAGGTAGTGATGTATGCAGTGATCACAGTTGCGTCTCGCGTGAGGAACGGCAGTTGAAGTGAGAGCCTTTTCCCCAGTAAAAGGTGACGGGAACGGCGCAGACGGCGTCCTCTTTACAAGGCAGACTGCTAACCGAGTGAGGTATAGGTCAGCGGTTCAACTAAATTAAAGTCAGGGGAGAGTTCGCGTTTCTGAGCGCTGATTTCCTGATTTGTGCATATGAAACTATGGTATGACTTCGGCGCGAATGATACAAAATTACTAAGTGTGGCTTTACCAACCTTTGAGTGCTCGCCGTGTTACTTGGGTATAAAGCGACGATGAGACGGTGCCTTCACCGATAGTAAGTGCATTAACCCCATTAGGCTCTCATCATTACTGTCGACCATGCATTTTCTCACGTCCCATTTCGGCGTGGCGGTTCTGGGGCTGCTCGCCATCGCCGCGCCCGTGGTCCTGCCTTCACAAAACGGCCTGACATCACAAACTCCTAAAAGCTACTCCGATATCCCAGACGGCGAGAATATTGCGGCTCGTCAGGATGGTACCCGAGGTGTCGCCGACGACGGTCCCGTCGATCCCCCTGAGGATGACGACACCGACACCGACGACGACGACGACGAGGACCTCATCCCCGGTGACCTCCTCGAGGGCGACAGCGACTCAGGCGGCGAGAGCGCCGTCGGCAACGACGCCGTCTCTGTGGCCAACGGCTTCCTCGGCGGCGGCGGCGTCGGCAGCGCCGCGCTCAACAACCGCACGTCCGGCTCCACGGCCGTCTTCTGCAGCCTCTTCTCGTGCGCGGCCGCCGCACAGTCGGACGGCCGCGTCAGCACCAGCACGTCCGGCGCCAACATCCGTGTCAGTGGCGGACGCGGTCCGCTGGTCAGCGTTAAGGGACCACTTGTCGTCATCAACGCGTCGCGCACGTCGTCAGTCAGCAAGACACCGAGCTGAGCCTTAGCACTTGCCACGGAAATGAAATCTCTGGTTTCGCCCTCGGGCCTGGGAATGTGGTGTGGTGTGGGTGGTAATGATTTACACGAGGCCGACGCCCCTTATTGACCCCATTTTGTCTCGTTCTTCCTTGGACTGTGGTTCAAGCCACGAAGTTCATCTTCCTTTCCATATGCACATTAACCAGTCATTTTCTCTTCCCTTATTAGTCACTTTAACCTATGTTCATTGAATATATGCTGAATTTATGGTCTGGCGTACGCCGGTATTGATATAGTTTCTGAATCGTATCACGAACCGCTGCTAATCTGTCATCTCGTCTTTGCTCCCATTTCCTCAAATGCTAAACAAAGAATAATCTGTGCATATTTAGCCTTTCTTATCAGGAGTAAAAAGCAGCCAATTCGGCGGAGCATCAGCAGCACAATTCACCTAGTCTCTATACCTGAGCAATTTACAAACTTTTGTCCATAGAGGTGATAGAAAAAGAAGTAGAGTTCAATATCTTGACAATCTAGCAATCCAAGCAGACAAATTCGTAAGTAGTTCCGGCTACTTTACTTGTATACGGATAACAAGGTCCGAGCCCCGCTATGCATCAATAAATGCCTTCCTTACACAGCCCGAGTCCAGCGGAATGTGTGTTGGCATGGTGGCTTTTTTGGTCACGGCTCTAGGCCCCTGGTGGCTTATTATTATAGAATATTATGTCGCTGTACTTTTCAGAAGAAAGAGGGATGCCAAAAGCCAACAAGGGAGCGCGTCAGGCAACGAGAAACAAGCTTCAGTATTGCGCAATCTCGTCCCACATCTGGCCCTGCAGATTGTCGGCAACGCCCTGGCCCTTGGCGACAAGGCGAGTACGGAAGAGCTCGAGCTCAATGGTCTCGTAGACACCGTCCTGCGCTCCCATGCCGTCGAAGCCGCCGGCGCCGCCGGATGTCATCTGGAGGTTGTGGTAGAAGTCAAGGGCGACGGTCATGGGCGCGACGAGCATGTCGGGCTGCGCGGTGAGACTAAGGGCGGAGTCCAGCCCGCGGCAGATCTTGGCGGCCATTTCGCGGCCGTCGTGGTATCGAGAAGGGTCGAGCTGCATGTTGTTGTTGCCGGACGGCGGTGGAGCGGTCAGCCAGATGCCCGTGTAAGGATCAAGCACGGGCTGTCCGACAACGGCAAGAAGATCGAGGACGCAGCGGTGAAAGATTATCTGTGACATCCAGTAGTAGAGCATGGTGAAGGCAGTCAGCTCATCGTGGAACTCGTACGTGGTCGCCGCGCCGAGGGACGCCGCGCCGGCACTCTCCACGGCGCGGAGGTGGTCGACGTCGCCCATCGAGTGGCCGAGCCAGGCGGCAAATTGGCGCTCAATCATCAGGCACGTGTGAAGCAGGGTCTGGGCCTTATAGCGACGCTCGACCGAGGGCGTCTGGGGGATGAGTGCGTCCGTCTGCGCAAGGACGGGCGGCAGCCGCAGCATGATGTCGAAGAGGGCATCGAGGGATGACTTGCGGTGATTCTTCCACGGCAGCGACGTCCACTCCGAGTCGGAGAGGAAGGTCTCGCGGCGGTTAAGCACGGCCAGGCAGACGCCGATGGGGCGATAGACGCGCACGAAGAACTGGTGGTTCGGGAAGGAGGTGAAACTGAGCGGACCGAGTCGCTTGATCATGGATTCCGAGGCGAGTCCCCAGTCGGCACTTGGTGAGGCCTGCTACATATCCAGTTAGTCTTGTCATCCATCAGATAGCTAAATACCCATGGATGGGAATGTGTCAAACACGGACCTCGAACAAGAAGAGACAGTAGCCGGCGGATTGGGCATCTCCTTGGATGCCATGGTGGCAGAGTAGGCACTTAGCACTCACCCAGAGCGGCGCATCATGGCTGGCCACATGTTCGTTGTGGTGTTCACCGTGAAGCTCGATCGGCGAGTATGGCGGGAGGGCAATTCCGAAGCTGCTCCCGGAGAGGGCGGCTCCCGGAGAGCGCACAACGGTATGCAGGCTGGTGTGCAGGGCGGCAATGTTCTTGCCGCCGCGGGAGAGATCTAGATTGTCGTCCCAGGCCGAGTTGTTGAGCGGCGTCTGGGCAAACTTGGGCGAGTGTGACTCGGAGCGCTCTCGCTTTGGCTGAGGCGACTTGGAATGTTGCTTCAGCTGCTGCTTCTTGCTCCCGGACCCGGACCCGGACCCTGACCCGGATGAGGTGACGCGCTTGGGGTGGGAAGCGACGCGGCCGCGGTCCTCGGGCGTGCCGGTGATGAAGACACGCTCGCGCTCGTAGCCCTCGCACTCTCGGCCGCTGCTTGTGCACTTGCGGCAGTGTGGACGCTCATTGGTGCACTGCGACATGATTTCGTGTTAGCCGCTTGGTTGAGTGGGCGGACGAGGTTTGTTTGCCACAACGGGCCGGCCCTCAGCTAGCATCTCCAGATCAAGCTCGGAACTACTTCTTCCTTTCTCCTTCTAGCGCGGGAATATATCAGGGCAGGGAAGGGGCAAGCCAACGAATTCTCTTACCGTGACGCGGCGGCGGCGACAAGTTTCACAACCCTTATACTTTCCAGGAACGCCAACCATGGTGAGCGAGTCAGTGGGTTTTGCTTGCAAGCTATATTGCATGCAAGTTGATTCGCCACTGTGGGAGAGGATAGTCGACGAGCTAGCTTTTTGGCGGGATGGGGTCGGATTGCTTGCTTGTCTAGCTGGTCAAGGATTCAACATGAAGGGAAAGGTTTAAGCAATTTGCCACCGACCTGGACTATATATGTAGGAAGCCGAGCCGGTGGCCAATGCTGTGCGTCGAGGGCCTCCCAGGAGAAAGGCAGACAAGAGAGAGAGAGAGACAGACTGGGCAATTGCGTCGGCAGCTAGGGGACCTATACACGGGACTCCACCAGCATGTAAGCCATGATGCTGGTGAAAGGGCCATGACGATTGCCAATTGGGCAGCGCAAGTGTGAGCTTGGTTTCTGTGTTTCTGTCTCTCCTCCACATCCACACCACCCTCCCCGTCCTTGTGCTCGTCCTTGTGCTCGGCTTTGTGCTCGTACTTGTGCTCTTGTGCGTCGCTTGACCCCCAATGGCTTGCGCAGCCAGCGCCTTTGCGGCCGCCTCCACCGCCGGAATCGCCGTTGAACTAGGGCCAGGGCCGGGCTGCCGGGGGATGTGGGATGTGGGATGGTGGAGCTGATGCTGGCTGCTGGCGGGCGAGGCTCGATGATAATAATGATTGCAGACGCAGCAGGGGGCCGAAAGGCGGACAGCGGGAGATGCAACAGGAGGGGGGGGGGGCTACAACAGTAGAACAGCCCGTCCCCAGCTGGTTGGGCGGGTGTGCAGCGGACCAGATAACTACTACGATGCATGCTGATATTACGAATGGATGGACAAGGCAAGCCAAAAACTAATAAAGCAAAAGAGATCTGCTCTGGTCTGTGACTGGCCGTCTCTCCGTCCCGCACATCCTAGCATGCCTCGTGTTGCCAGGATCATGGGCAGAACAAGATGGAGCCTCGGACCATGATGTGGGCGTGCATGTTTCGTAGGGCTGATGGTTAAAGGAAACTCTGAGCAAATGATTCGTCTGGTGAATGCTCCGGTTGGACGAGGAGCCAAGAATGAAAAGGGGGGGCGTGGCGAGCTGAGGTAGAGGTCTGGAATGGATGAGTGAGTACAAAGTATCACGTCTCCGGAAGCACTAGAAGACGAATATAGTTGGGCGGACGGTAGCTGAGGAAGCAAAAACCCAGGTCAGTCAGGTATTCTGTACTCTGTGATGTAATGGGACTGGGGGAGTACTGAAATGGCCAGTTGTCGTTTCAGAAGGGACTACCAGTAACCTACACTGAGACGAAACGAAACGGAAGGGGAAGCACTGACTAACTCGGACAGCGAGCGGTGTCGTCAGCCTTTTTTTTTTTTTTTTTTCGGTGGCCCAGATACACTTTGTCACACGATAAATATTTTTGCCGCCTTTGTCTTCCACGTTACTAATTAGACTTGTCCAACTCTGACCGCTTTGACTAGCAACAACACCATCTTGGCACTGTCCAAACCCAGTCTTCCGGGCAACAAGGAAGAAGGTACCACTCTGACCCTGGCTCACCCTGGGACGAATGACAGCCGTCAGGCGGCTCATCTCAGAATCGTCAGTGGGGGTGTCTAATAAGCCTCTGATCCCTCTTTGGAATTACACGAGCTGGCTTGTACTGGTATGTGGTGGCAGTTGGTAGAGAGAGACGAGAAGTTCTACTCCTTCCCCCTCACTGGTACCTCAAAATGATTTGATGAACGCAGTACAACACATGGTTTTCTTCTTGGTATTTTAGTACGTTCTTTGTACATTTGCATCTACCTACTTGATCAACTTAGCCTTAGCCGATGCCACCTTCCAGTCTTGTTAGCTTGAGGTGAAGGCTGCCGCTCTGTTCACAGTTGGTACCTCACTACCTATTTCCACTAGTAGTATACAACTGGGGAAAGGCACTACTAGTATCCGTAAGTAGTTCGTACTGCCTACAAAAAACCACCCCTGTTTACGAATACACCATTTTGATACTGTAGCGTAGCATGGCATCTCCGCAGCCTTTGGCTTAAATGGCAGCAGCCTAATGCGCCAGATGCTCACCCAGATCGTCGGGGTGAGTCTTGTTGCAAGCTGAGTGAGCCGGCGACGAGTCTGACTCTAACTCCGACCCTGTCCCGTTTCTTGTCCCCTCCTGCCTTCTCGACTCTTTGGTGTGCTAGTAACACTACCTACTACTGGCAGCGCTTCGATCTGGTAACTGCGAATCATGTTAAACAGCACTTGTGCAAGGGTTTCCCCCTTGCTGGCTGTTCTAGTAGCCCGGACTAACTGCCACTTCTGGTCAGCGATTTCTTGTCAGCCGAGTGTTCCTCATCCCTCCAGGAAGGAGAAGACCCTTGACTGCCGCTCACATGCATGGTTGCCTGGGCTGTTTGCTTGTTTCTATGCTAGACGCCACGTCTGGCTGGGATCGTAGTTTGCGTTTCCACGGCCAAGAAACCATCCTTCTCACGCTGGCACACAGACCGCATACTACACCACTTCCGCAGCCGACTGCCTGGGTCAGGTCTACTTCCTCTGTAGATCGGGGGGTGTGCTTCTCTGGGCTCCTCGTACGGGCGTTGTCCTAGCCTAGCCATGTTTTTTTATGTTTTTATGAGATATACTACTACTACTACTATTACTATTATTATAGTGAAAAGCCGCACTGAACTGGAAAATGACACCGAGTCCCAGTCCCGGATGTGCGGGAGGCATTTCGGGAACGCTAAAGCGGGCGAACCACGCCGCCCAGCAAAAAGGCAACCACTCACAAACGGGATGCATGGATAAATACCGCGTCAGGAGAAACATGTCGTCTTTTTTTTTCGACTGCATTGTTTCAGACCGGGTTTGCGCCGCCCCAGTGGGTTTCCAGCTGGAGCCATCTGGAAGCCTTCCCCTGTTCCCTGCCACCAATAACAACTACCACGACAAGGCCGGATGGAATGGCCTGGGCCGAGAGGCTTCAGCTTCCTTGGAAGCCTCGCCGGACAAGGCTGGATGGCCGCCTTGATTGGTCAAGGCACCAAAATGAATTCCGGCCTAGCGCGGTAGCCTTCCTGCACGCCTTCCGTCAATCGAAGGCGATGAATGGCTGTCGACAAGGTTTATAGTGAGTATCCGCGCTCTCCAGTTTTTGCAAAGTATTTTTGTGCTGGGGTGTGGACGAGCCGATAGCCTTGTCTAACCAGCATTGCCGGCGAGGCAGACTCGGGAACGGCAGACAACCAGGCGGACTGAATTCCGCCTTGGTAGTTGGTCTTGGAGTTTTCCTGCTCTTTTTCTGTCCCTTCGATGCCCCTTAGAAAGAAAAACGACTTGGGATGTGGCATGGTAACTACTATGCATACTCCTTGATCGCAAGAAAGCTGTCTTTAAATTGCAATACGGAAAACGATACCTCGGGGTCGCATTGGGGGCGATTTAGACATCGGACGGATATCCTATCCTCGCGTCCTCGTAAAAACGGAAATAGTCATCATAGCGAATTCTGGTGCCTGCTTGTTTCCGTCGCATAGTCTGATGCGTCCGTTTCTGGCATGGTCGTCTTGCGTATATCATGCCGACTTTTGAAACAATAAAAACAACATTTGAAATCAACTACAAAAAATTGAGGACTCAGCAGCACGATCTGACATGCTTGTCAGATTTGGCGACACTTGACCGTAACTAACTAATTCTATTGCAACAGGTCACTCGGTGCCTTGCCCCATGTAGCAAGCGCCCCTCGCCCAGCAAATGGCAGTTTTTCGTAGACGACAAAACAGCCCCATCTACCATGCGCCGCCGCCCTATGCTAAATACCGCTACGCAAATGTGGTGGCAGGGGGTAGGAGTTGAACCTGTCATGGGTGTAACTCTTTGTCATTCGACTCTTAAGTTGATGACTCTTCTGCCGGTTCAAGTGGTCAATGTGACACTTTACCGGCACGTTCCAGAAAAAAAGACCCCTTGGTAGTTGCTGGCCGTTCCAAGTACAACAGGACAGCACGTAATGAAAAAAAGTAATCAAATCAAGAAGCACCTCGCAAAGCTCCGTATCTCCTCCATACCTCCCGGGCCCCTGCTCGACAACGTGCTTCATACATGGTAGATGATCGTCATCTTCACACCCAAACTAACATGCCACGTCTGCTACCAGGAAATCTGACTCTTTGTCATCAAGTGCGAGATTCTCTTGGACTTATTAATTGCTTAACAAACTTTATTTGCCACGCCCTCCTTTTTCCGCCCACATCCCGGCGCTTCCGCCAGGGCGAATCCGTACAATCGGAAACCAGCAGGCAACCACAATTTATATAGCCTATGCATTTGACGAGCCGATCGCCATGTTCCTGTTGCTGCCTTGTCGAGTCATCGCCCCCTCTCTACTTGTATCTCTCGTTTCAAGCCTTCTACTCGACTCATCCTGCCCTCAGCCCTCTTGGCCTCCGTTATAGGTACTTGTACGGGTTCATGATACCATTCTAGCAACGCGCATTGTTAGCTGTTTGTCTACCACCTCCTCCTCATCGTAATTTCCCCACCAGGTCCTGCGTAGAAGGGTGCAGCTAACCCCAAGGCGAATACGATCATGTCTGGACATGGGTGTCTATAGGGCTGACGACACAAGAGCTCACAGGAAAGAGGGGGGGGTCATATAACTGCTTAATTTGCTTCATCAAGCCAATTATCGTGTCGTCTCGCGAGTACCGAATGTAATTCTTCTTGGCCAGCCCCAGACCGTGCTCCGCACTGATGCTGCCTCTACGCTTCTCGATCCACTCGTACACGTACGGCTCCAGGACCGCCTCCACGGCCTTGTCGTACCGTCGGACCACGACGTTGAGGTGCAAGTTGGAGTCGCCCATGTGGCCGTAGCCGACGCAGCCCAGCACGGGATGCTCCTCCGAGTCGCCCAGCAGGCCAGCTTCGGCCAATCGCGTGTTCACATCCGGCACGATGCTATACATATCAGCCAACGGAATCGACACGTCGTACTTGTAGACGCCGCCCCAGTGTGCGCTGACCTCGGGCACGCTCTCGCGCCACGCCCACAGCGCCTTGATCTGCGTCGCGTCCTGCGCGACCACGCCGTCCGCCACAACCTCCTGGCTCATGACGTCCTCTAGGAAGGCCTCAAGCTTCGCGTAGTCGTGCTCGCCGTTGGAGCCGCTCGTCTCGATCAGGCAGTAAAACGGGAACTGGCCCTTTAGCGGCATCGTCTCCCCCTTGGCACGGTGCACCAGCTCTTGGCTCAGCCCATCCATCAACTCAAATGCGGACAGAATCTCCGATAGTTGACCCTTGGCCGCACGAAACGCCCGCTGAGCCATCTCGTACGACTCGAGCCCCAAGAATGCCACGTTGACCGCGGGCGACCGCTGCGGGCACTGGATACACAGCTTGGTGATGATGCCGATGGTGCCCTCGGCGCCGATGAAGAGTTGCTTCAGGTCGTAGCCTGTGTTGTTCTTACGCAGCGTGCACAGGTCGTTCATGACGGTACCGTCGGGCAGCACCGCCTCCATGCCGAGCACGCTGCCGTGCAGGCTGCCGTAGCGTAGCAGCCGCAGGCCGCCCGCGTTTGTTGCGACGTTGCCGCCCACCTGGCACGAGCCCTTGGCGCCGAGGTCCAGCGGGAAGATGTACCCGCGCTCCGCGAGGTACTGGTCTGCCACCTCAAGCACGCAGCCTGCGCCGAGCACCAGTGAACCGCTGACGTCGTCGAAGGACTCAATCTCGTTCATGCGCGCCATACTGATGATAACCTCGTCGAACACGGGCACCGAACCGCCCACGAGGCCCGTGTTGCCGCCTTGCGGCACCACCGCCAGCATCCTGTCGTTGCAGTATTTGAGGATCTCGCTGACCTGCTCCGTCGTCTTCGGCTTGACTACGAGGCGTGCTTGCCCGCGGTATTTGTGCATCCAGTCCTCGTTGAACGGGAGCATATCGTCCTCAGCGTCCCTGCCCACGCCGTCGATGATGGCCGAGTCGCCGCCCAGCAGCTCACGGAAGAAGGCGACGTGCTCCCCGTTCAATTGGGCGAATTTGGCGTCGCGCTTGATTTCGGGATACATTTCCGAGGTAAGCTTGGCGACTCTGTGAGCCAGCGAAGGTGCCATCGGCCGCGAACGCGTCGTCGCAAAGCAGCGGGTTACGGTGGTGGCGACCCAGGCTCGCGGCAGTGCAGCAGCAAACGCAGCACGGGGGCAGCTCTGATGCTGCAGCGCCCGGATCATTCGCGCGAGGAGTACCATCGTAAGGCTCTTGAGGATGTCAATTTGGTTCGGATGGACGTCGCGTCAGCGCAGAGAGCCACGTTGGGCTTTCCAAATGACTGCGTTGACAACGTTGTATGTCGCTAAATTTATGCTCTCCGGTCGGCCTTCTCGCCGATTAGTTTTGGCGGGTCTGCGCTCCGAACCCGGCCTGCATCCGAGCTGCAGTTTGCCGAGAATAGAGACCCAATCATCGCCACAGTCATATCGAAACGCTTCAACAATTCTCAGGAAGCTTCCGGCTTTACTTTTACATCCAAAAATAGTGTACACACTCCGTATACAATTTGCGGTCGCCGGTGGCCGGAAATCGTGCCCCATACCCGCTACTGTGATCAACGCTGACGATTTCATCACGTAAAAGATTCTCTTTCCAGTTGAATAACGCCGGCTACTTGGCTAACTACTAGGGTTCAAAATCGAAAAGTATATACATGTATACATGTCATGTCTTTCCTCTCCATCACAACACCAGTATGCGCATAATAATATCCATCCGATAATGATAATTACAGTGTACAATGCCTTCCGCCTGGAAGCCAACCCACAGTCAAGGGTCTCTATCATCTTATCTACCAGCCATTCGCCTTGCCACGTTTGCGATGGCCTGCATCTCCCACGTTTGTTCTGTCCTGCAAAACACCACTGGGGACTTGATCACTCTCTCTTTGGTTGTTAATCATCTTCTCCATGAATGAAATATAGTCGTATTGCGGCATGCCTCGGTCAGCAGACATGTCTGGTCCCGTATGTGCTGGCATGATGCCGCTGAGCTGCTCGATAACCTCATCCGGAACAAGACTGTGTCGGAGGTCCATTTCGGTAACGTAAGGCTTGCCATCTGCAACTTCGCGAAACGACTGAAAGACCTGCTCAGCAGTGTTTTGATCTTCCGTCACGTCGACCATGAAGCGAATGAATTGCTCGAACGTCACTTCGTCTCTGCCACCAGACGTGTCCAAGAAGTAACCGTGCATCTCCTCCTCGGAGAAAACTAGGCCCAGAGATGCCAGGGCCGCGCTGAATTCTAGCTCTTGGAGCGCATTGGAGTCGTCCCGGTCAAAATGGCGGAATACACTTTCGAATTCCTCCAGCTGAATGGGCGTCAAATTTGTCATGTTCCGTGCCACCATCTGATTTTCCAAAAACGCGAGTTTCTTCTGCACAGATGACTTGACCAGGGTGAGTTCGTATGCAAGTTCGTCGTATGAATATGTAGTAAAGTCGTTTTCCTCGATATTGGCCTCGATGCACTTAGTCTCAACATCGAGAATCGTCTCAAGATATCTGTCGAGAGGCGCCAAGTTACTGCTCAGCTTTCTGACATGGTGTAATTGATCTTCGAGGTCGCCGTCAAGGCCTGAGATAGCCATCTGCATAGTCTTGAGCGCCATGGCGAAATCGTTTGCCTTGTCAGCAAAGGACTTGCGGAGAGAATTTTTGATACTAGAGCCAATTAGTATGCATGTTTCGCCTGACTTCAAAGTGACTTACTCCCGAATCGTCTCATTGATCAATTGCGCACGGCCCATCTCTTTCTGGGACAGAGCAGTCCAGTCATCCTCAAGCTTGTTAAGGCTGAAATGAGCAGGCGGCTCATATGGTCGAAGGCGGTATGTTCCCAGCTTTGTCTTGATATTGCCGAGCAGAGTTGCCAAATCGCTCTTTTCTGCTACCCAGTCTCGTTTTTGTCCCCGCTTGTACTTGGAAAACTCGGCCGACTGTGCCTTTGCGTCCGCATATGTGCCTTCAAAGGTAGATTGTGTCCAGTCATCCCTTTGAGTGTTGATCTTTTCCAGAAGCTCGGCCATACGCTTTTCATAGGTACTCTGCATCTCCCAGACGCCTTGCATGCTGTTGACAAATTTCTCAACTCGTCGACCAGCATTCTCGACCTTTTCCATCTGAGAGAAGGCGTGGAACCAGTACGCAATATATGTCATCAAACTTCTCTCATCGGGCTTTGCAACATCGGCGACATCTTCGACGTCTAACAGCTTGGGTATGCCAATCTCTTCTGCCGCCAAATCGAAGGCAAGCTGCATGTTGCCCTTGTGATCGGACTTATCGAGGGAATCGAAATCGATAAGGTCAGGTCTGTGAATATCTAGCAGGGCGCAGAATGCAAGACCGTCGTTCCAACTGGCGCTAAAGTCCCGGACCTCTACCTCGTCGTAGCATGCCGTCTTCCGTTGGCACCAGAGAAGCAAGCCCTCCTTGGCCGACATGCCCTCCTGGTTGATGTCGCTGATGGTGAAACGTAGAATCAGTGTCCATATTAGACCAAGAACGATTTTTCGGTTCCCGTCAACAATGTCCTCCGCGCCAATATTCGTCATTTGGACGCCGCGTGATCGAATGAAGTCGAGAGCCAGGTTCGCATTTTCGAATTTTTGGACTCGTAGTTTGGGTTTCGAGGCATAACGGCCGAGCGATTCGCCTGATAAACATTCTAGCAGATGAATGAGTAGAACCTATCGGTCGCATGTCAGCAGAAGCGCTACAGCCAGGGGCCGTGCATGGCATACTCCGTCGCTCATATCCTTGACGATATCTTTAATCTCCAAATCCCGCTGAATCAGCTTTGCATTCAACCTACGCCCCATGCATGTTAGAGCATTCTTGATTGAAAGTATCGTGAAAACCTGTACCATTTTGTGAACGTTTTTTGCTGGACAGTAATCCAGCGTTGCTGATCGGCAAATGTCATCTTTGTTTGCTGTGGCTCGACACTAACCGTCGCCGTAGCTCAGCCGTGCTTTTCGTAATTTTTCAAGCAGAAGTTAGGTATTATACAATGGGTGTCGGAAATACAAACGATGGCTTGCCCGCTTCAGGTATCCAGCATCCGATGGCGGTATGTCGGTGTAGGGCAGCTTCGCAGCAATGTGGGGTGGCACTGTGCTTGGGCGGGAGTTGGCCACCTGCACGATGACTGCGTCTTGTGTCTGACTAGCCGCTGGGAGTACGTCAGCTGTCAATCTGTCGTCGAGGAAAAGTCACTAGTTATCGAAAACTCGTAGATGCAATGCGCAGGTAGATGGTGACGTTGGACAAAGGTTGGCGTCGTGGGGTAAGGGAGCTTTGGCAGGTTTGTACCCTCTGGGCACCGAGTGAGAGGCCTGAGTAAACAAATCTTGCTAGCCCTGTTCAACAAAACCCAGGTTGCTGGGCGGCCAGTGTGGTTCCAGGTTTCTGGGCACTCCATACTCGCGCGCTACTACCTCACCTAGGGTTTCCTCCAGCATACCCCCGACCGGCTGCCATTACGGTCCAAAACGTTGGCCATTTGCATCCAAGTTTTAAATCTTCTCAACATGTGGTTTCATAAAACAAATTAGCCCATCTCTGCAGAGTGGTATTGTACATGACGCGATGGTATATTGGTACATGATACACTGCGTAGGACGTGTCCAACTCCTGCGCTCAAAACTTCTAAGCCTGACGCAAATGACTTTCTATTTCCCCTTGGCTTTATGCTGCCTAACACTGCTGCCAGAGCCAGACTTGGTGCGCAAGGTTGAGCGCTCCTTCTTCCATGCGGCAACCAGATGGTCAACGCTGCCCTTGTCATGCTCAGGCTTGCGCATGTACGTGAGCCTGGCTCTCCTGGCCCTCTTCGGCCGTCTCCATATGATGTTAATGGCAGTGACCGTGGGGCTGTAGACCTTGAACCATGACTCGACGCTCGTCTTCATCATCTGGCCGCGGAGCAGAATGGCTGTGTCCACGCCGCGTCGGCGTATTTCCACCAGGACGCCCGAGAACGGCTCGCCGGTCTTGGTACTGACCATCAGCACATCGCCCGGCTTCGCAGCATCAGCTTGATCTTTAGCGAATAGATGGGTCCTCGCGCCGGTGGGATCGAGCGTTGTGATGTGCGCTTGGCGCAGCGCTGGCATTGGGTCCTTGAAGTTGGTTCGAACGGTCGGTAACTCGGGGTAAATCTCAAAGCGAGACAGTCTCTCCTCACGATCACCTAAGGAATTATTAGCACGCTTCTCAGTCATGGCCAAGAATTCTGAGAGCAGCAGAACGCACGCTGCCGGCTTGTGAGGACAGGCTTGGTGCCATTAGGGGTCCGAGGCGCCGCAGCTGTTGCAAGCGGCCGCTGCCATGCCCGCTGCTGCCTCGTTTGCCTCAATGCCGCTTTGAGGCACCCTAATGGGCGCCCAATAACAGCAAAATTCATCGTGGCTGAACGTAGGATGTTTTGCGATATCGAGAACAAAAAGCGATGCCAGTCTCCAAAACCTCCAAAAACGCCAGGACCAGGAAGTATCCCAAAAGCCTAGCCCCAGTGCACCTTGTGATTGGCCCGCTTCGCGCTTTCTCAGACCCACACGCAAATTAGTATCGCGACTCGAACAGGACTGAACTTGGTTCTGATTGAACAGCAGCTTCAAATATCACGACAGCATGTCTAACCCTTCGTTGATCTCGATCCTCAGGGTCCTCGGTCGAGCCAATCAACCTTTGGCCAGGCAAGGAGCCAAGAAATTCAGCACAACGACACTACGTGGTACGAAACTAGCTGTCGCAAAAAATCTAGGGGCGTTGAAGCTAATCACCAACTATAGGAGTTCGAGCAACTTTTGTCGAGACCGAGAATTCCGATTTAAATCAAGTGTTGAATACTATTCAGGAGAAAACCATCTTCCCGTCGTATCTTCCCCAAAAGCAGCAAAAGATTGTTTTCAACCCCAAAATGCGACCATTCATGCAATCCAACCCTATCATTATCGAGGTCGATGGCATCGAGCACAGATTTTCCCCAATCGATCGCAGTAAGGATATCCCAAACTCGAAAAAGAGCTTCAACAAAGTCATGAACTTGATGGAGACGCCTGAGGACTGGGCCAACCTGGGCACACTCCTCGCCGGATACAAGAAGGCTGGCGTGAAACTTCGCAGCCAACACTGGGGGAAGATTGTCCGCCGCGCCGAGGAGACTGGTAACATCTACGCCGTGATTGAGTGCACAAAGCAGGCGGAAAAGACTGGATTGAAGTTGCAAACACACGAGATGGTTGTGCGACTCCTGGCCGGCATCAACGACAAGATTATCAACGGCAATCAGGCCGCCACGGTACAAGCCGTCAAATGGATGGACATGACCCTTGATTTACTACACCGCCAAGATCAGGTGAAAAAAAGAGAGGCGGCTGCGGATGCCAAAGTCCACGCATCGCGGCTGGCGCGCGGTCTCGTCTTATTCACGCGGGCCTCTGCAGTCTCGGCAAAGCAGGCCGTAGGAGAGGACGCAGCTGCAGAGCTGACCCTGCTCAAGGACGAGTTGGAGCTCTTGAACACGCTGTGGAAGAACGCGGACCTCAAGGATCTCGCTAGCCTCCCCGAATTTGCGGTGCTAAACCCCAAGGCCGTCGAGAAGCACAAGAACCTTAATGGTGCCGCCTTCGTCGGCGTTATCGCCCAGAATATGAAGGCCATCTCGCTGGCCCGCGAATTGGTCCCGGCGGCGGCTCAGAAGCTCCATACTGTGGAGACTGCCCTGTCAGAGCATCTAACACAATATGCTACGAATGACGAGCGTCGCGATGGCAGCTGGGCCGGCGTGTTTAAGAAGATTACCGGGGCCGAGCCGTCCTGGCCAGCAGTCCCGTCGAAACAGATCAAGGCTGATGGGGAATTCAAGGTTTAATACCGGGGAAAACAAAGCATATTGAAACTGTAAAATAGAACACAATTGTACAATATATCAAAAACACAAAACAGGCTCTTTGTATAAATCGCAATTCTATTCCTTTCCTATATGTTCCAGGCGCTTAAGCAAGGACAACGTATTTTTCCAGATGCTTGGGGATGGCGCCAATCAGCTTCTTCTCAGTGAGCCACTTGCGGGAGAAGAGCCTGTCCGCATACCGGTACGCGCCGTCACAGAGGACAGTCACGACTATGTGCCCCTTGCCCAGCTTCTCCGCGACCTCCTTGGCGGCGACGACGTTGAGCGCCGAGCTGGCACCCAGATACAGACCCTCCTCGTCGAGGCAGCGGTACACCATCTCAATGCTCTTCTCGTCCGAGACGGTCAGAGAGCCGTCCATCAGGTCAATGTCCGGGCGCAGGTTGTCCGTCACGCGGCCCTGGCCGATGCCCTCCGTAATGCTGCCGCCGCTGCGTTCGCTCAGCTTGCCACCCGACTGTATGTACGAGTGCAGCACACTGCCCGGCGGGTCGGCCAGGAAGCAGCGGACGCGCCCGCCCGAGGCATCCTTGAGGAAGCGCGTGACACCCGCGAGCGTGCCGGCGGTGCCGGTCGCGCAGGTAAAGGCGTCGACGCCACCGGCCGTCTGCGCCCAGATCTCAGGCCCGGTCGTCTCGATGTGCGCGCGGCGGTTCGCCGTGTTGTCGAACTGGTTGGTCCAGACGGCATTGTCGAGGCGCGCGGCGTGTCGCGCCGCCTGGTGGTTGTAGTTGGCCGGGTTGTCAAACGCGACCGCAGGAACGGGGTGCACCTCGGCGCCCAGTAGCCGCAGCAGGTCGATCTTGCCCTGCGACTGCGTGTTGGGCATGTAGATGACGAGCTTGTACCCGCGCGACCGGCACACGTGCGCAAGCCCGATGCCCGTGTTGCCGGCCGTGCCTTCGACCACGGTACCGCCGGCCCGCAGCAGACCGCGCTCCTCGGCGTCTTTGACCACATACAGCGCCGCTCGGTCCTTGATCGAGCCGCCTGGGTTCATGAACTCGCCCTTGCCAAGGATCTCGCACCCGGTCTCCTGGGAAAGTCGGTTCAGGCGGATAAGGGGGGTGTTTCCAATGGCTGTCGGTTGCGGAGATGTTAGCGCTAGAGTGCTGTTTTCAAGCCCGTGTTGGCGGCTTCGCCGTCTGCTTGGCCGGATCGCATGTCCTTTGGTGAGGGGGGGGCTGACCAGCAGTGAGGCCGTGGGCGACGCCTTGGGCCTGCGAAATGTTGAGAGTATGCGTTGAAGGTTCCGCCGCCGCGAATGCGGCAGCTGCTAAACGTCGTGCGGTAAATCGAAACATGGTGCCTTGGCTATGTCACAGACGATATCCGGTCTCGAATTGATATGAAACTGCGAGAATCAAGTCAGAGACAAGCGCCTGGGGGCTTCTAAGCTGCGAGCTTATCCGTCGTGGGCGGCTTCCAGGCCGACGTCCCGAGTGTGGGGCGCGCAAGCAACTGCTCTGATCACGTCATCTCGCGTCGTCGCCACACTACTAAGGGATACCCTGTAACAAAAACATCGAAATATCGTTCATCTCTGGAAGGGTAGTTCAAGATTACAGAGGCCTTTGTTCCCTGAATATGTGAAGTCTGCGGTTTTTCTTTCGAGCTATATTTCCCAAATAATCGCCAACCATCCTAAGCATCACCGTCAACTCGTACGTAGCCCGAAGGGAAGAGACCTTTGGCACCCATGTAAACGCCAAAATACCAATCACCATTTACATCTTCCGCTTCCCGAATCTCTGCGCCGCGAGGAAACATGAGCTCATCGTCGGCCTCTTTCTTCGGAAACCAGGCCCACTTAGCAAAAGCACGTAGGCCGACGCCGCCATCCGGCGGGAACAGTGTTGTGTTAGTGATTGAATCGTAGCTCGTTGGTGCTGTTGCTGGCATCTCTTGCGTCACCAACTTCTCTAGCTTCTGGTCGCCCTGCTTCCACGACCACTTCTGGGAGGGGGGTTCCAGTTGGATTTCGTGGCCGAGCGTCTCGATGCGAAGCTTGCGGCCCCCAACCAAGTCGCGCTCAATGTATCGCCAGTGGCCTACTTCACCAGGTGCAAAGCCGATAACCACCATCCTGTGGCCCCCCAGGCATCTGCGCCAGCCAGAGTGCCCGTTTTCCTCACTGATCTTGCCCTTACTCACCAGATCCGCGTAGCACGGAGAGCAAATATCATAGTCGCCGGGTGCTGCGTTTTCGACCAGAGAGCTCGTACAGCTGTAACAGTGATAGCGTATATCGGACGGGGTAATAATGGTGCGGCAAATGTCGCAAGTTGTTGCAAATGAGAGTGGCTTGAAGGGACTGATACTTCGTGTTTGGCTCTCTGTGACGATCCGAGCCGCTGTTGGACGGCCAGGCGACCGGCTGTGCGGCTCGGAGATCTCATGGCTGAGGGGAAGTAATGGATGTGTACAGGTGCGCCCCTGGTTGACACAGTTATTGCAGTACCCCCACTCGCCGTCGTTGCAGATGTCGCATCGCCAGTAGCAGTCGTTTGTCCACACCTGACACTTGGCGCAAAACGTTCCAGTCTCGAGCCGAAGCTGGGGGTCGTCGATTGTAAGTGTCTTGCGACCATCGGCACCGCCAGGTGTGGATGGTGGTGGTTGGTATCTGCTGGGTGTCAGAATGTGAGGAGGGGCCAGCGAGTCATCGCCACGCTGCTGTCGACGCCTTCGCCATTTGTTCCAGCCGCCGTAACCGAAGCCAAACCAGTACTGGCAGCCCTTTCCAGATCTATAGCAGTCAAGGCACATGGACCAGTGACCGCCGGCGCAAATGCTGCACTTGTAGTGGATTTCGTACTCGATATGTGTCTTTTTACATCTCATACATGTGATGGACGGTTCGGGGTATAATTGCGACATGTTCCTTTGGTGACCGAATCGTATTGGGCTCGTTGCAGCTGGGCTGGTGGCTGCAGAGTGAACAATGGCTAGCTCAGCTGCTCTGTTTTGTCTGCTGGCACTAGAGGCGCGCGATCGATCTGTGGAAGTGCGCGGGGATTCATTTGTGTTTGTGTTTGGCGGTCGAGCCAAGCGACTGGCAAATGACGAGCCTGTTATAGCGGCCGGTCCTGCAAGCTCCGCTGATTCTGAGGGAACGCTGGAGCTTCTGACCGTAGACGTATTCGGCCGGAGGCTGGAAGACGCCACTCGCTCGTTGTGAAGCGTTAAGTCGGTCTGGGAGCGGGCAGCAGGACGGATGGACGACTCGGTAGAGACGACTGGCAGAGTGGCCGCGCGACTACCGCTGGCTGTCCTGCGTCGAGCTCGAGTCTGCGATTCGCGAACCTCGCGGCTTGTCGGCGGGCGCATGTCTCGCTCTTCGGTGCTGGAGCTACCAGTGGCAGGCCGAGAGCTGGAACCTTCGCGACTTCTTGACGGACTAGCGGCGTCGAGTGGGCTTGGCCGAGGACCCAGGTGGCTGTCTCCGTCTCGTACATCCGCGTGAGCATCGTTGCGGCTTGTTGGGCTATCTCTGCGAGTAGGCTGGCTTGTGGCGCGACCCCTCTGTCGCCGCCGATATGCTTCCGTGATTCGACGACTGAGTTCGTCATCGCGAGTCAAATCAATGTTGTCTAGATCAAGTCCGTCGAGTAAGCCCTCTTCCTGAATCTGTCGCGCAAACTCTTCAATCTCTCTCTCGATATCGCGCTCGCTCAAGTCTGCACTGCTGATGAGGGACCGGAGGGAGGATTGGTGGCCAACTTGACGCTGTTGAGAGTCGCTTCGTCGCCGGCGATGCCTGTCACTGAGCAAGCCCAGCTGGTCAGTGCTTCTGCGCGGGCGACCGTCATCTCTTACCCGACGACCGGAGATGCGCTCCTCGGCAGCTCTGCTCCCTCGGCGTCTTCGCGGCGGTATATGTGGCACGCCGGTCTCCACCTCTCGAAGACTCATCTCGCGAACCTCGTCGAGCAGTCGCCTATCCTCCTCCTCAGCGCGGCGGTCCTCTTCGGTGCGCTCACGTGTGGTGACATGGGGAAGGATTTGGTCGCCTGGCTGATACTTTTTGTTCATTTCCTCCTTGTCGTCTGCATTTCGCGCTTTGCTGGGCTTCGCGGCTATGTACATGTCCAACAGCGTGACCACTGTAGCGTTATGCTTGGTATCACGAACAGTAGCCCGACAGGACGGGCAGGTGAAGAGCACGGCATCTGGAGCTGGTGGACTTGGTGCCCGATCGAGTTTCTCTTTTTGGAATCCAAACCATTCCTTCAAACAGGCACCACAAAATGTATGCAGGCAGTCAAGAAGCGTCAAGGGCTGGTACAGGAGCTCCGTGCAAATCTGTGATGATTCAAGGCGTTAACATTGTAGCTTGACGGGCGGGGTATGGCGGACAAATCTCACCGAGCATGTAAGCTCCGTGGCCAGATCGAGGCTGGGTCTTCGAGGATCCATTCATGACCTTGGGCGTGGTTCATATCACCAAGCCCTGTTCTTGACCGCCAACAGAGGTTTCTACAGAAACAGAGCTGTCTTGCACGAGAAAGCTTTCGCACGTTGTTGTGTGTGAGCGGCCCACTAGCAAGTCGGTGGAAGTGGCGGGGGTGGGCCTTGGATTTATTTTGTAGTTCTGACGAAGGACGAACAGGCTGGCTCTGTATCCACGCTGGCGTTGGAAGTATGGATAAGAAAGTTAGCTTGTCGCCAAGGCGTCGCGAGGGAGGGTAAAATTTTGAATTACTGTCGGAGTTGCTGACAGGTTTACAAGATCCCCGTCCGCTCTGCCATTCGAGGCACCACCACCATGCCCGAGCTCACATGTCGCACGCAGGTCACAAGATCTCTTAGTGCGGAGGTCATCCATACAGCAGATGACAATCTTATGCGCCTTGATATCAATCTACACACTGCTAGTCGTCGTAACTTTTCCATTTAAGAGTGCGACCACTCGGCCTTCCTCTTCTCCGCAAACGCCTTCATACCAATCTTCTGATCTTGGCTGCCAAACAGGCTGTGGAAGACGCGACGCTCGAACTCGACACCGTCTCGCAAGGGGAGATCCTGGCTCTTGTTGACTACCTCCTTGCAAGCCTGTACTGCAACCTTGGAGTAGCCGGCGATGGTCTCGGCGAGCTTGAGTGTCTCCTCCATCAGGGCCTCGTGGGTAGGGAATGTGCGGGCTGCGACACCCCATTGCTCGGCCTCAGCGCCAGAGAAGGACCGACCGGAGAGGATCAGCTCCATGGCCTTGGCCTTGCCGATGGCGCGGGTGAGGCGCTGGCTGCCACCGGCGCCAGGGATCGTGCCCAGCTTGATCTCGGGCTGGCCAAAGTTGGCCTTTTCGGTGCAGTAGATGAGGTCGCACATCATAGCCAGCTCGCAGCCGCCACCGAGGGCGTGGCCCGAGACAGCAGCGATGATGGGTTTCTTGATCTGGGTGGTCAACAAAGACCAGGACTCGATGAAGGACTTGGTGTAGGCTTCGGAGAAGGAGAGGGGGGCCATCTCCTTGATGTCGGCGCCGGCGGCAAAGGCCTTTTCGGAGCCGGTCAAGACAATGGCATTGGTTGCATCTGAGGCGTTGAACTCGTTGAGGGCTTGGTTAAGCTCCGTAATGAGGGGCGTGCACAGGGCATTGAGGGCCTTGGGGCGGTTCAGTGTCACTGAGGTACGGGTTAGTGTCCAAACGGCAGAGCTGCGTCTACATGCACAAGTGATGAATGCTAACCTTGGCCGACTCCAGGCCTGGGGTTTGAGGTCTGGATGTAATCGTAGGTCTTGGAGCTGTAGCAGCGGGCGATGCGCGGCAGCGTTGACGTCTGGAGAGAAACCCTGGCGACGGGTCGCAGGTAGCGGGAAGCGTTCATGTTGGGCGTAGGGAAACCTTTGTTTCAATTGAGTCTCTGCACAGCAAATCCTGACGTGACACGGCGGTTCTGGGCAAGGAATCGTTGCACAACCAGTACAGCGATGGATGATGCTAGCGGCAGAAGGGCGGGGCGGCGGCATAATTATTGTTTTATAGCAGCTGATGGGCTGGAAAGCGTCGGCTTTGAGCCATGGCGCTGGTTCCGGAACGGGCCGGGAGACTATATACCTATGTACCTACCCTGTGTACATAGGTAAATACCTAGTGGTAAGTACTTCATGACTGGACAAATTACTCTGAAAATCCGAATTTAATATCCGAATTTAGAATCCGAATTTAGACTCTGAGCTTGGCATCCCGCCCATCCGCGCGCTTGTGAGAATAATGACAGTATAATTTAATCGCCCCTCGACGCGCCGCACATCGGCTGGACGGCTAGCTGCGACGGAACGCCGCTGGCCAGCCTCTGCTTAAAGTGCGCCCAGGTCGAGCGCGGGGCGGCTGTGTCCCTGCAAGGCGGACGAGACGGCAGCTGTGCGTTCTGGATCGCTTGCCATGAGAATCAGCCTGGAACAGCACAGTTTTTGCACAGCCAGGGAACGGATGTTAACATTGTGAGTCTCTAGCGCGAAAGGGAAAGTGGCTTTTAGAAAACTGCTTGCCATGCTATGCTGCTGGTAATTTTCGAGCAAAACTTTTGTTCCTCACTGGCTGAGGTTGACAGCAGCAAGTCTTTGCGGTGTAGGAAGCTGGCATTCTAGTACGCACCAATAAGGTAGCAGTAGAAAAATTGGTGGCTGCTCCTGTTAAACAAAAAAAGCCTGTCGCATGTCTAGCTGACAACAAGAAGCTAGAGACGAGTTCAGTGGACAGACAAGGAAGCCTATTAGAGGCACTTATCAATGATCCCATCCCCTTTCGTGGTGGATCTTGGGGCAGTGTCAACGAAGAGAGACAATCGCTGATTGGCTAGAATCAACTTGCGTGTCGGAAACGTACTGGTGCAACAACAGTCCGCCAGGTGCAAGCCCCTCCAAGCCAGATACAGGCAGTCAGCCACTGCAGTCGGCGAAAAAAAAAAATTACGTCTGCCCCAAACCCCTTCTTTGAGGCCAAACCTTGTGTGGCAACGTCCCGAGAACAAGCCACATATAGGTCTTTGCTCCTTGCCTTTCTTCTGTCACCGGAGCGTTGCGCGTCTCCTGTCGGCCAAGGCTGAACTTGAACACTGTTGCAGCATTTATCGCAGCTTCCAATCCCTATACTATACAAACCCGACCACGCGACTTCTAGCAGCCATGGACGCTCCCGAGCCCGAGTCGACGCCTTTCGCGTCTGTTACTGCCCATACTACCAAGCTCCAGAGAGTGCGTCTCGCCACTTCATGCGACGTCGCGATGCTGCATTGCGACATCTTTGAAACCGACCGCTAACATCGAGCAGCAATACCAAGCTCTCCTTGACCAGTCCACGCCATACGTGCTGAACCGCTGGATCGGCACCGGCGTCACCCTCATCCTGTTCTTCATCCGCATCTTCGTCGCCCAAGGATGGTACATCGGTAGGAGCAGTCCTGCATAACACTGCTGATATCTCTCCCCGAAGACGCGGCTAACCGCACTCTGCTCTAGTTGCTTATGCGCTCGGCATCTACCTGCTCAACCTCTTCCTCGCCTTCCTCCAGCCCAAATTTGATCCCTCCAACGATGACCTCGACAACGACATGGAGGACGGCAACGTGGGCACCCTTCCCACCAAGAGTGACGAGGAGTTCCGACCCTTCATCCGTCGCCTGCCAGAGTTCAAGTTCTGGTACTGGGCCACGCGCGCCATCACCATATCCTTCTTCTGCACATGGTTCGAGATCTTCAACATCCCTGTCTTCTGGCCCATTCTCGTCATGTACTGGATGATTCTCTTTGTCCTGACCAGTAAGTGTTTCGCAAACGCGCACTTACATCTGCCAGCTGGTAACACCTACCATAGTGCGCAAACAAATCCAGCACATGATCAAGTACCGATACGTTCCCTTCACGGTCGGCAAACGCACCTACGCTAAGGAAAGCTCGTAGATGCATGCAACATCGTCGCATAGCTAATGCCGCGAGTATCGTACTAGATGTCCGGTGTCCGGTGCACTACACCACAAGAAAGAACTGTATAATATTGTCACGTAGCTCTAGGCGGCTGCTAGGATTTTTATCCTTGCTGTTTGTTTAACCACTGTTTGACTCGGGGCATGGATTCTGGAAAGGAGCAAATTTAGACGGGAATGAGTGCGAAACTTGGCAAATAATCGCTGCTTGCTTGGGAGACAATTGTTTAATGAAGATATAAATAATTTCGATTTCAATTGCTGTATCAGAATAATCACCTCCCTGAGCTCTTGTCTTTTTTTTGAAAGCATGCCGTTCAGATGTACGTGGTGTTGTGCTCTGGCGAACGTGGGGTGGCCCAGTTTCTTTCTGGTGCCACGAGCGCCCCAGCTCAACGACAGAGGGAGCTTGACTTTTCCCTTGAAGCAACCTTGCGCACTGCATCCTAGCCACCAGCACAACGAATCGCTGCTGTCTTTACGCGCAATCTTAACAAATTTTTACAAAGGGCTAATTGAATCCATTACTGCTATCAAGGTGTACAGTTCGCTGCTGTCGCGACTTCTTAAAAATGTCGTCCTCTGGGCCTCGTTCTGGCGAGCGCGTGATTCACCAGGACTTCATCGCTCGCATTCGCTATTCCAATGCCCTCCCGGCCCCGCCGAACCCTCCCAAGCTTCTCGACATCCCAAACACAGGCCTCTCCAGCGGCCAATATACGACACCAGGATTCGCCTCGAGGCTGGCGCGGGAGCAGCCGCTCAACATTGAGGCCGACGCCGAGCTGGGGATGCCGCTAGACTTGGTGGGCATGCCTGGCGTTTTCGATGGCGACGAGAGTTGTAAGTGATTCATAAAAATAGCCACTTGGAGCCGTTGCCGAGTAGTTGAAGCACCAACTTGACGACTTTGCAGCTATTCAAGCACCCGCACATCCACCGCCGGTGCACCCTCACGACAAGCCTCTGCTTAGACCCATTGCTGCGCTCGGCAAACCCAAGGTTGCCGAAGCCAATGTGTCTTTCCTCCGACGCACTGAATATATCTCCTCGCTTGCGACGAAACGATTCGAGGGCAACAGTCCCCGCGCGCTCCTGATGAAGGCCAAGCGGCCTGTTCCGCGCCAAGCCGAGGCCGCCGCCAACGCGCCGCAGACCATCAAGCGCAAGATTGAGCGCTCATTTGACGTGGCCGAAGAGGAGCTGAAGGATCCCAAGCGCATCAGGCACCCGACCAAGAAGCACCTCAAGGCTGTTGAGGTCACACCGCTACTGCCGGACCTGGACGCGTTCCCGGACTCGGGCGCCTACGTGACCATCAAGTTCCTCACGAACCCCATGGCCGGCGGCGGCGGTGGGTCCGGCAGCAAGTTCGACGCGCGCCTGCTCAGTAGTCTCTTCCGGCCCATCGACAAGACGGAGAATGAGGAGCGCTCGTACGAGGCAGCGCTGGCCGCGCACGAGGCCGACCCCGTCGGCAACCCCAAGCCGCAAAACCTGATGAACTACGACTTTTATCTCGGCGATGGGCCCGCCGTCGGCCGCAACTTTCGCCGCAAGTTTGACGTTGACGACCCGGAGCACGGCGACGACGCGCTGTACACGGAGCGCGCGGCTGGCGCCGGCTGCTTCCAGTTCAACCGCGTGCGCGCGTACGAAACGGCGCAGGAGATTGAGCTCGATCACGCGACCAAGTACCAGGACGAGGTGCTGCTCGCGTTCAACGACGATGAGGCGTACCCGCGCCAGCGCGCCGTCTACTACTATCCCGTCATGCAGAAGTCCACCGTCCGCCCGCAGCGCACCAAGAATATTGCTCGCACCGCCGGCATCTACGAGGAGGAGCAGATCGTCGACCAGTTGGATATAACGGTCGACGACCCCACAGAGGAGATGCGTGACGCCATGCGGCGCTACCGCCAGCAGCCCCTCGGCTGGGAGCAGGAAGAGGAGGGGGAGGAAGAGCAGCAGCAGGAGGAGGTGCTGGCGGAGCAGCCAGAGGAGGATGGCGATGCGGAGGATACCAACGCAAGACATCGTTCGCCATTGGAGGCTGAGGGTGACGAGGATGAAGATTGAAAGAGCCGGACGGGGAATGATCTCAGTTGTATTTGTATATCCTTTGTATGAGAGGAGTGGCAGCGAGGGCAAGAAAATATGCGGGGGATTTATTTTCGAGGGCGGCGAAAGTATACAGATGAAGACTTATAGAGGGATGGGATTTCTTCCTCTATTGAAGGTTAAGCGTCCAGCGTAATATATGCCATTCATGCAACAACTGCAGACGTCGTGGTCGTCAATCTTGGTCATCATCATGGTATCTGGTTGTACGTATATATGAAAGATGTTGTGCTTGTTCAAGAAATATCTGATATGCCCAAAAGAAAACGCCTCGGTAAAGTAGTACGTCGCAAAGCATTAGTCCCAGCCCATATATACACACCATCATGTCGTTGACATGTTATCGGATCATCTCTAGTTTCGTTTGGGATCGTTTGGCTGCGCCTGTAGAGGAAGCTTCTTATCCGCGCTGGCCATGTCAAAGCCAATAACCTCTCTATTATCATCAATGACTCTTGCGTATCTGGAAAAATTGTTAGACCTCCATCGTCATAAATCCCGTCCCTCAGGGGGCGTCGCAAAACTCACTCAAGCAGCAGCCGAAAAAACCAGGCCTCCATATCGACCTTGCGGAGCGCACGGCCCGCCCACTCCCTACTCACCGTAGCCATGTCCTCTGCCGCGGCCGATCCCTCATCCGTAGCGCCATAGTAGTGCGCGGCCGCAAGCCAGTCGCCGCCTTGCATGCTGAGCGGCACGTAGTGCAGCCAGGGGCGCAGCCAGCCGGCCGTGTGCCACTCACGAAAGACCGCAAGCTTGAAGACCTGGCTGCGGCTGCGTAGGAACGCGTAGAAGCGCCCGCTGAAGGCGTTTCCGTCCATGTCGAGCAGGAACATGTAGCGCCACGCGTGCTGCATGTCGACGACGTCCTTGATCTTGAAAAACTGCCGCTGCGCCTGGCAGTCGCCCGGATCGCACTGCCCTACATGCGAAAAGTGCACGTCGGTCAGCCGCCGATGGTCGCTGCGCGGGACCTGCTCTCCGGTCCACCGTTGGCTTCCGCTACCACCGCCCTCGGTGAAGATGAGGGTATCGGTGGCACTGTTTATCTTTTCGACAAAGTTTTGCCGGTGCTGCCGCCGCCAGCCGCCGTTGCGGCTAAAGCCACCGGTCGTAGAGCCACGCCAGAAGAGCTTGCCCTTCTTGTCGACCCAGGGCACGTCCAGCGTCTCGTTGTACTTGACCTTGCCGTACCAGTACCACGGCGACGGGTATATAAGGTCCGCGTATGATGAGATCTTGGACTGCGAGAAGACGGGGAACAGGTCGTGCGTCACCTTGAACATGTTAGGGCGGTCAAAGAAGCCGTACGTCCGCCGCAGCGACGGCGTCGAGCAAATGTCCGACATGGCAGTAACGTTATCGACGAAGCCAGCCGCGCTCAGCGCGTACCTGCGCATGTCGTCGTTGGCGCTGTCGTCGTCCTCGAGTGTCCGCGCGGGGCTGTCCGGGGCGCAGGACATCCGCGAGTTGGTCCAGGTCGCTTCGCGGTGAATGTTGTTGAAGCGGGTCAGCTTGGTCTCATCAAACCTCTGCTTCTCGCCAAGCTCCGACGCAGTTGCCGTGAAGTCATTGGCGGGCAGTTTTTGATTTGCTGCCGCCGGCATGGCCACGCGGCGCGCTTTGTCGACGAGGCGCGTCAAGTCGTCGTGCGGCAGCACCACTCGCGGCTCGTCGTGAAGATTGAACGCGAGATTCATATCGGGAAGATAGGGAAGCATGTTTTCGAGCATTCCCACAGTGGCATTTCTTTGCCAATCTGGCCCCCCAGTGCTAAATGCCACTGTGTGGTCGCGGATCGCGATGCCGAGGAGGGCATTGTCGTAGCCCAGAGCCTCTTTTGCGCGGCTGCGAATGGTTGCTGGTTTCAAGCCCCAGAACGGAGTTATGAGGTCATGGACATTGTCAAACTCGTCAATCATCTGAACGTCGTTTCTCTTTGCAAATTCAAACCACTTGTCAAAGTGAGGGGGGGGGGGGGGGGCCAACATCCAACGTGGTTGACTGCCTCGCTACAGTCTGGTCAAACTCCCTCTGGGCATTCTGTGTGAGGAACTTGATAGGGTGCATGGACATGTCAGAGAATTCTTTTGGGGTTGATCCCTGGTCCGCCGTAGGAGGAGCGGGCTCTGTGTCTGATGCCGCTGGCGTAGCGGTCGCTGTTTCTATTTGCGGCTCCGGACTCGGGGGCTGAGGCGGCTGCTGCTGCTGCTGTGTTTGGTGTGGAACTGACGTCGAGATATTGGTATTGCGTGGTATTGTCGTCCCTTCCATGTGAATAAGCGAATTTGAAAAGAAAAAAAATAATGCCACAACCATGACGAGGGCCCATGGCCGCCGCCGGGACAAGAGATCCAGCATCTCGCGAAGACCGGCGCGGGGCGTAACGGGGGGCCGAAGGCGCGCGTCGTCGACTACTTAATCACAATGGATGGAGCATACGACAGAGCACGATGCTCTGATGGGAAATTTTGAGGTGTATAAAATCAAGGGCCACTTGATCTTCAGCTTTGCGGCCCAAAGTTGCCTAGTTGTGCTAGAACTGAAGCTGCTTTTTGCGCAGTGTTGATGGCGGTCACCACGGTGACGCATTATGTCAGCAGGTTTGATCCAACGATATTACTATTTAGGTATAAGAATGAGAGAGCCAAAAGCAACATCGAAAGTGACAAGAAAAGCACTGGTATCAAGATAATTGTCCCTGAATCCGTTGTTTGACAGTAGAAACGGAGGATTGCAAAGTCCAGACAGGGCGTGGTAGATGAAAGAAATAATGGAATGCAGGTAGTGGAGTGGGTTGCTAATTCAAGCGATGCGGCTCGAGGACGGGCAAGAGGAGAAGAAAATTGCGAGACTAATAAATGCAAAATGCAAAATAACTGTAATTTAACATGAGAGGTAAGAAAAATAGGTACTCAATAGCCACTCCGTACGGAAAATGTGTGCTGTATTGGTTCTGCGGCCTGACAAGAATGTCGTTATTCTGCATCTTCTGCGTTGCCATTAGGCTTATTAATAGCAGAACGATGCCAAGGTTTTTCTTCTCGCCCGGCGAAGGTGTGTAGCCCCAACCACAGCTTACGTATGTCCCGGTCCGCAACCGCATTTCTGTAGCCGAGCGCCCGATGGGTCTCAATAACGAGCGAAGATGGTACGAACTGCTTGATGACTTTGGGTAATGGTATTTTTAGATGGAGACCATTAAAATGAAGACAGCTGTTCGCCATTTGAGTGGTGGCTTGCAAGCAACTTCCAACTTCGCGCCAGGAGGCTTACGTATGGCCGCTGTTACTACTAACTTAAAAGGCGCATGAGGCGTAGTGTCATGTAATGAATGTAGCTTCGTAGATGATAGCTCTTGTTCTTACCCAAGTTAACATTCTGACTGGCTCAAGAGGGACAAAAGGAGCGGCAGCCATTTGGCGTAGGGCTTTTGGAAAGGGGGGGATTGGGTCTGGGGCTAATAGTTATTGCTCTATTGATAATATCAACGTTGTTGAGAGCTATCAACACCTGCGCAAGGGTTGATCGGCACCATTGTGCCCTAGGGGTGGAGTGAGTACTAATAACAGCGTCGCCAAAAAGCTGAATCCGACCAAGTGTCAACGTCATCTCTCAGAAATGTGGTGTTTTGCGAGAGCATCTTGTTTCGTAATTTCATAGTTGCTGTCTCGTGCTAGGCACTGAGGTGAGGGAGTACGGAGTAGAGAAATCAGAATGAGAGCCTGTTCGTCCGATTATTCAGTGGTACCCGTAGGTATTGGTCAGGAATTATAGGCCCATATTCGTTCAGTGGACTTATCCACAACTACAAGACCACTTTCTGGCAGTTTTTTTCTTTCTGTTCTTCTATCTACAAAAGCTCTCGGCTTCTCTTCCTATGGTGTATTACTTGAAATCATGTGTAGAGACTTGTACTGAGCACTGTGTCTCTTTACCAGGGCGCGGGCGCACCACGACAGCGAAACAGCTGACTGGCTGCAGGTTTCCAAGTTTCATGGCAATCCTTGTCAACATCCATAAATAGCTTACCAGCTACAGCCTGGCAGCCTGGTAATAATTGTCTCGCTTTGTTGGAATCCACTGAGGCCACCCCAGGGCCCCCTTAATGCAGGAAGATACCTGTTCCAGCAAGAAGCTTCCCTATTGCCTAACTACCTGTTCAGTTGCGCCGCAGCATGGTGGCTGGTGCAGCGGCAAGGTATCTACCGAGCTTTGCGAGATCGGCAGCCACAAAATAGGCACATACGTATGGAGACTACGTACCTCTCTCTTTTGCCTCTTCACATCCTTTTCCCTTGCCAGCTGCCAAGTCGCCAGCTTCCCATGACGATCCTTGACCAGACTTCATTCTTTTGTCTCCTCGCATCTGCTTCCACTTTTGCATTCCTTTTCCCTTCCCAAGTTCCCTTGCTCATTCTTTTACCATCACTACGAATTACCTATCCATCCATTCATTCGCCCGTTCATTCATTCTCTCCGACACCCCACCAAACGGCCTCATTCCCTCCCTAAACTCAAACGGCCTAGCTCCGATCTACAACACCCCAGCGCATGTGCTTCGATGGCGAGAGTCAATAACTCGCCGGCGACCCTATCGTTTGGCACAATGCCTTCTCCCGAGACGGACGAGTCCGAGCCCTTTCTGGCCGCCAATTTTCTCGAAACCCCGATCCCACTCGAGGAAGCCACCCCCGAGCCCCGTCGCAATACCTTCACGGCTAGATCTTACAACAAGAGCGCCACCAGATCACGGTCGCCTTTAGTTGCAGCTACCGCGCCGCTAGGATCTTTAGGCTGTTGTGCTGCTCGATATTTGCGCCGCCAAATACGATGCTCGATCCCCCGGCAGCTAATAGTCCTCCTCAAGCTCTACCTTCTCAGCGTTGCCATTCTACTCTTCTCCGTTCTCGTCATCTTCCCGTCACATACGAGTCCTCCGTCCCAGTACCAAAATCTTGAGCAGAGATGTGGCGGCCCTCTCCCAGAAGCGGGCTGCGCCAACCTTCACCAAGAAAAAATATTCATCGTGGCTTCAATGTATGACAAGGATGGGGAGTTGCTAGGCGGCCAATGGGGCCAACAACTCCTGGACCTCGTTCATATCATCGGCCCCGAAAACGCCTTTGTCTCCATATACGAAAATAATAATGCGCCGGCTGGTACGGCTGCTTTGATTAACTTTCGCCGAAGACTGCTCTGCAAGAGCGAGCTTGCCCATGAGCAACAGCTTGATCTCTCGAAGTTTCCCAATATTACCATGCCCGACGGCTCCGAGCGAATGAAACGATTAAGTTACCTTACCGAGTTGCGTAACCGAGCCATGTGGCCTCTTGATCGCTTTGACGAGTCCGTTGGCGTCTTCGACAAAGTCTTATATCTCAATGACGTCTTCTACCGCCCCATCGATGCCGCTCACCTCCTCTTTTCCACCAATACCGACGACAGCGGCCGCACCCACTATCTCTCTGCGTGCGCGATGGATTTTGATTCGCCAGGTATCTTCTACGATTCCTACGCTCTGCGTGATGCCGAAGGATACGGCACTGGCTCCCAAGAGTATCCCATATTCACCACAGCAGGTAACGCCATCTCGCGCCACGATATGCTGGGTGAAACCGACGCCGTCCGCGTCAGTACTTGCTGGTCTGGTATGGTCGCTATGCAGGCAAGATGGGTCCAAAACACCGATTCCGCTCTGCTGCCAGCGCCTAATTTTCAGGATGTTGGCGCCCATATTATTGACCCTGATGCGCCGAAGTCTGTGGAGGTACCAATTCGTTTCCGCTATGAGCCAGAAATCTTCGCCGATTCGTGCGAATGTTGCCTCTTCCTCGCCGACGTCACGACCGTTGCTCGTAATGCTGGAGCTATCGACACTGACACCTTTCTCAACCCTTATGTGCGGGTCACGTACAAGCCTAGATTATTGCCGTGGATACTGATCAGTAAGCGTTGGGAGCGTATTTGGATACCGTTGCAGCTTCTTCGCACATGGTTGCAGGGCCGCCCAGAGGTCAATCCCCATCGCACTGTCCAGGAGGGCGAGGCCTTTATCGAGGAGGTCTGGGTGAATAATCGCTCACTCTCAGCCGGTGGAAGCTGGGTTATGAGGGAGCGCACAGGACGCAATGGCATGCTGTGCTGGGGACGCATGATGCACTTGATGAAGCTGGGGGGCAAGCGTGGAGGTGACAGAAACTGGGAAAGAGCCGGTATACCAAAAGGCCATGTACAGTGACGAGCGCTTCTCTTTCCCTCTTTTTTATGGGTTTGCTTTGCACGGCGTTCTTTTGCTAAGACATTCTCTATACGGTCCTCTAGCGAGTCTTGATGTAATTACTTGGTATTAATACCCCATGAAGCGCCTCTTTGGCATAGTCGCGTCTTACATGTATGTATAATTCACCGTTCTATTCTCCATGGCCACGCTCCCGGGTTCCTCTCACCTATATACATAGATACAGAACAGCATTCTCGGAAGCTTTCTTCGAATATTTATTCTACTTTAACTTGAGAAATCTTCGCCTATCCATGTCCTCTTGAGTGTATATGACATACACAACCGGGTTTGTCTATTGAGTGTTCATATTGCGCTGGTTGATTAATCCTATATTATGCTCTAACTTACAATGCAAACTTCCCAAATGCCCGTATTCGAGACGATATGCGTTCTATAGTCTAAGGGAGTATGAAAAAAAATTGAATGACAACTTGGGCCGAGTTCATTACTCTGCCTGCTTGGACCTCTTCGTACGCAGCTTCATCAGAACGTAGACGAGAATGTACGAGCTAAGCACCAGGAGGACGACAATGCCCGCGTCACGCCAGCCGTAGTAGTACTCGTTGAGGTTGAGCGTACGCAGGTAGTCCTGCGCTACCGTGTAGGTGCAGACCTTGCAGTCCGCCGTGGCCTCGGGGTTCACCAGGTTAGCGACGGACCCGGGCCCCTGGGAGCCAAGGTAGGCATCAAGGTACTGGCCGCACGTCTGGCCACTCGGCGGGTCGAAGCGGGCAAACTCGCTCTCTTTGCAGCGGACGTCGTTTCCCCACATGGTGAAGGTAAGAATGCTGCCCATGAGGTAGTTGAAGGGGTTCAGGTAGTACATCCAGTACCGCCAAAAGGGCTGTATCTGGGCGTACGGGACCAGGACGCCGCAGAAGGAGACAAGCACGCCGATGATGAGTGGGTTGACGAGCGTGGCGGATACGACGTTGGGCGCGTAGGCGGCGATGAACTGGCCGATTCCGGTGTAGAGGAACTCGTACATGAGCATGACGAAGAAGGTGCCGCCGGCGCGAGTCGACGCTCCCGGGAAGCCGACGGTGTAGTACCAGCAGAGGTAGTAAATGACGCCGCAGACGATGAGGTACGGCATCTCGGAGACGATGAGGCCAGTGGTGAAGGCAAACCATGAGTACGTCTTGGACTTCTTCTCGCGCGTCTCAAAGATGTCGCGGCGGCTGATGAAGAGCGGTTGCAGCTGGGCGAGCACGCCGGGGGCGACGAAGATGAACTGGAAGATGGCGAACATCTTGGCCTGCAAGTCGCCGAAGGAGTCGCCGACCATCCAGAAAGAGAAACCGTTGAAGAGGGAGGAGAAGATGTGCAGCATCACCTTGTTGTTGACGTACTCGGTGTTGCGCCAGAGGGAGACGTTCATGCGGCGCGTGACGACGCGGATCTGCTCACCCATCGGCGTCGCGAACTCGTGGCCGTCGACGACAGTGCCGGGGGGCTTGGCCGCCGCCTCGGCGACGATGGCGTCGAGCTCGGCCGTCATCTTGGCATGCTCCGGCGAGGCCAGCCACGTCTGGTTCCAGTCTCGACCGCCGCCCTCGGCCTTGGCGTTCCCCGAGACGACGTCGATCATGTACTCGGCCGGGTTGGCGTCGAGTGGGCATGGACATCCGTAGCCGCCAAAGTAGTCCTTCACGGCCTGCCCGTTCTCGCCAATGTCTCCAAAGTAGACCGTCTTGCCACCCTTAGCCAGCAGCAGCAGGCTGTCGAACTGCGAGAAGAGCTGCGCCGAAGGCTGGTGGATCGTGACCAGCACCGCCTGCCCGACGGCCGCCAGCTTGCGCAGGAACTTGACTGTCCGGTACGCCGACTGCCCGTCGAGGCCGGACGTCGGCTCGTCGAGGAAGATGAGGATGCTCGGCTTGGACACGAGCTCGACGCCGATGGTGACGCGCTTGCGCTGCTCGACCGACAGACCCGCGCCGACCTCGCCAATCAGTGTGTCCGCCAGCGGCCGCAGCTCCAGTAGGTCGATGATTGTATCGACGTACGCCAGCTTCTCGGCGCGCGGCGTGTCGCGGCTCTGCCGGAGCAGCGCCGAGAACTCGAGCGCCTCCCGCACCGTCGCGTACGGCTCGTGCACGTCGAGCTGCTCGCAGTAGCCCGCGGACCGCTGGAAGGACACGGGCAGCGCGCGGCCGTCGACAAGCACGGATCCGGTGATGGTGCCATCCGTCTTGCGCTGCGCCAGCACGTCGAGAAGCGTGGTCTTGCCGGCGCCCGAGGATCCCATGAGAGCCGTCAGATTGCCGGGCTTGATCCAGCCCTGCACGTTGTCGAGCAGGAGCCGGTCGCCGGAGGGTGTCTTGACCGTGTACGAGAGGTTCTTCCACGTGAATATGGACGTGTTACGGACGAGCTTGGCCTGAAGCGAGTCGCTGCCTTCCTCTTCGGTGCTGGAGGGGGCACCATCTGTCGTGACGGCAGGCAGCTCCTTGTCGTTTTGGTTCTCCTCATCGGAGTGGTTAGCACTTACGGCGACGTGCTTGCTGTTCTCGCGGGGAATCACCAGGCTCGGTCCGTTCTCCGAGGGCGACTTCCACCGGCAGGTAGCCCATACCGTCACGCCGACGAAGAACACCCACCAGACCCAGACGATGCCAAAGTTGCGCCAGAGGTGGGCGTGGCTGTAGGACAGCGAGGCGAGGTAGTCGTCGCCGAGGATGAAGGACGTTCCCGGCTTTCCGCCGCCGATACCTGCGCAGGCGCTGTGGGTGGAGTTGAGGTAGTCGGGGCCGCTGGGGATGATGTTGTTCCCGACGCAGGTGACGATCTTGCCGTGGAACTCGTTGGATAGCAGGGCATCAAAGGCATACGCAAGAGGGTCAATCCAGAACACCCAGACCAGCCAAGGATGCATGTCGGGCTTCTTGAGCTGGAAGCCGGCATACAGGAAGGCGGCGGTGACGACAACGCCGGAGACTTTGGAGGCATCGTCAAAGGTCCGGAACAGGGCGCCAATGGCACGGAACAAGGCCGTCATGCAAAAGCCGGCGGACAGTACAATGGCCCAATACGTGAAGAACGCGCCGGCGGAGCGGTCCAGGTCGACCATGAAGTACAGGATCAGAGAAAAGGTAGATGTTTGAAATAGCAGAACGGGAATGTCGGCAGCAATCTGCGCCAGGCAAAATGCGGCAGGGTGAAAAAAGGCAAAGGCCTTGTGCTTGACCAGGACCGGCCTGCCATTGAACGAGTCCGTTACCTCGGACATGGCCACGAGGGTAGGGTATAAGAGCGAGAAGAATAGTGTGCCCGATTTGGAAAGCAGGCCGGCCGTATTGCCCGGTGCGTTGTAGAAGAGCGAGCCGGCGATGAGGGCCTGGATAATGTTGGTCGTCTGCTTGATGAAGAAGGTGGGCTTGTCACCCAAGACAATCTGGTATTGGCGCGAGACGCACGCACGCACTTGCTGGTGGAAGCCGACTGTGAAGGGGCTCGCTGCCGGCAGGCCCTTGTGGCGCTCTCCGGCGACGGCTCGCTGAAAGTCGGCCGTTGCGTCGCGCGCGCGCACAGTCGTCGGGTAGTCGTACTCGGCAGCCATGCGCGGCCGCAGCGGGGACGCCTCGTAGGCGTCGCGGACGGCGTCGGCGGTGCGCGGGAACGCGTGCCGGTGCTCCGGCCGCACCTTGCGCTCCGAGGGGATGGTGACTCCGGTCAGGAAGTCGGCGACATTAGCACCAGGCTCACAGATGAAGCCCTGTGCCTCCATAAAGGGCCGCGCCTCAGACAGCGGGCCGTAAAAGGTCTCTTTGCCCTCATCGAGGATGAGCACCTTGTCGAACAGGTTGTAGATGCCGTTGCCGGCCTGGTAGAGGGTGACGATGGAGGAGAGGCCAAGCACGTCCGTCATGGCCCGGATGGCTTTGGCGTAGTCGAGGGCACTTTGATTGAAACCTGTTAGCTATTACGGTTCTTACACGAGGCTACACGCCTGTGGCTTACCTGCTAGCATCGAGACCTCGAGTGGAATTGTCCCAGCAAAAGACGCTACCTCTGGCGGCCAGACACTCAATGATGGATACGCGCTTGCGCTCGCCGCCGGAGACGCCGCGGACAAAGGCATTGCCGACCTTTGTGTCATGCGTGTGCTCGATGCCCATCGACTGCAGCAGAAACTCCCTCGCCTCGACGCGGTACGCCTCGGGGTCGTCCTTTGCCTCCGGCGGCAGCGTCCACGGCACGTTGAGGCGGGTCGCAAAGTCCATCGTCTGGCCTACGGTGAGCGTCGGAAAGAAGATTTCCTCCTCAGTATTCATGATGATCTGCCCTCGGTACCGGCGGGCCTCGTCCGCGGTGAGCGCGCCAAAGTGCAAATCGCCGGCTACGCGCGCGTACCCCCTCCGGTTGTTAGCGAGCACGTTGAGCAGCGTCGTGCAGCCGGAGCCCGGGCGGCCGAGAACGAGCAGCATCTCGCCGGGCTTGACACAGCCGTGGACGTGGTCGAGTATGGTCTTCATGGGCGGCGCGCGGCGCGACTCACGCACCTTTTGCAGGATGTTGAGCTGCGAGCCCACGTTCTCGTGGATGGCGGCGTCGGAGCTGACGGCCTCGACGGTCAGGCCCGTCCAGGTGACGCCGAGCTCGCGGCGCGGGAAGCCAGCAGCGCGGTCGCGGGCTTCGGCGGCGACGACCTTGTGCTTAAGGTGCCAGTCGTTGCTGCCATCGGCGGCGTTGTTGCCGACGAGGGTGGGCGCCTCAGAGCCCCCCATGGTGACTGGGCAGTGGGAAGCGCAGTGTGTATTTTCGGGCGTCAATGTGTCGTGTTACAGCCTGCTAGACAAAAGGCAAATCCTCTAGTGGTGTTGAGAATATCGTCTGATGTGAAAAATGGAGGGTTGCACAGGGCCATCCCAAGAGATGGGAGCAGCTGCACTTTTATAAATGGTCTAGCAGGGCTCGGTTTATAAAGATCCATTATGTCGCCGCTTCCTGAATAGAAAGAACGCGGAGCTACAGCGCCAAGAACGAATGACAACGGGGCCTTACTCCGTAAAAGCCGATCCACCTCGAGACCCAGCCTGATGGTTTGTCGCTGACTTACCTTGACTGACACTCCGCCCGCGGAACTGGGCAATACTGCTAGCGGAGGAAGAGAGGAAGAGCCCAACCTAATCAAATCGCTGCTTGTTCTGGCCGGCTTGCAGATGGCGCAGCAAACACCCAACCTACTAACTAACCCGTCCAACCCTTGCTTAATCCGCTTAGCTGGCAGGGGAGGGACGTCGACGACGGGCCACAGGCCAGGGGCGAGAACCAGAAATTACCTATTTGGGATGATTTCAACAGCGGTCGCCAGCGATGAGACGCCGCTTAGTCACCCACAGCATTGTTTGCGGCTCGGCGGCAACAATGTGATCGATCAATCAACGAAATCTGGTCGACGCGGAGAAAAGAAAGCTTCGTAAGTCACAAAGCTAGTGATATGGGTGATTTATCAGCAAGCATGGGTTCATTCAACAAAACATTAAAGAAATAACTGGGACCATGACATGTATCCCGCGGTGCCGCCGGGCATCCGAGGCGTTATGTGCGGCGTCGGCATCGAGACCCCTCCGACTTTTAGCATAGGGCTACCGCTTGTACCAATGGTACTCTTCATCGCCGGTCTTTGTAGCTTCCGCTCAATATCTCCCTTCAACTCTCCTCGCAACTTCACATGTCCGAACGAGCGCTATGACTAAGCGGGCATTTACGCGGCAGCACCTCCGCCAAGACTCGGGAAAAGCAGCCATTTGGACTGCTGTGCCCCAGCTTTTATTCTTTTTTCTTCTTCGAAAACGAGGTGTTTTAGAGGTCCGCGCTCTCCAATAGCTTCAGGTCATTACGAGGCATGGTTAGAAGATGCAAGATGTGGCAACAACCCGGTGTGAGTCTAGATTGCTATCCCGCGGCCGCCATAAGGGCAAAAGGGTTCCCAACAATGCTTGGCTGAATTCTGGTCTCAGTTTATTTCATTTTCATCCAGACGGACTCTGCCATCTGTCTAGGGCGAAACATCCAAAGCCCCGCGGCCGGCGGCACAACCGACTCAGAAACAGCAAAAGTCAGTATTGATGGCGTACATCCGGTCCGACGCTCAGCCTCGCACTCGCCTACGAAGCAAGATATTATTTAGTTAAAACTTGACCTGATCTGACATGAACTAAGGGACCCAGCGTCCACACGAGACCCACCCGCCGTTTATCGGTTTACGGAAAGTGCGCTTAGTCATCGGCAATATTTTGCCTCTTGCAGTCTTGCCGCTACGCATTACTCTCGTCTCCTCCACGTTGTAAGGCAACAGGAACCAAAACTGCGCGTGACTCACATCTAAGTTAGTACCCCTGTGACGAAATTCACGGCTGGTCCTCAATCTCTTTATCTTGTTGCCAACTCTGACTTGCCTTCCTCCGAGAAGAGCCACGCAGCCTCCGCGTGGACGGACCCTCCCTTAGCAACGACAACACTGAGGCTTCGACAAGTCATCGACCCCATTCCTACCTGATTCATTCAACATCCTGCACATCATCTCATATTTTCTCTCTTGATAGTCCGAATTGAGTCTCCCTCGGTCTTATCCGTCAAACTACTCAACTGCGCGAAATGGTCAATAATAAGCGGCGCTCCTGTGATGTTTGCTATAAGCGCAAGGTACGTCGTTATGCTTCGTCAGGCCGGAAACCGGCCGCCACAAAATAGACTACCCACCCGTCACTGCCCTGCCGTCTGTCATCCATGATCATCCCGGTCGTTCCGCTCTCATTGAAAGCCGGATGCATACGTTAAGCTAGTCGAGCCACTAATATGTCAATCTCCGCTGTGTAATAGATCCGGTGCGATGCAGCCGAGACAGGTACGACCTGCGACTGGTGTGCCCACCATGACTTGAAATGCACCTTTACGCCACGGAAACCTCGCTCACGGTATGCTCCCCTCAACCTCCCGTCGCGCACCTTTGTGCTGTCGTTTTGCTGTTTCAAGTTCCTGGCTAACGTCTATGGGTCCGTAGCAAGACGCCCGCTGCGCAAGCAAAGGGCTGTAGCCCCCAGGAGCCCGTACTGCAATCTCCGCCAACAAGCACTTCAGCTGCCTCTACGCCATATTCAACCACCAGCGGCCACTTGGACAATGGGACGAGACCCATGCGCAGTCACAAGTGCTCCGTCTGTCAAGCTCGCCCCTCTCCCAGGCAATCGCGCGCATCGGGCAAGCCCATATCCCGTTCCCAAGACATCTACCCCAACCAAGACTTTGGCTTCGTCTGTCTCTTGACAGGCATACCGCACTTTTCAGATGGCTGTGAGGAGTGGGTGCAGATGCGGTCGGGGTTGACGCCGCAGTTCGACTTTCCCTCCTTCCAGCGCTGCAGCCTCGATGACCTGTCCCCGCTTGCCGCAAGCAAGACCAAGTTGCCGCCGCGTTGGGCTTTTGACGCCATGCTGGATGCTTTTATCAAGTCAGATTTGATTCTCATATTCCCCCTCGTTGATGAGGTACTGATGGAGGAAACCGCGAACCTGGTGTATTCGACTGATGGGACACCCTCCCTGCAGCACATTAGCGCCAAGGCATGCGTCTTGTCTCTTCTTACCTTCGTCGCACTCCATTTCCCGGAAGTAAAGTCAACCAAATATGTCGATATAGAGGCTTTCGCCAGAGCTTCAAGATTACTCATTGCTGAGTGTCTAGAGGACACAAGCCTGACAACGCTGCAGACATATTTTCTCGTGGTAAGCCTTTGGAATTATATATGTATTCTTCCAAGCGCTTGCTTCCATGATCTAACTCGCTTATTCCAGAACATGCATGACATGACAGCTGGCCATATGCAGGCCGCCGCCATGTACAATGCCCTAGCGTGTCGAGCCGTGTTTGCCCTGCGAGGGCATCAGCGCCGGTTTCCCTGTCCAAAAAATCGAGTCTTGAGTATCGAAGAGCGCGAGGATCGTCATATCCGCTTATTGTTCTGGATGTGCTACTATTTCGACAAGGACATTTCACTGCGCACTGGCCACCCACCCTGTATTGACGATGAGTTTTGTGACTTGACCTTACCCGAGGGCTATAATGAGGCCAGGTGGTGCAGCAGGACCCGGGATCCGAGCAGCAATACACAGGATCCGTTCTTTCCCGGTGATATGAAACTTACCATGGTCAAATCCAAGGTGGCTCGCAGTCTGTACGGAAATAAAGCGTGGGAAACGTCAGAAGCGGAGCTGATCCGGACGATTCGTGAACTGGATGCGGACTTGGAAAATTGGCGAAGCTCTATCCCGCGCGAATTCGCACCTCAGTTGTCTGTGCGGAGAGACATTTCAATTGACAGCGATCTTAGTAGGTGTATGACGATGCTTCATTTAGAATTGCACTTGGAATATCACCATGTTCTTATGGTCATTCACGGTGCTAGCGGGCTGAGTGCTGCCGCAAATGCACCCACCGGAACCATCCTCCCTGGGATTCAGTCCAGCCTGGAGTTGTCCGTCGAAGCCAGTCGATCGACACTCGTGTATCTGATGGCTTCTGCCAATCGGATCGCCTGCGAGGCGTTTTGGGCCTTCATTTTCTACCCAATGTCGGCGCTGATGACACTCTTTTTCAGCATCCTTCGGCAGCCTCGCGGTGACCACACCTTGCAAGACTTGGAGCTCATTGGTATCTCTTCGGCTATTGTGCGCACAATGCCTATCCATGTAACGGTGCCATTCGCGAAAGAGTACCTGAGGCGAGTGGATACTTTCGTGAAGGAGCTTCACAGGCTTGCGAAGGGTGCAATTGAGCGGGGGGGGCGTGAAGAGTAAAGTAACGCTATAGAAGAAGCAATGTGTTACACCAAGCCAATTCCACTCTACATGAATACAAGGAAGTGATAAGAAGAATGCCATCACTCGTACTGCCGCATCAAGTCACCATAAGAAAACCCGCCAGCCCTACTGTCAACCTTTGCGTTGCTGTCCGGACAATACTGAGACTTACACGGGCCTGTCTAGCGAGAATCCGAGCCCGATGTACATGACAACGACAATGAACTCCTATGCAGTAGCCATGCCGACGTGGACCCCGACACTGCCGCCGTAGATGGGAAAGTGCCTGTCGTTGGCGAAGGCGGCGATGAGGGAGTACATTACGCGGACAGCAATTAGCGGCAGGGCCAGCCCCACGACGGGGACGATACGGCGCTCGCGCGGCGGCTCGACGGCCCTGCGATGCGGCAGGGCCAAGCAGAGCAGAAGCGCGATGCCGAGCAGCGCGAGCAGGTAGACGACGACCTGCCCGGTGGCGGCTCCGCGCTGCTGCGCGCTGGTGCCACCGACGATGCAGAGGACGGTGGCAGCGACGACGGTGCTGCCGAAGAGCTGCTTTCTGTTGGTGTTGATAGCATCCGTCCTATCAGAACGGGTCAGAATACAAAAGCACGCAAAGGGGGGGTGTGTGGAAGAGAGGATGCTCGTACAGTCGAGAGATGAGACCCAGCGTGGCGAGGAGCAGCGGCGATAGGCCGATGGAGTCGAGGATGAGCGCGGCGGTGATGACGCCGGTCAAGGGGGGATGGTCGCGGGCGGAGAGCTGGCAGCCAGCACCGGCGACGCGGACGACGCAGAGGACGGTGGTGTAGATCCAGCCGCCGGAGGATCGGGCGAAGCCTTGGCCCGCGCAGACCAAGAGGCTAGCGACGAGGGCCGGGACGAAGACGGCGATCTCGGCGATGGCGACGCAGGCGGTGCTGTCGAGCTTCATGGTGCGCGAGGGAGAAGGGAACTTTTCAGGAGTGATCAAGATGAGATGTATGAGATAATAGGGTAATGCAATATTGAGGTTTGATTTACTTCATGTTCAAGACTGCGTGTATGCTAGTCTACATAGAAGCAGCGACTGTTGGCGAGGCAGGTGCGCCGGTGCATGTTGTTGGAGGACGAGGCATATATCCCAATCGGGAGTGCGTTTCGTAGATTCGGAAAACCCGTTCACTTGTTATTAGTGTACCTGAAAACCAAAATGGATCTCTCCATTTATTTTGGCAACGGCGAACCGTACCTTTGTCTCTTACCATTACGAAAATCCTTAACACGTGTAAGTGCCAGACGGGTATGGCAGCCTATAGGTGAGTTGCGGCCAAAACTCAGTTCACCCCTCGTGCAGGGTTAGAGGCGATTTTCTATTCTTATAAAGGTCGTCTTATCTATTTTAGTTGCATAATATTTCTATAAGGGATTTTAAGTGGGTACTTTTATACCCCTTTAGTGTTAACTAGTTAGCTAACCAGCCAACTGACTAGTTAGTTAACCTTCTGGTTGACTGACTGGTTGGTTGACTAACTGGTTGGTTGACTAACTGGTTGACTGGTTGACCTTCTAGTTAACTAACTGGCTAACTGGCTACCTTGTAGTTAGACAAATCTACTCTTTGATTGGCTGATTGACCTTCTAATTATGACTGTACTGAGTACCCTTGTGTACGCTCTCGGCGTGTGCCTCGAGTGTAAACCTCGATACAAGAATGCAGATCGAGTTTTGGCCGCAACTCACCTATAGGCTGCCATAGGGCGGGCGCAGCCACAGGGCTGTCGCAAGCTCGGCACAGCGGCGCTAGTCTTTTTCAGGTGGTGATTTCGTAGAATTCGGCGTTTCCATCTTTCTTTTCCTAGCAGAGCCTGGTACTTCTTAAAACGGGACGCGCACAGCCACAGGCTACGTTTTTTTTTTTCTTTGTTTTTCTGGTGCCCCCATTCTAAATTCTTTGAAACGTTTTATTTGGTGCTTTTCGACATATCTTATGCTGCTGTGTGATTCATGTCAAAAACCCTCGAGATTTTGGGAGCTCTCGCAAGGCTATGTCGGGTCCACTAAATCTCAAGCCTCCGTCCGTCGTCAGCCACATATCTCAACATACCAGCACTATTCGCATCACCCCCGTCATCATCGTCGGCGGCGGCCTCCAACTTCTTCTCCATGACGACAAAGTACAGCCCCTCCAAACCACCCCCATCATCATCCCCGCTGCCGTTGCCGCCGCCGCCGCCGCCGCCTACAAACGCCTCGCGTACACCCATCTCCTTGTACCCGCACCGGTGATACCAATCCCTCAGCCCGTCGCGGCTTGACAACGGGTTGAGCCGCATCGTCATTGTCGACCCGGCGTGATCCCGCCTCCGGCAGCGTGACTCACTGTGCCGCAGCAGCGAGGCGTCCTCGGCCGTGGCCACCCGGTAGTGAAGCTCCTCTGCTAGTGGTTTCTGCTGTTGATCCTGATTCATCATCTTGTGCATGTAATCTTGTAAATGGTTTTGTCCAGTAGATGCAGACGAGCCATGCTAGCGGGACTCTGAAATAATGGTAATGTTACGCCCAGCGCCCTGGTGTGACTCAGGCGTCAAAGCCGCATCGGAACTACCTCCATACGGTAGGTATGGAGCGCACTATTTACATAGTATGCGATTTGGTTATTCATCTTCTTCCAACCTATCGGCTTCCTTGGATCGCAATTGGTCATGCACGTTCAGATGAAACGGCGTCGCCGGGCCGGTTCAGGTCAGCCTTGTCCCACAGCTTGAGCGCAACCTCCACCACGAACGGCTGCCCGTTTTTGTGGGCGACGACGTAACCGCAGTCCTGCTTCATCCTTGACTTCAATGCTCAAGATACCAATCCTGCATTCGTCAACTCACTAGGCAGAGTATCATGAAGCACAGTTCTCGTATAATCAGTCGCCCCAATGGTCTTCAGCGGCCGCCCTTCCACAGCCTGCCATGCTTGCCGACCCGTGCGGCGCAAGGTGAGTCCTTCGCTGATGCAAACGCTACCCATCACTCAGGCCTCAGGCAACGAAACTAATCCATCACCGGCCAGTGCGACCGCGCACCTGAACGTTGCTCCCAGTGTCGTCGCAAAGGCCACGACTGCCTGGGCTATCCAGACCCCACTGCTCTACGTATGCGTAATGAGACGACCCTCGTCACGCTGAAACAAGCATCCAAGCCCAAGCCCAAGCCACACGCTTCTGGCAGACAACTGACTATCAAGCCAAGAAGAAAGCGCACCATCATCATCCCCCTATCCTTCTACTCAGAAGCCAACTCGGCTTTTTCCCTGTTGTCTCTCACCACCCTTGACTCCTCCTACTCTTCATCGTCATCGTCATCGTCATCCTGCTCCTCCGCCATTACTCGGCCGCTGCATCTCAGCACAAACCAACAAGCCCTCTCCTTCCTCTTTCACGCCTTCATCTCCGCGACACCCTTTGACGGCTACCTCGCGTCCTTCTACACCCCGCGCACCGCGGCCGACGCCGACGACGCCTGCGCCTGGGCCATTGACGCCGTCGCGCTCGCCGCCTACGGCCGACACACCCGTCAGCCAGGGTGCGCCGACGTCGCACGCACCAAGTACGCCGGCACGCTCACCCGCGTCAACGACGCGCTCGCGGATCCGGACGGCGCCGCGCTGCGCGACCGCACGCTCGTCGCCGTCCTCGTGCTCGCACTCTTCGAGGCCACCGCCTTCTTCCACCCCGCCAGCACGCCCACCAGCTGGGTCGCGCATACCTGGGGCGCCAGGCAACTGCTGATGCTGCGCGGGCCGCGGCGCTGCACCGCCTCGCCCGCCGCCCGCCGGCTCTTCTCACACACCAGCAACAACGTCAAGGCGAGCTGCATCCAGCGCTCCGCGCCAATCCCGTCGGCCTTCCTTGCGCTCGACGCCGAAGTCCGCGGCCTGCTTGACGGTCAGGATCCGGCCGCCCGCCTCGCGCACTTTCTGCACGCCGTCAGCGCGCTCAAGGCCCGGTCTAACCGAACCCGCGCCTCTGTAAGGTCTGGAACGCGGTCCGCCTGTTGCGCATTTTTCTCCTGAGCCTTCTCGGCAACGACATTGAACACTTTCGCGTCGACGAGGGCTTGGTGGCCGACCCGTCTTCGCTCAAGGACTATGCATGCCACCACATGGCCGACGTCGCCGTCGGCGTCCTTGCGACGGTGCCAAGTTTTGTGTACAAAGAAAATGGTAGGCGCACTTTTATGCCGCCCGGGAGGTGTCTCGGCTGGCCACTCGGTATCCTAGAGATGGGCACCGTGTGCCCGCCGGACCCGCGGCTGTATGCGCGCAAGACCCTCGAGTGGCTGGCCGAGGACCTAAACCTGCCTCAAGCCATTGGCCCGGACCGGCATCCAGGCAGCAGAGAAGATTGGTAAGTGTTTGCCCCTTGGCGAGCGTGAGGGGATGAAACTAACATAGATCTCATAGGCTTCATCTATTTCATCTTGGCTGAACAACATTGCGTGGCAGCCACCATTTTCCATGATACCCCGAAAGGTTCATTCAAACATAAAAGAGACCTTTTTGCCAAATGTTTGTAAAACCAGCGAATCTTTACGCCATTTGCAATCTATTTAATCGTGCATCTGCCGACACGCTCCTATCAAAATGCTGGCGGTATGTAGAATCATTTTTGCTTCTAACTCTGCTTGATTGGCGGCGGTATTTTCAAAACTCCCAGGGAGGAGTGCATGCTGACCTGGTCGAATATAAAAGCATTCATTCATCGATTTGAAGGTTATTTCTTTAAGTGTAGCTTCAACCCCTGTCAGGGCTCGACTGGCAGGAAAGCTGCGCCCCAAATCTCATCATCGAACACACTAGACGAGACGGAAAAATCCCCCATTGCTGGAACATACCGGGGTCGGTCCGATGCGCCTCGGCCACCATGACCCGAACTACCAGAGCCATTGAAATTATTATTCTAACTAACTATTAGTACTCCGTCATCCGCCGCGAATCTCACTTTGGCGTTGGAGTTACCCTCCTCTGTTGTCTGCATCCTCACCCCAAGGTGCTACGCAACTGAATCACCACTCCAAAACAATGGTCAAGTCTCTAACTCTTGCAGCGGTCATTGTGCCCAGTGTCTGGGCAATTAATACCGATGGTCGTCTGTACTCATCGTTTGTTTCGCTGTCCATTGAGCTGATTGGGTTCCCGGACTGGGCTGGTAAGTTTGCGCCGATGCTAATGACTCGAGCCCAGGGTCAAAGTCAAATTCAAATGAGTATTCCAACAACCTGATCAATGGCCTGGTCAGCGCCCAAGGAAGCTCCATGGTTGTGCGTGTAGGCGGAAACTCGGCGTAAGTACAACTCGACGTGCTGATTTTCCGCCCATGGCCTACAACTGACCGATGCCAGAGACCGCGCCATCTACGACGACTCTCACCACTCCAACTGCCAGCAGCTGCCGCCACGCTGACCCCGGCGCCTGGCAGTGCATCGGCCCCAGGTTCTTCGACTCTTACGGCGCGTTCCCCGCCGGCACGTTATACTCGCACAATTTCAATGTCGCGACGTGGAATGCGTCCGGCTTCCACACGCTCGAGGCCACGGTGCCGCTCGCGTGCAGCGCACTGCGCGGCCAGCTATCGCTCTTCGAAATCGGCAATGAGCCGGACCTCTACGTCGGCAAGCGGCGCGACAGCAATTACGACGTACATGACTACCTCGCGGACTGGGCCAACACCACCGCGCGCTTCGAGCACTTCCTGAAACAAGCGTGCCCCGACATGGCCAGCGAGCAGCAGCTCCACTACATGTTCCCCTCGGTAAGCTCCCCCGTATCTCGGCTCCGTGTGCCAGACATGTTTGCCGCCGCTGTCGGGGGCAGTAGCAGTAGCATCAAGCGGGTGACGCAGGTCTCCGTCCACAACTACATGGCGGGCGCCACACAACCCGGAGTCACGCTGCAGGCGACGCTCATGAACCACACGGCCGTCGCGCGCTCCCTTGCCGGGCATGTCGCCTACGCCAAGTCCGTCGAGGCCTCCGACGCCGACTATGTTATCGGTGAGCACAACAGCCTGTACGGGGCCGGCGCCGCCGGCCTCTCGGACGTATTCGGTGCCGCGCTCTGGGGCGTCGACTTTGCGTTGCAGGCCGCCGCCACCGGCGTCGTCAAACGCGTGCACTTCACCAGTCTCTCGGCTCGCCCTACGCCGCGTGGTCCGCGACCGCGCCACGGCAGACGAAGTCGCCGTACTACGGTAAGCTTGCTGCGGCCACGTTCCTAGCCAACTCGTCTGCAATCCAGGTCAAGACGCTGGCGCTCGGCGGTCGCGCGGATCTTGACTCGGGGTACGGCGCGTACGTTGACGGTCGACTGGAGCGCCTGGCGCTGCTGAACCTGCGCGAGTATGTCGCGGACAGCTCAGGCGAGGCTTGTGGTAAAAGGGAGTACGCAGTCCAGGTGGAGCCGTCGTCGAACTGGACGGTCAAAGCGTCTGTCGGCGGCAGCCGCGTGCGACAAGACGGGCATCACGTTCAACGGCTTTGCGTACGAGGCCGAGACTATGGACAAGCCCGCGCGAGTGGCCTCCCGGGCCAGTAATGAACAGGTAAAAGCAGACAAGAGCGGCAAGTTAGCCATCGAGGTCGCAGACTCGGAAGCGATCGTTGTCCTTCAGAAATAGACAGTGCCTAGACACTTAGACATATGTGATTTATGGATGTGACAGTTGGGTGACATTCACTGAGCAGATTGTTGCATCATTTTGGGCATCTCGTAGCAGGTCTCATTACTAGAGCCTTCACATTTCGCTCCTATGTAAGTGGATGCTAAATGGAATCGACTGTAACAGTACCAAAACGCCGCCAAGTGCCGTAACCGTTTTCATGATCCGATTGTAGATTTCTTCTCTTTTTTGCTTTTAAGCGACTCAAGACAGCACCGACTTCAAAAATGAGCATTTAGTAGAAAAAGCCAATGATCTTGCCGGCGACATGCTTTCTGCGGGCCTCCTCGTGGTCCATGATACCGGCAGAGGTGGTGAGGATGACGTAGCCGAACTGACGGGCAGGGAGCAGCTTGACAACCCACTTCTCAAGGTCCTGGAGGCGGACGTTGTAGCGGGGGGAGATGACACCAGTCTTGTTCAGGCGGCCGTTGAGCTGGACGACGATCTTGCCGGAGCGGTGGTCGTCGACCTCCTCGAACTCGCCAATGTAACCTGAAGAAGAAGCAAGTTAGCATTTTTTGTCGCGGCAGCCTTAGCATAGACGTCATGGCATGTTTCCTCCCTCGATAGAAAGAAAGGCTCCGAATAGAGCGCTCAGGTCCGACGCGAAGTTTCAATATATCGGCAATTTATAGGGGCTGAGTCGTGGTGGCGTAAAAGACCATCGCCCTAGTTATCATGCCGAATGGAAGGGAGATCTCCGCTGTTCCTCTCTCCCCGGTTGGAATAATGTTGCCGCGCGACGATATATGCAGAGTGGAACAAATGTATACTGGAACGTACCGTGGCGCTGCATGACCTGGAGGAACTTGACAATGACCTTGGAGGAAGGACGGATCAAGACCTGACGCTTGCCGGACTTCTCGGCGTTGTTGATGGCGTTGAGCGCATCGTGGAGGACGGAGGTGCGGACCATATTGGCGGTATTGGATGGAGATTCTCAAGTCGGGGAGTGGAAATGAGGTATCTACCGAAAGAGAGAGCATCATATTAGCCTCGAAGTTGTGGCGCCCACGAGCAAGGAAGAGTGCCCTCGAGCGATTCGATATTGACCAAAGTCGACGAGGGTTCAGCCGCTCATATCCCATTTCCGAGGAGAGGCGTATCGCCAGACAATTGAGTCCCGCCAACACCTGCTTCACGACAGAGTTTTCGCAACAGTGCATTTTTCTAGCGAATGCAATTGTTGTCAATCCGATCGCTCGCGGAGATGGGGCCTATCTGGGATTGCCTCTCCCCTGCCACGAAGAAGAGGCATCGTCCTAGTTTTCGCTGTGGTATATGATGTGTCGAATCGCCCATCGAGCGGGGGGGCAGCAATTTGCTGTTACTGCTTCACATACCTCTTTTGAAGTTGACAAAAAGTGCGTAGCTGATGGGGAGAAAAGAGCTAAATTCTTTCAAATGACCACCGTCAATACGCCCCGGTTGGAAAGAAAAGTGGATGGTGTGCCCTTGTGGTCCGTGCGCGACGAATTGCCCTAAGGGTAACACACTTTGGAAGCAGTTTTTCTCAGCGCTGTCGCTTAATACGCCAGAGGGAAAGAAAAGTGGCTCTCAACTGGTTCCCGCTGTTGCCAGGCGGCGTGAGACGCACGACAGTCGCAGCAAAATTAAACCTGCACTCATTTTCGCCTCCATCTCTTTTCCTCTTTTCTTTTTCCCCTTCCCAGAACATTAAGTAAATCTTCGAGGATCGCCCGACGAGAATAAATACTATCAAGATGGTAAGTCTTGATGCCGACCGCCATTCGAATTTCCCGACCGACCGATTGGAGTGATTGAGCGCGCGCACCGAAGAACATCTTGAAACCATCTAGCTTTATATCGCCTACACGATACGAGAAAAAACAAGGATGCACGATATACGCCCACCCGCTTCTATATTTTTGCGATAATCGATCGGTCGGGACATTCTTCACAACGGCGGTCGTCGACGACGATGGCGTTGGGATCAAAAGACACTGACAGAGACTACAGTCGGACGTAGAAGACAACGCTCCCGAGGTCGTCGAGGAGGTCGAAGTGTCCGGCGATGCCCCCAAGGGTCAGATGTCCGTTCAGGACGCCCTCAAGGGTGTTCTGAAGCTCGCCCTGATGCACGATGGTCTCGCCCGCGGTCTCCGCGAGTCCTCCAAGGCTCTCGACCGCCGCCAGGCCCACATGTGCGTCCTCAACGAGAACTGCGAGGAGGATGCCTACAAGAAGCTCGTCGCTGCCCTCTGCTCCGAGCACAAGATCCCTTTGATCAAGGTTCAGGACGGCAAGCAGCTCGGCGAGTGGGCAGGCCTTTGTACGTTTTGACAATCCCTCCTCCCCCGTCCCCCAACCCCCGACAAGCCTGCTGCGGCGTGCACCTGAACGCGCTTTTACTAACCAACAAATTTACAGGCGTCCTCGACCGCGAGGGTAACGCCCGCAAGGTCGTCAACTGCTCTTGCGTCGTCGTCAAGGACTGGGGTGAGGAGTCGCAGGAGCGCTCTGTCATCATGAACTACTTCCAGTCCGCGGAGTAAAGCAAAAGGGAAAGATAAAAACACCAAAATTTAGGCTTTTGGCAGGCGTTCTGATGTATTTTGAGGAGGGTATAGAGACTGCGCGGGCTCCGGTCTGAGGCCGCTGGAATTGAAACGGCGGTTTGTACTCTAAGCCGCTTCATTGGCATAATGAATTCCTGTTCTCATGACGTACTGTCGCCCATGAGGAGAGACGAACAAAAAAAAGTGTTGAAAAACATCGTCCTGAAAGTCATATGTGATGTTGTATTCTTCATTCTCGATGTACCTGTGCAATAGCTAGCACCTACTTGCGACCTTCTACCTGTCAAGAAGTTAGATTCCGCAGCTCGGACTGGACTCCATATCTTGCTAGTACTAACCATGATGATGTGGTAGCCAAACTCCGTCTTGGCCTCGCCAATCTTTGGAGTGTTCGTCGTGCTGGGCTCCAACGCAAACGCAACCTCTTCGAATTTGGGATCAAGGCTTCCTTTAGGCTTCCAGCCGAGAGCGCCACCTGCAGACACGACAGCATCGCATGTTAGTATAGTATCCGCTTCTCTTGAAAATGTCTTGTCTTTTGCTTCAACGCACCGACGCGAGCCTTGTCCTCAGAATAGTTACGCGCAACCTCGTCAAACTTAACGCCATCGTTGAGCTTCGCGAGCGCTTCCTCCTTCTTCGCGTACTTCTCGCACTATACCCGCGCTTCGTGTTAGCATGCTCTCTTGCTCGCATTCGACGAATGTTTGGCGCGGCCACTCACCAGGATGTGGCGGACATTGATCAATTGCGCGCCCTTTGCCTTGCCCGCTGCTTCCTTGTCGCTTGCCTTGCCTTTAGCCCCAGCCTTGTCGCCGCCTTTTTTGTCGTTTCTCCCCATGTTTTCGAGCTTGACTGAATGCGATGAAGCAGTAGCGTTGCAGGAGGCGCGGGGTATCGTGGTGGTGGTGGGCTAGTCCAAGGCTTCGCAGCGGGCCACCACGAATATTACTTCGACCCAAGATTTATCAACTAAAATTATTGGACTCGAACAAGATTATAAACTCGGCTGCTCCATATTCTTCAACAGTAATGTGGTGCCGCTGCAATTTACTCTGGACGTGAACCGCAGCCCATTGACAAAGCGCAAGGCTCGGCGCTAACATGATAACGTCTAGCATGGTGTGAATGTCGAGATAAGTTATGTTGTTTCCAGGTCTTCCTTTGCGAATCGCACCATGGCCTGTTTCCTTTGCAGTAGCTCTGCCGTCATTCGTGTAACTCTCTCCTATTGAGAATGGTCGACTTTCTCTTGCGCTTTTTCAACTGTCCATTCGGTAAACGCCTCGTTCCCCTAGCGCTTCTTGACCATTTCCCCCTCATATTTCTCAAAGATGAGCCAGTCATCCATTTGCGAGGGGCGTGGTATCTGCAAAATGTCCCCCATTGGCTTCTGCCCTGCGACACGCTCCAGGGTGATGAGAACCCGGTGAAGGCCACTCTCTGCTTGAAGCTTATGTCCGTATTGACGGATAATGTAGCTAGGCGCGGGTATCAGCGCATGCAATCAATGATCTTCTAGGTCACTCACATTCCATCATACCGTAATCCGCTTCTTGGGGCAAGCGGGCTCTTCAAGCAATGGCCACGTAAGAGTCGGGTCTTGGCACCGACTTGGGAGATCAACGAGACGGGTGCGTCTGACAGTGTTGAATCTCTAGAGTATTGAACCATGTTGGTCTCAGAGTTGACTATTTCACTTCCGCTCATTAGTGGCAATGCTGCAAATCCGTATCTTCCCCTGGTAGGAATTTCATGAGCGGCTCCAACGACACCATCGCGAGCGGCGCAAGCGAGATTCAGCCACTAGCTATTGCATTGTGAGATATCAAGAATGTATGTGTTCTCGTGATGGGTGTACTTACTGTCCTGGCTCGAACTGCTGATCTCCCTCCACTTCAGACAGACTTTCGCAGCGGATTGCTTGCCAGCGTCCATGAGCAAACAAATGCGTGTCTGTAAAGGCAATATCTCGTAACTGGCCATATTTCGTGGCAAAACTAGAGAATCTCTTTTCATCAAGATCGAAGTACTCCTGCCGGAAGCGCAGTCTCCATTTCCGCTGTAGGTTGTGCGCCAACGCTACTTCTCCTTCAGAACAGGCATTGTCGGGTGACGGAATATCGGAGAGCAGCTTGTCTAAGCGGCAAGCACTGATTGTGTTCATGTTGACAGAGTATCTGCCGTCTGACTCGTCATTCTTCATGGCGCTCAGTAATTGAAGTATTTCCTCAGCACGCGGGCCAAGAAAGTGGTTCTGCTGCAATTGCGACCTAACCGCGTCACATAGCTTTAAAATATCCGAGTTATTGAATTGATACCTATTTAATGGGTTTGTAAGACTCGCGAGTCCGTAGAAGGGAGGTGCTCGAAGGCCTCCTTGGTCTGGTATTAGCAAGTTCGCGTCCGTCAATTAACGTCGCATACCTTGTGAGCCCGGGAACGACTTTTCTCCGTTATGATCTGAATCATAGATAGCCCCAGGGGCGAGTTTGGGGTATTGACACTGTTGGCCTTCCATTCTGGGACGATTTAAGGGGTTTGTGGCATAATTTTTCTACGAATGCAAATAACTGCGCGATTTCGCAGGCTCATTTATGTAGTAGCACAAACGTGGAAGGAGCCATGCTTGCCAAGCATGACTTTTTAGCTTTTGTGCCATAGCACAGTTCTCAAAAATATATCCCACTCTACGAGCTCGAGGAGAAAGAAAAAAAAAGAAAAAAAAACCACGCATGGGATTTTAAGCCTTCTTCTCTTTTTACCTCTCTAGCTGCCGACTCGTTCCTTGATCCTTCAAGGGTCGATGGCAGCCAGGTTACCCTGTATAGCTCTCACACCGCCTACCTCACACGGGGAGGATTTTAGACCGCCCTCTCCAGCAGACCGAAGTGATCTCTTTCTGCCGGCAGAAACGGTAGACCCCGTTACCCGATCCAGTACAAGCAAGATTCGCAGAGACTTCTACGCCGCATCTGTCGCGGCTCACATTCACCTTATTAAATTATGCCGGAACCTGCGAAATATCACCCGCGTGATGCGCCTTCGCGCGACAAGGTGCTTGGCATTACGCAGCGCGCTACTCCAATTGCCTTCTCTTGGGCTGGTGAAATGAGAGTCCGGTGAGGCAGCACGGCCTTCTGCGCATTTGTCATGGCTAACACGCCGAAGATTTTCAGATTTTCAGGTCAATGAAATCGGATTGGATGGAAAGGTGGTTCATCTAAGGACTGTCGGACTTACGGAGGAGCAAAAGCAAGCTGAGGGTGTTACGGGCAGGGAAGACACTGAGGTCAAGCCTGCAGAGGCAGAGACCGCGCCAGCGCAGGAGATCGAAAAGCCAAAACCGCCCGTCGAGGCGATAGAGGTGGCGCCAGAAGATTTCGCAATTCTGACAGGTCTGGCTGGAAATGCGTTTGCTCAAGAGCTCGTGGACATCTTCCGCGAGGCGCAAACTGCTGACCCGGAGCAGCGCGTAAAGCCCATCACGTCGGCGCCCATCGACGACAAGTGGACGCGCGGCCAAATACACCAGGAGGTGCGCCGCATCTTCCAATCGAGAATCGATACCACCACAGACGGCAGCGGCGGCATCGTGGCAACGGCGATCCGCGATCGGCCGAGGGGCAAGAAGCGTAACAGAGCTGGTAACGGCACCCAGCAGCGCGACGGCAACCGCGAGCGCAAGGATAACAACCGCCCCGCCGCCGAGTATCTGCACTTCACGCTGTACAAGGACAACCGCGACACCATGGACGCCGTGACGCAGATTGCGCGCATGATCCGGTCCAAGCCGCAGTCGATCGGCTACGCTGGCACCAAGGATCGGCGCGCGTCGACGGCGCAGCGCTGCTCCATCCGCTACACGCACCAGCGCAGCCTTGCCGGCCTCAACGGCAACCTATGGGGTATATCGACCGGCGACTACGAGTACCGCGACGAGGGCATCCACCTCGGCCAACTGCTCGGCAATGAGTTCGTCATCACGCTAAAGAACTGCAAGGTCGTGGACGATGCCGGTGGCGACTCACAGAAGTCCGTCGCGGAGCGGCTGACCCTTTTGAGGAGTAACGTCGGAGCTGCCCTAGAGCACATGGCCGCACAGGGCTGGATCAACTACTTTGGCCACCAGCGCTTCGGCACGCACCACATCGGCACACACGAGATTGGCAAGCTCATCCTCGGAGACCGCTACGAGGACGCCGTCAACGCACTCCTCACCTACGACTCCGAGCTGGCTGCCAAGTACGAGGCGGTCGCGGATGAGCAGGCTGGCGGCAATAAGACCAACATGGAGGAGCTCGCGCGCCACCACGCGTGCATGCTCTTCCGCACCGGCAAGGACCCCTCTCGGGCGGCCAGCATGATGCCGCGCCGCTTCGCCGCCGAGGTTTGCGTGACGCGACACCTCACGCGCGGGGGCGCCTCGTCCATGCGCGACTACGTCGGCTCGCTGACGCACATCACGCGCGGGCTGCGCTCCATGTACATGCATGCGTACCAGTCGCACGTCTGGAACCACGCGGCGAGCATACGCTGGGAGCGCTACGGCGCCAAGGTGATTGCCGGCGACCTCGTCATCGCCGACGACGTGTCCGCGCCGCTCTTTGGTGGCAAGGACCAGGACGGCGACGACATCATCAACCCCGTCAACGACGACGACGACAGCAGCGCGCCCGTGCGCGCCCGGCCGCTCACCGAGGAGGAGGCCGCCAGCGGGCGCTACACCATCTATGATGTTGTCCTGCCCACACCCGGCTACCAGGTCGCGTACCCAGACAACGACGTTGGCGCCTTCTACGACGCCTTCATGAGCCGCCCGGAGAACGGCGCGCTCGACCCGCGCAAGATGATGCGCATGCGGCGCGAGTTCAGCCTCCCAGGGCGGTACCGCAAGCTCATGCAGCGCTTTCTAGCGACCCCAAGCATCGAGTTCCGCACTTATGCTGATGAGAAGGAGCAGATGCACCCGACGGATCTGGATGTCATCAAGGCTACGGCGGTGGCGGCAGCGGATGGCGTGGAGCCAGCGGCGAAGAAGAATAAAGTCGGGGGGGGTGGGGGAGATGACGCTGTCGTAAATGGGGAGAGCGAAGCAGGTGTAACGAAAACGGCAGCGGCAGTGGCAGAAAAGATTGCGGCGATTGTCAAGTTCCAGCTGGGACGCAGCGCGTACGCCACCGTGGCGCTTAGAGAACTGATGGGGGATATGCAAGAGGAGTAGGAAAGGGGAAATGTGTTTTGAGGAACCAATGATACAATGAGACGGTGTGATTTATTAAAAAAGGAAATCAAAATGCTGAATTCGCATGTAAAGATAAAAAAAATATTTCGTATTCCAAGAAAACGCCTCAAGACGCAACTAAAACCAAAAGAAAAACGGGCAAAAAGGATTATGCCAACATCAATGTGCATAATACTCATGCTCAAGGTATCCGTATTTATTCCCACACAAAAGAATACTGTCCCCAAACGGTGTGATATGTGCATCGCGGGAGTTGCATTGATTAATAATGAGCGTAACGAGAGTAGCGAGAGCAACGAGTGATTTGACGCTGGACTTCCTGGTCTCCCATAATGCCAGCTAAGATCGGCAGCGCGGTCGACGACGATGTGCATCTCCTCGTTGTTTCCCCTGTGTATGTCATGGCCCATCATATCGATTTGCTTTTCCTGCTGTGTATGCTCCAAAGGATGCTGATATGTTATCTTATCGCCGAGTCGACGGTGGTAATGTGTGTCGGTGTAATGTAAGACGTTTTTCAAGCGCTCCTGCGTGAAAGATGCTGCAAATGTTCGAAACCCGGCTTTTAGATGCTTATGTGGAACTATGCAAGAGTCAAACGCCAGAGATGCAAGGCTGCCAAAGGAGGAAGAGAAGAGCACTCGAGGCTACTTTTTTATGGTCGCCCTCGACAGCGTAGAATTCAGGTCGCCTGCGATGTACCTTCACTGTCCCAGCCCCAGACAAAGGACAGGTACTTGACCATGTTGACTCTCTTCGACTTCATCTCGACCATCCAGGGATGTTCCAGCATCTTCCATGGGCTTGCACGGCGGTTGGGTTGCTTTTCAAGGCTGGAGGCTAGTCAGTAACGAAACAGTGAGAGTTGGTAAGGAACCATACGTACCAGCACTCAATGAAGTATTTAAAGTTGTCGCTCCAATAAACGTCCATCTCAGGCTCGTCCTTAAGCTTTGGCACGGGCTGTCTCACAATGTATGTGAGCAGGTCGATAAGCCCCGCGCGGGGCTGCATCTCAGTGCCGTCCGCTGGGAAAGGAAACCGATGCTGGGCAACCTCGAGCAAGGTAACTCCTGTTGACCAGACGTCGGATGTGATGGTGTATGATTGACCAGTGATACGCTCTGGTGCCATGTAGTAGCTGGTGCCAATGAAGGTGTTAGCCTCGCCCTTGGTACCAAAGTCGCCTGACACTCCAAAGTCGCAAAGCTTGACAGCGCCGTCACGGCACAAAAGGATATTCGAGGGCTTGATATCACGGTGGATGATGCGACGGGTGTGCAAGTACGTGAGACCGCCGAGGACACCTTCAGCAATCTTGCCGAGAACCTTTTCCCCAGTTCGCCCGCCAAGGCGCTTTACCTCCTTGTAAATGCTGTCCAGCGAACCGCCCTCACAAAACTCCATAGCTATGGATATGGTGGCTGTGGAAGGGTCAACAAATGCACCAAAATAGCGGCAAATGTGCTCTGAGGCACAATCCTTGTTGAACCCCAATTCGCGGACGATTTGCTTCTTAACATCTGGATCCGGGTTTGTGGTAATAACCTAGGGGTCTGTTAGGCGCAGGAAATGCAAATAAAAGGAGTATGGTGAAGTACCTTGAGGGCAAATACAGTTTTGCCGCCTTTGAGCATGCACCTTGTAACAGCACCACCAGCACCTTCTCCGAGGTTTCCAATTTCGATTATACGCTTCTCCATGCTGGCAATTCGCCAGCCTTCGTCATCAAGGTCCGCGACGTCTCCGACTCTAGCCTTTTCAAGGCTGAGTTTATCAAAAGCCTCCAGGCCTTGCAGGCTGCCCTCTCTCTCCATTGTGACGCCGCCTTCGCTCCTCTCTGAGTACATGGAACCAACAGCGGAAACGGGATCTGGGGTACCTTGCGCACGCCCAACAGGGATACCGAACTGGGATAGTTGCGAAGCAAATGAGAGAGCAGAGAACTGGGAGCCGGCAGAGGTGGGGTTGCTATTTCTACCGTCGAGAGGGCCAAAGCTACCGGACCTCGAGTGAGCAGCGCTACTTTCGCTACCCGCACCGGCCGACTGTCCAGGTTGAGCGCAGTTGTTGGATCGTGGGGTTTGTTCGTATGGTGTCACCTGACTGCCCATCGGTGTAGCGAGATTCATCGTCGGCAGGGGTGGTCGGCCAGGAGCTGGCTGGCCTCCTTGGGAGACGGGCTTGACGCTGGGGGAGGGCGGAATGGCGAGACCGAGTCGCGGGGTTCGAGAGCCGCCGGGGCGGCTACCAGGAAGGGCTGGGCGAAGGAGAGGCGCAGGTGCGTTCATGATGGGTACCTGGCCAGGAGTCGCGGAGGCAGGCACTTGGGGAACGGGCATCACGGATGACTATGTCTGGTTAGCGAGCGAGAGGGCTCCGATGATGAAGACAGCGACAGTGAGGGGCATTACCTGGTGAGAGGTCCCTGGGCCGTGCGGCTGCGAGGCTCCAGCATCAGCCATGATGGCAACGTTTGGCCAGTGTGGACGAGAGACAGAGTTTGCTATGATGCTGAACAGTTGTTGGGACTGGGACAGGCCAGTAGTTTCAATGGGCAAGACGCCCCGCTAGAATCGCAATGGCCTCTATGCCACAAAAAAAGGGAGTGCTAGCGGGTTTAGGAGGAGGGCGTTAAAATTGCTGCGATTGTAGAGTGTCTGAAAAGAGAAAAGAAAGAATGCAGTAGATAGTCGAGTTTGTTTCTTGGTTTGGACGCTGCCAACAGGGACGAGAGAAATCCGTCTCGGCCTGCAGGTCGGGGTTCTGGAGCTGTGAGGGGAAGCAGCTACCTTACGTGGTCGGGGCAGAAGCAAGCTATGATGATTGGCGAGGTTCTGGGGCGTCGGGACAAGTTGGCAAGGTGATGGTGAAGAAAAAAGCGAATGATGATTGAAGAGAAGGAGATGACGAGGACAAGGCCAAGACGGCTGCAGGCGAAAGGGGGGTGGTTAGGTTGGTATGTAGTTGGCAGTTGGGTCGTAAGAGGGCTGTGGAGGTAAGGTGGTTTGTGGTCTGGGTTGGAAGTTGGAGGTGGCGGGCGGTCGGAAGCGAAGAAGCGCTGGCGAGGGAAGATGGTGGCAGAACAATTGGGCAGCGCAGGTAATGATGCAAGCAACAGGGGCTCTCTGGATGGGTCAAGAATGACAGGTACCATCCAAGTACCTCGGGCGGGTCTCACTCAGTCACCATCACATTCAAGGCAAGCATTGGGCTGGTACTTCCAGACGGCCTTCGGCAGTGGCCACGGCGCTCGAAGTGCTGAAGCTATTTACCATAGCGAGAGTGGCGGGCTTCGGGAACTGTTGTGGGGTTCCGTAAGGTACCTGGATAGGACCTGGAATCTTTCTCACAGGCCAGACGCCGACAGTAGGCCTGCACTCTTTTCGGTCTGTAGTACTTAATATTTACTCTGATGTAATTGTTACAGACAAAACCTGCAACCTGTCCCAGCTCCATGCCTGGCCTGCAGCTATGCCTTGAATTGCGAGCAGCAATGACTTGTGCGCTGATTTGTTCAAAATTCCCTACTCGAGGCCCACTGTGCCTGTCAGCTTACTACAAAGTTGACTTGCCAGGCCGTTGTACATAGCTGTGCAGGCGCCCACCGTACCATGCCTTCTCCTGTCAATATTTATGTTACGAACAACTTGTTTCAACCGGGCTTGTGTGTCTGTCTTGTGGAGAAAATCCGACCGATCAGCTCAGGTACGGAACTGCCCAGTGCCCACTCCGCTCGAAGCCCCAACACTCCCTGCGCCGCCCCGGCCTCAGCGCTTAACCGCGTCCGTTCAGTGGTGTGTTGGTGTTTCCGTTGCCCGTACTTCATGTAATAACTCCGTAGCCGCCCCGGCACCCGCCCTTTTACCCATGAACGTAGTAGGTGCAGGAGGTTCCTCTCGCTTATTTTCTGCTAGTTACAGCCGTTCAATAGTTTTTTTTCCTTTTCTTTTGCCCTTGCTTTGTAAAGAGGAAAGAACCTAAAACCTTGATACTACCCCTATCAACTTTTGTCACGTCCAATACATCCAGATTCAATCACCTACATACATAGGTACCTCCACACCATCCATCGTTGGCGCATTAACCAGCCAGCAGGCCGGAGCCCCGCCCTCACGTAACGAATCGTCAACACCCACAACCACAACAACGCACAAAATATACACCATCTCCCATCCTCATCACCATACCTGCACGGCGCCCGGGACGTCCCATGCCGTACTCGCAGCTGCGGCACGTCTTCCTCCGTCTACCCATAGTCTGATACCCCGGATCCGTTCAGAAACTCACATCTCCCTCATGCCGCCCTTCCAAACGTGCAGCTCATCCGAGACCTTGCCAGGCTTGTCCAAGCGTGCGACCCTCCTTCACGCAGCTCGTCAGAGGAGGCGGGCATGATAAATTTTGCAGCCACACCTATGTCCTTCAATGTAGGAACCCCATTTGAGCAAACCCCATGCAGGCCTCAGCCATTGGGCACCCAACCGATATGCCAGCAGGTGCTCAACCTGTTAGCTGTTAGCGATCGCCCACCGACCCTATTATGAACTGGCAGCAAACAATCATGGTGAATCATCATGGCTAGGAAAATGTACCCCACAATGGTTTGGGCAATTTCAAGGCACTATCTGCTATCTCGCTCCACTATCATTGCATTTCCAGCTAACGCAATCTCCTCGAATTCGCATCATCGTTTGCTCACTCCTTCTCAGCCTCCTCGAAAGTGAAAGGCAACGCACCGTCGTCTTCCCGCACTGGATCTGCCGCGTACCACGAACAAGTTATCTCTTCAAACACCTGGCGCCAGCATGACTTGAATGCGCATCTCTCCCATGGCTCTGTCCACGTCCATCCCAGGCAGCGCTTGTCCGACTGCCCGCCAAATCTAAAGTGCGCGCGCGCATTTTTCCAGTCGATGCAGAACTCTTTCATGTTCGGCACCTTGGTCTTATGGCACCCGTCATTTCCGTTCACTGCATACTCGCCAGTGTCCGTGTGGAAATAGCCAAGACCTTCACAATGATCCGAGTTCTTGGTTCTGCATCTTTGCCAGACCTCTAGCCAGTCTGCAGCGCAAATGGTAGACAGTGCGCCAAAGACCACGGCGGCTACTGGCAAACGCATGGCTCGTCACAGGTGTATGCTCACGGTGGATCTATTTGGAGAGGAGGTTAGTATCGTATCCGAGGCTACCATTCGAGGGCGGCGACCAACCAACAGCTGCGGCTTATTCTGAGCCAAGTGACACAGGTGTGAGAGTATAGCAGAGCTCGTAGCACGATCTCAACCGGCCGAACATGACCCATACTTATACTTTTTCCACACTCTGGGTCGCCCGAAATCTGTACGCCTTGTCGGAGCAACATTTTGCTAGGTCACATGGAGCGGCGCGAGATAGCATGACAATACTGCAGCCACTTCTAAACAAATTGCTGCGGCAGAACTGATTCCATGCCTGTTTTGTTGCCGCAGATGTTCTGTACAACCTCTTGGCAAATCTGCGGCGAATCAACAGCGGATGTGTGCCTCATCTTATGCTGGTTGGCCAAGATGCTCGCCACCTGTCGAAGTACTACTCCAGTGTTAGGTTGTCCAAGAGAAAATCATAGAACCTGTTTCACGGGAACTTTTTATGAACAGCCTGCCGGTTGAGCAAAAGAAGCCAAATTACCCCATTTTACAGTCTTGCCAAGAAATGTACTGGTGCCAGTTACGAATGTCGGCTCACCAACACTGCTTGACCATGCAGGACGAGAACCCTGCCGCCGATGGGGACCAAAAAATGTAAAAATTGAGGGACAAACTTCTTTCGCGACCTTTTCTGCCACCTGATAAACCACCCACATACATAGGTACCCGTCCTATACGTTTACATGTTGCCGTCTGTTGGTAGAGATGGCTGCGATTGGCATTGAGTGGGTACTGAAGAAGGCTTCAGCTCCCGCTGCCGCATGGATGTTTAAGCCAACCAGTGAAATCATCCTATTATCATTGTATCATATTGTTAATACCTGCGTCGATAGACCGTAGTATTTCATGTTGTTGATTGTCGCCTGCCAACCCCGCCAAGAGGGAAGTGGGTCTACCCGGCCGCTATCGATAATTGCAAGCCAAATCAAAGAGAGAAAAAAATGGAGGAAGATTGACGCGACAGCATTCGGAACGAGACAAAGCTGCATATCCGCCCAGCCATGCCCGCCCCGAAAAAGTCAAGAGTGATCCAGGAGGGTGCAGAGACTGTGTCTGAAGCTTCCGTATCATCGGATGAGTCCGACTACCTCGACAATGCAGCAGCCCGCAAGCGGCGTCGAACCGACGACGCTACTTCCAGCGACGATAGCGAGGACGGAGGCGCCCAGGTCGATAGTGACGACGACGACGAGCAAGACGGGCCCCAACGAAAGATGAACTCCATTACCACTTCATTTACGGCGCCGTCACGTATCAAGAAGAAGGCCGCTGCAGCTCCACCGGCTGCTAAGCCGGGCGTCGAGGACACTTCTCCCGCCGAGCCCGCCCACACGCAGGTCCTAGCACCCACCGACTCGACCACGACCTTTTCGGCACTGAGTGTGCGGCCGTGGCTGGTGCAGTCACTTGCCAACATGGCAATTCGGCGGCCTACCGGGATCCAGAAGGGGTGCATCCCGGAGATTCTCAAGGGGCGGGACTGTATCGGCGGCAGCCGTACAGGTTCTGGGAAGACAGTCGCGTTCGCGGTACCGATGCTGCAGCGGTGGGCTGAAGATCCGTCAGCCATCTTTGGAGTTGTACTGACGCCCACGCGCGAGCTTGCCCTACAAATCTACGAGCAATTCCGGGCTATCGCGGCGCCACAGAGCCTGCGGGTCACGCTCGTCACGGGCGGGTCGGATATGCGCTCGCAGGCCATCGCGCTCAAGCAGCGGCCGCACCTGGTGGTCGCAACGCCCGGGCGGCTGGCGGACCACGTGCGCACGTCGGGCGAGGACACGGTGTGCGGGCTGCGGCGCGTGCGCTACGTGGTGCTCGACGAGGCGGACCGGCTGCTCAAGGCCGCGGGCGCGGGCAGCATGCTGCCCGATGTCGAGGCGTGCCTGTCGGCGCTACCGCCGCCGACCGAGCGCCAAACGCTCCTCTTCACCGCCACCATGACGCCCGAGGTGCGCGCGCTCGAGAAGATGACCCCGAAGCCCGGCAAGCTGCCCGCGTTCGTGTGCGAGGTCGACACGCAGGCGCTCGCCATCCCCGCGACGCTGCGCCAGACACACGTGCAGGTGCCCGTCACGCACAAGGAGCACTATCTGCATGTCTTCCTGCTCACTGCGGCTAATCTCAGTAAGACGGTCATCCTCTTCTGCAACCGCACGTCGACGGCCGACTTCCTCCATCACCTTCTACGGCTGCTCGACCACCGAGTAACGTCGCTGCACTCGCGGCTGCCGCAGCGGCAGCGTGTGGACAACTTGGCGCGGTTCCGCGCGTCGGCAGCGCGCGTGCTCGTTGCGACCGACGTGGCGGCGCGCGGCCTCGACATCCCCGAGGTCGGGCTGGTCGTCAACTACGACGTGCCGAGGGACCCCGACGACTACATTCATCGCGTGGGCCGCACGGCGCGCGCGGGACGCGCAGGTGAGGCCGTCACGCTCGTCGGTCAGCGCGACGTTGAGCTCGTGCTGGCCATTGAGCGCCGCGTCGGCCGCCCGATGGACGCCTGGGCCGAGGAAGGCGTCAACCTGGAGACGAGGGTCCTGCGCGAGGCGCTCAAGACGGTGACAGAAAAGAAGCGCGAGGCGCTGCTTGAGGTCGAGGAGGACAAGGAGGTTGGCGGAAAGAGGAAGCGGACGAAACAGAAGCTTCGGATTGCGTAGACGGGTTCAAGGATCTATGGTTGTTCCGGGCGGGTTTCGTCTGATACTGCATAGTGACATGGCGAATTTGACTTTACTTTATGCTTCTAATCGAGTTCTGATTCCCGGCTACCCTATATGGTAATGATATACCCTGTAAAGTTGGTTCACCTTGAATTGCAACAAGAGTCAGCGTTATTGTCACGCCTGATCAAGCATGGTCATTGCTTTACATTTGCCCACATTGTACTGATGTGGGGTGTAAGTGTTATGGATGGGCATCTTGACGGGTGGAAAAGAAGCTTCCCCGTCGATGTGTAAGAAAATCGGCCTTTCGAGGCACTTAACCTTCTCTCTTGAGCTGAGCCATGAAGCGGTGTGAAAGATGATGTCCGATGTGCCATTCAGGTCATGGTTGCGAGGCCGAGAGGTTGTGAATGCATCGCAACAAACTATAACCTGTCCCCGTCATCGACATCTTCTCCTTGTTCTTTCTCTTGCCGTTGATTCTAACAAGGACTTAATTTTTTTTTACTCCTTGCTCCATTCTCTACACGTCTGGTGACCCTTCCAGGTCCGCAGTCGGAGCTCCACCGGCCCAGTGTTGGTAGCAACGGGTGTTACGGGCCTATGGCGGCTACTGGGCGCCGACGTTCACCCTTGTTCTGCCGCACTTCCCAGTGAGCCGGGTATGGTGGAAACACCATCCATCGGGAAGAAAAAGAGAAGGGACGGTGGAGGGTCCTGTGACCAAAGAGTGGGCGCCCGACACCCGACTCCTTCCTGCAGCCCTGTCAAGCTGCTCCCGCAGCCTTGTACCTAAAATGGGCTCTTCCTGTGGCCGGAGAGAAGGGACAAAGTCCACGGAGTTTTGCACGCCGCACCCGAGCAAGTTGGTCCGCGTGACGGCGATAACTAGTCGGCTACTGCAAGTGAGCAACAATGAGTTGATGGTGCTTGATCGACCTTTAGAAGGCGATTATGTGCTCCCCTGGCATCGTATGATGTTGGCATATTCTGGATGTCGGCGGTATAGGTGGTTATCAAGGATGTTGCGCAACTATTGTCATCAACATTGAAATATGAAGAGCAGAGTGCCTGCCTTAATGGATGCCCATTGTCAGGGTCAGTGGGCTTGTAATTAAAATAAGAAAATGAAGAGAAGTCGTTGTGCCGCGTGTCTCGGTGTGAACCCCTTTCCTCTTAGAGTATCAGAAGTGGTTGGGCTATAACATGTAAGTACGACCCGAGAACCAACGATTGTTGATGCATGCAGGCTCAGTTTTGGGAATGCATCATGTCCGCCGGCGCAGGGCCAGCGGTTGGGGGGAATGGAAACCAATAAGGCGCTGGATATCGCTGTAGCTACGAGGGAAAAAAAAGAGACAACACGAGTTTCTAGCAATTAAGTTAGCTTCGATGGAGCACAAGTACAATGGCTCTTCTTGGGCTGATAAGACTTCCAGTAAGGTCAGGTCAGCGCTTGAGGAAGTCGATGGTGACTCAGAAGGACTACCTGGAGGAATGATGACTGAGCGGCACGCCTCGGTAGCGTCTCACAACGTCGCCTAATAACTAACGGTTTCTATCTTGTGTCGGTCCTCGGGCTTTACGCAGATGGACGAAGAGTTTGGATTTCTAACAAGCTTTCTTCCGCCGATCATATCTGGCGCATGGCTCGCCGCGGACTCGGAAAGAGAAGAGGACCGACGCTAAACTTAAAGCGGCATCATTTGACGGGGTTTTGGTGTTTCGATTGGTTTCGCCGGAATTCTATTTTCTCAAGTGGACCTTCGCCTTTTCCTTTTTTAAACTTTCGTCATGGCGGAACGGATATTTCCAGAAGCGCGAGTAGAAGAAAAAAAAAACACCACCCTCGGCGAGCAAAGTCAGCGGAGAATGCGCGGCGATACACGTATTCCCTTCAGCCCTATTGACAAGGCGTACCTATGCATTTGCAGCATAATAGCCACGGTTGGGACTCGCTTGCTTTTAGAACTCGGCACAAGGCAGCGGCATCAGGTTAAAGAAAGCAATTCAAGTTCAACAAGCAGTGTACAGCCAGGGACGTTGAAAGGCATGGTTGAAGTGACAGAATGCGAGGGTCATGAGCTCCGGAGCCACAGCATCAGCCTGCATGTACTTCGTACTGTATGTATGTAGATACAAGTGGTGGTGGTGGCTTGCAGTCGCAGGGGGTGTCAAGGCTGTGTGGTCAAACCAGGTCTTCCTCTCACGCTGCTGCAAGGATACAGGGACGCGCAAGAGTCCACGACGACGAGGCTACTGCTTCGTAGAAGGCTCGACGAGATGAGGTGTGTTGAGTTGCCAGATTGCAGACGCGGCTTTCAGGGCTTACTTGATGCGTTTGACTGAGCGTGCGCCTACATCTGTCCGCCATTTTACTACGATGCGGCTTACGACGTGCTGCTACGTTTTGGGGCATGGTTGCGTCGACAAAGCGTTGTTTGCATGCTAACTGGTGGTAATGCAGGCAAGTGACGAGGAAGCACCACTGGCGGAAAGAACACAAAAAAACTTTGACGAATCGCGGTTGCGAAATTGGGCTTAATTCCATCGAGAATGGTGAATTATTAAAAGATACGTGGCTAGACGGACATACGTTTCTAATCCGGGGCGCCGCTTATGAATCGACACAAGCCACTGAAAGTTTAGCGGTGCGAAATGCTGGGCGACGGTGTTATGGTGTCACCGTCATGGTGTGCTTGGGGTGATGATTGACGGTGTTAGGGGCTAGCGCTGGGTTGGAGTCACCGATTCCTCAGCACGACAAACGGGGACGAACGTGAAAGAATGCACGATGCGGGTTTTGTCCAACTTGCGGATTTTGCACGCAGCTATTGCTAGAGCACCAAAACAAAAAGAAGAAGAAATCGGAAGTGATTCGTTTTTAGGTTGGGGAGAAGGAGTCACAGGCCCATGTCAGTTGCTCGTCTCCGAGTAGAGGCCGAGGTGACCAGTTTAACAGTCGGGCCCTTTAATGGCCTTCCCGTTGTAGCGACCAGGGCGTGCTGGAAAATAATTGCTTGACCGCAGCCTTTCGGTCCCGGACGGCATGCGGCGTACCAGCCAGCGCGAGAGTACTTGGAAATGGGCGGCGTGACTCAGCCACCATGGAAGTACCACAACCGGGCGAGTGACCTAGGCTCATGTAATCAGGCTCTAGGTAGCACCGTTTGACAAAATCCGAGCCAAAAGCGAGAGCGAAACCTTGTCGGGCCCGACGAATGTTAGCGCCATACAGGCTACGAGTCACATCTGTCAGCGGCCCGCCGGGGATTTTTAATGTCCACGGGCCTTGTCATCAAACTCGTCGCTGGGCCCCACCCCTTTTTCCCTTGAGTCGTCTCGTTATGCTCGGGTCCGCGTATGCCAAACTCCGCCCCAGCGCCGCGGGCAGTGCTTGGTGCCCTGCTGGCCCGCCCTTCGCTGCCCGGCTTCTGCGCGGGCCCCGGCAAGACGGACAAAGAGAGATTCATATTAGACAGAAACAAGATTAAAAGAATCCCGTCGCCCACACCTCCTCCGACTTTCCTTTCCATCCCAAACCAGACTTCCCAATTCAGATTCACAGACGACAAGCATTCCACACCAACTTGCAACCACTTCCGACTGCTTTTACTCGACAATCACATCATCCATACAAATCGTACCGCCGCGGCGCATCCATCTACCAATATCCCTGCCTAAACCCACTTGGTACCCGCAACCGGGCCTGACTCACAACGAAAAAAATAACACCATCAAGGGAACAATTTATACACACCAATCCATATATAGTGTCTCATACACGCCTACTTTTAAAATGTCCACCGCCGCGACTCTCCAACCAACTCTCATCCACCACCAGAAGCCCATTTCTGCTTCTTCTTCGTCTTCTTCTCCGATCGCACGCTTGGCCGCTCCCTCCCGCAAGACCATGTCCGTCACGCAGACCTACTACCTAGCCCATAAGGCCCGCGCCAAGCTCTCGCGCGAGGCCGCCCAGCCCGACCACGACCTGCGCCTACTTGTCGGCCACGCCAACCTGCTCGACTCTCTCATGATGGAGCTCGCCGACGCCGAGCGCGAGCAGGAGCGCTGGTTCAACCAGTCCGTCCGCAGCAACACCAAGAAGGCCGCGGCTGACAAGAACAGCCGCCACATCCAGTGGGCCGACCGCATCGTCGAGGAGGCCGTCGAGGAGGACGAGTACGAGGCCAACTCGTCTGATTCGGACTCTGACGACTCCGACTTCGACTACGAGGAGGAGGATCCAAAGGTCAACACGGCCGTCGTCGTCCCAACTGTCACCGTTCAGCAAGTCGACGCCGATGATATCGAAGAGGATCTTGAGGAGGACTACGCACAGCTCGAGCTTGTCCGCACACCCTCACACAGCAGCAGCGGCTCACCGCCGGAGCTGCTCATCGACCAGCACGACTCGGACTCGTCCGACGACGAGTCCATGCCGCCCTCGCCTGCTGAGGCGCCCCTGCCTTTGCCCAATGCCAAGGAGCAGCAGCAAGCCTACAGGGAGGAGGAAGAGTACTACAGCCGTCGCAACGCGACCGGCCTGGTGTCCGCCATTATGGTCTACTAAAACGGATGACCGACATTGTTTACTCTCTTCTCTTTCCTCTCCAAACGATTTAGCGGACTTGTTGCAGCATCATCTTTTTGGCATTTACATGGCGTTGAAAAGATCTTTGATACCATGGGGGCGTCTTTTTCTACATACTATTCTGGCGTTTGTTTTACGGACTTGATCGGAACATTCAGGATACACAACCACTCTACACAATGTACAGCATATGGGGGAATGAATAAACAGGGACGGTGACCGCTCCCGCCGTTTGGTGGTAAAGAGTGGCGCTGCTGCAAACAGTACGAGCATTCGCCATGAATGGCTACTCGGGACACGACACCAATCAAAACACAGAAATCAATCATCTAGATTACTAAAAACATTCAAAGCTTTATTATTCAAATACATTCTTCACTATTGCTTGTGACCTTTCGTGAATACAATTATGTAGCGGGGTTCACGATTATTCAAATCTGTAGCGGTCGGTGGGTGAGTCAAAAGACCAGCGGCGAAAGCTTTGCCTTGCACGGCTCTCAGACCGCCAGCCCACATCTTCCGCCGGCTCGGAAAGCCACAAATCCAGCCACACACGCCCTGCGTTGCTGAATGGCGACAAGTCGAGTCCATGAATCATCCCGATGCAGAGTGTTGTGTTCGATGCCACTCAACAATTTTCCTTTGATTTCTATCTTACCATCTTGCTCTTGAATATTTCTAATCAAAGTAACTCTTTTTTTTTCCCTTCTTTTTTTTCTTTTCTTTACGTCTGTAAACTTTTCTTTTTAGCACAGGCCCCGCTTGTCGGGGCTCGGTATGAAAGCATCGGCAGCCCGGACTTTGCGACTTTACTAAGCAGCAGAAAAAAAAAAAGCCAAAACCCGATCCACCTGCCAGAGACTAAAACGTGCAATCTTGGATACTATAATAGGTCTAGCGAAAAATACTGCCTTCAGATGGATTCGTCAGCCATTCACACTTGGTCTCCCTGCAATCCAATTGCAGCTGTCGATCACACTCACACCGCATCCAATTTTCTTCTTTCTTTGGCTGTTGTTGCGTTGCGCTTTTGTCTGATCACATCAGCGAACCGAGTTTGCCAGCCCGGCACCTCAACCGTGAATTGTGGCCCCGTTACGGTGCGAGCATGCGTGCCGCTGTGAATTGCGTGCATTGATGCGTGATCTCTTTTCTATGTTCAGAATTTTCAATTTACAGGTGTCTTGCATTTTGTAATGGAGTTATGCCCCTGTCACCGCTCAGAGAGAGGCGACGGACTTTTACACCCTGGCGAATTTCAACCCCTTGCTGACGTTACGCTCATCGCATCTGCCGACTAGGCGTCGCCGGGAAATTTGGTATAATATTGCTCCCTTTTCTCGTTTCCAATGGAAGGATTTCTATGAATTATTCCTTGTCCCCTGTCATAACAACAACAAAACCCCATCTTGGGCAGCTGTGCTGGGTCGACGAGCAGGGGATGGGGACGCCTGATGGGAATTAATTCGCGAGCAGCAGGCAGCGCTCGAAGCCAAGATGGTTGAAATTTTGACTTTAGCTTGTGACTGTGAAACATGCCATGCACGCAGGCGGAATGCAGCTTAATCAAACCTGCTCACACCTTTATCTCTTTATTTAGCAAACGAGTCTCTCAACAAAATCACTCCACCAGAATACTCTTTCACATGCAAAGGACACACACACAATTCGCTTCAATGCTAGCGCGCGCGTTGCAAATGCTTTCTTCCATCCATCCGTCGACGCTTCGGCCGCGTGCTCCCTTGTCCGCCGTCCAGGGCTGCGTACCCGCCGTCCAGGCACTGGTCGCTGGCATCGCGCAAATCACAGATGGATGCACATCAGCCTCTGCCTAATTTGTCTCGCCTTCGTCACTCTTGCGTGACGGGGCTGACGAGCCCATGCTGTCTGTCCCTTGCGATACCGCCCCTCGGGTTCCGTAGCTGTTACGCGTAACTTATATGGCCTGCGCCTTGGCTGCTTGGCTGGCCAACCCAAACACAGCCACCATAACACCACCCCACCGTAGCCAAGTCAACCGTCGAGTACGGCCGCCCGGTCCTTGCATGTGGTACCGCCCGGCGACCGAACAAGAGCAAAAAGTCGGCGCCGGCAACGGGCAAAAATGACCGGTTCCTGTATCCGCCCCCACGTGCCACAGCCGGACAGTACCCGGGGTCCGAGGACAAATTACGTACCATGCCTAGATGTCACCAGGTACGGAACACAAACAACAGGCTTGATCCGATAGAGCGCTGCCATGGCCAAGGACCGGAGAGCCTCTCGGTTGCATCGGCCTCGTACACTCTCATGATGGGTGCCGCATTCAATATCTCGACCAGGACACGTATTCTCTGCCTCCTGGCCCAATCACGACCCAGGCCCGCATCTTCGTTGCATCATGACCCTCCTCACCTCTGACCAAAAATGCAGGGTCCACGTCGCCCTTGCCCTGACGACTTGCGATGGCGCAGGCGCCAACCAGCGTTGATGTTAGCCGAGAACCGGTGATCGAGGCCAATCGCGGATGATGTTGTCATCGCCATCTTCATCAGCCATATCGCCACTCCATTGCCCTTGACGATGCAGGTGCAGGCCATCATCGCTCATCATCGTGCGCTGGCCTATTTACTTTTCTCGATCCGTTCAGATAACTTGATAATAATCTAACTTCACTGTAAAGGGCGTCGTAGACTCAGGGACCCGCGGACTTGGCCCTCTGCCACCACTGCGATCCGACCTTATCGCCGCTGCTGCTATTCTGCTCAATTATACTCTGACTGAACTAAATAAACTACTCCGCAACACACTTGATGTCTGACCTCCTTGGGCGCTGCATGTGCGGATCTCCGCAAACACACGGCGCCGTAGCCTAAGTCCGCAGGCCACAGCCTCCAGAAGGCCCCGCAAAAAAACCTCGCTGAGCTTCCCAGGCTTGACCTACCTATGTATCTCCTCTCATCATCTCCGATTAGAACCCGTTTCGCAAAGCCCAAAAGCTCACGTGCCGAAGGCATCCCGTCTCCGCAAACTGTTACTTCGAATCCCCTACCTGTTGCCGCTTTTATTTCTGCGCCCCGGGGCGCCATGCAACCTCTCGCGAACCGAGCGCTCCTCCAGCGCCCTCGTGCGACGATCACCTCCTCCTCCGTCGTCTGCCGATCCTGCCGCCGCCGCCGACTGGCTACGACAGCCGCGCCGCCTAAGCCGCCCGCCGCCGGGCTGGCCGAGCTCTCGTCGCGGCGCGTCCTGGCCGTCGCCGGTGCCGACGCCACCAAGTTCCTCCAAGGCATCGTCACGCAAAACGTCGCCACTGCCAACAGTGGGCGCAATATTACCACGGCGCCGCCTGAGCCGCGCACCGAAGGCTTCTACGCTGGCTTCCTCAACGCCACCGGTCGCGTCATGCACGACACCTTCATCTACCCCTTCCGGAGCGGCGCCGGCGGGTTGTCCGCCCTCGACTACGGCGACGGCGGCGACGGCTTCCTCGTCGAGGCCGACGCCTCACAGGCCGCACGCCTCGAAAAGTACATCAAGCGGTACAAGCTGCGCGCCAAGGTCAGCGTCCGCGTTCTCGCTCCGGAGGAGGTGTCCGTCTGGCAAGCCTGGGACGACGCCGCTTCCAACCCTGGCCTGCCCAGCGGTAACGGTAGCATCATGACGCTGCGCGACCCTCGCGCGCCCGCCATGGGATGGCGCATACTGCAGCTAGGCCCTGGAACGCCTGACGTCATCGACGCGGAGCGCGCCGCCGAGGACGCGTACACGATCCGGCGGTACCTGCAGGGTGTGCCCGAGGGCCAGGACGAGTTGCTGCGCGAGCAGGCGCTGCCGCTGGAGAGCAACATGGAGCACATGGGCGGCGTCGATTTCCACAAGGGCTGCTACGTTGGGCAGGAGTTGACGATCCGCACACGCCACCGCGGCGTCGTGCGCAAGCGCGTGCTGCCGTGCGCCCTCTACGACGCCGACCGCCCCGCGCCGAGCGTCCTCGCGTACGACCCCGACGCCCTCCCCGCCGGCAGCGGTACCACCGACGCCGCGGCAGTGCCAACGGAAACGAGCATCGGCCGGTGCGGCAAGAGCGGCCGCAGCGCGGGCAAGTGGCTCAAGGGGCTCGGCAACGTTGGCCTCGCGCTGTGCCGCCTCGAGATCATGACGGACGTCGCGGCCGTAGTGCCGGGCGGCGGCGATCAGGTGCCGGCTGCCGCGACGTACAGCCCGGAGGATGACTTCGTGCTCGATTGGGGGGGAGACGACGACGTCGGGGGCAGCGTCAAGATTAAGGCGTTCGTGCCTGACTGGCTGCGCGCCAGCATGGAGGAGGCGCAAAGGAAGAAGAAGCAGTAGAGGAGGAATCATGGGCGCCGGTGTAGGATAACGATGGGAAATTATAGATTCAACTACAGACCGGCTAATATAAGCATGCTGAATGCAACAAGTGCAACCTCGGTTGGCTTGCTCTGGTGGGCTACAATCACGCCTTGTACTCCCGCCGCGCATCGCTGCCTTGTGTCCATTTTTATACTTTGTCTAGGGAAACGGTGCTTGCAAATCATTTCCGGACTCTGGAGTGTTCTCGTACATGACCAAACCTGGAGCTGGCGGCGGTGTAAGAAAACGGAAATGCGTCATTGACATGTTGTGGAATTGGAGTTTGAACCGCTGTCAAAGTTTTGGATCATGGATGCTAACCGCATCTTATCAGTTAGGAGTTTTATCTTTTCCCTTCTTGCTAAGGTCAGGAAGGGAATGTTGCAGCTTGCGCCTGTATCTCAAGGTCTTCCGCGCACAATTTGCCAGTTGGTAACGTATACTTTGTTGGCTCGGTTCTATAACGGGCATCTCTCCAGAGTTCTACATTTGGAAGCCCATTTTATGCTTTTCCAATTTTCATGTTACCCTAAGATAATTCATGACCATCGGGTGCCGGGCCCTTGGTTACCTGCTACATGCGACAGACCGGTTCACTTAATGCCGTTGAAAAGGCGTAGTATTGTATCTTTTTTATTTTTATGTTCCTGCGATCTAGCAGAGGCATATTGGCGCGCCTGACTGCACATGAATAGCCAAGCCACGAATGATTCTCCTGAGCTGAATGCCATCTCGACAAGGTCCGTACATACCCAAGTTGGGTACGGGCTGTTTAATAAGGCCCGATACCTGTTTACAGTAACAAAAGTAGAGAGAATTTTGAGCTAATCAGAACCAGGCGTCGCCCGTCCTTGGCAGCTGCGCCATCACGGGAGCTGCCGGATTCTTCGAGTGCTGCATGAAGCCGCGCAGAACGAATGGATTCAATTGGACTCGAAATATACGTAGTAAATCGAGTATGGAGAGTGCTACCGCGTGGGTGCATTGGCGATGCGTCATTGCGCTAGCTTACTGGTCCATCTCATTTTGAGATTATGAGGCGGCGTCGGACTCCATCCCACTAGGGGAATGATTCGGGACGGCGCTTCCCGCAGGCTGCCTCTTTGAGCAACTAGGGTAAGCGAGGCTGGGCTGATTACTTCAAAGCCACTGCCAAGTCTCGTCAAGACAGCCTCGTCCAACGCCATACTGAAACGGCAGAGTCACAACGTGCCACTGGTATGACGCGAGATGCGTGTATTTGATCTTGCCTGTCGCCAACGCAAGACGCACGGGTTAGGTAGGGCAAGACTCAATAAGCTGTGCCTCTTCTTATCACCCCCCGTTGTCATGGTATTCTTCTGCGAACAAAGATGGCAAGCTGATAAAGGAAACCCTGAAGAATATCTCAGCCTACAATTTGGGGGCGAGATCGTCAAAGCTCTCCTTGGCGACACCGTGCTGACGCGCCATGGGCTTATTGGGCGGGCTGCGGCGCAGCCCACTTGCAACGGTTCGTTCCTGTCACGGCCTCGTTTTTCGAGGCCAACCTGAAGCGGGAAATGCCTGTGTGATCTTGTGACTGCTATCGTCTATTAGCGTTGCCAGCTCTCAGGCAATCATCTTGAGAATGGGTACATATACATTTGTGCTAGGAAGCGTTGCGCTGGGGAACATTGGCTTTCACTTTTGCGCCGTTGCATTTATGGTGACATCGAATGAGGTGATTACTTCATAATCGTACATTTCATACTCCAAGGCTTCTGTTCCAGCGACTCTCTGTTCTCTTAGCCCTCATTCGCCGTCATGTCGCTCGCCACCGAAGAACCAATCCCGGACGGCGGCGCCAAGAAGCGAATCATTTTATGCTGCGACGGCACCTGGTTCGACAGCGATGACGGCTTCAACAAGGCCTCGCGCAAGAATGAGGCTACTTTGCAAGTGGCTTCCAACGTCACTCGAATCTCGCGCTGCCTCAAGCGCCGATGCAGCGACGGCACTCTACAGATCATCAACTACGAGTCGGGCGTCGGCACTGGCAGCAACACCCTCGACACTCTCACCGGAGGTGCCTTTGGTTTGGGCCTGACACAGGTATGAAAGTTCTGGGTCATGTTTGCGTTGAGAGACGCGTATCTAATGCCTGTTTGTGATCAATTGCAGCGTGTCCGTGAGGCGTATGCCTTTCTCTGCGCCAACTATGCGGACGACGACGAAATTATACTCATTGGATGGTCTCGCGGCGCCTTCACCGTACGATCTGTCGCTGGCATGATCGGCAAGCTGGGTTTGCTGACCCGCGAAGGCATGGAATCCTTTGTTCCCGTCTTTAAGGACATGCAGCACTGGAAGGACGCCGCGTACCAGGACCCCTTCCCCAAGACGCCCTTTGAGGACAAGCCCACAGGCAACGGCGCCGCAGATGCGTACCGCGGAAGGTTGGAGACGCTGGGCCTCACGCGGGTCACGCAAGCAAACGGCGAGCTCATCAAGGTGAAGGCTATCGGCGTCTGGGATACTGTGGGCAGTCTGGGCATCCCCAGAATCGGCTGGCTCGACGCGCTCGGCATCCGAGCCGCCAACAACGAATAAGTCTCCTCAATGGCGCAACATTGTTAGAAGTGAATAAATACGCTGACCTAGAATTACATTCAAATGGCACGATACGGATCTCTCCGACCGCATTGAGCATGCGTTTCACGCCCTAGCTCTCGACGAGAACAGATCGCCATACTCACCGGCCGTATGGGAACGTCGACCAGAGAACAAGCTCACAACCGACCTCCGTCAGGTATGGTTTCCCGGCACGCATGGGAACTGTGGAGGCGGCGTTGAAGACGTGGGAATGGCCAATATCACCCTGGCTTGTAAGTCAAAGCAAAGCCCATCTTGCAGCATACATCCATCCTTCTTGCTAACAACCCTCGTTAGGGATGATGGATCAGATGGCCTCGGTTGGCGTGGAATTCCACGCGCCGTCTGCTCTGCGCATGATCTCACAGCAAATTCAGCAGTACGAAGCCAAGGCCGCCCAGCTCGCTGCCGCGGCTGGCAGGAGCACCCGCAAGCCGCCACCGCCGTGGGCCGTCGACGCCATCTTCCGTGCCAACGCGCCCGTGCGGCCGTGGGCCCTCGGCGCGCTGCAGAAGCCGCCGAGCGTCGTCGACTGGATCACCGGGCGCACGTCGCGCACGCCCGGTCAGTACCGGCAGGCTGACCCGCGTACCGGCGACGACCGCCGTGGCGCCTTCCTGCGCGACACCAACGAGCGCGTCCACAGCTCTGCGCGCGTGCGCCTCGCCTGCCGCGGCCTCGGGCTCAACGACCAGGGCGGCGTCGCCTGGGCCGCGCCCACGCTGACGCGCCGCTGGCGTCTGCGGCGCACCACGGCGCGGTACGAGGATCCGGTGCCGCGCGATCCGCTCTGGGACCCAGCGGAGGCCAGTGCCAGCGAGGTAGGGAGGAAGCCGAATGAGGAGCAAGGGGAGCGCTGGATCTGGGAGTACGTGGGCCCGGAGGAGGAGGCGCCGACGGAGAAGAGGCAGCGGATCATGGTGGAGGAGCCTCTTGGGCCGTACGAGCGCTTCTTGCTGAACCAGGTCGGTGGGAAGCCAAACGTATATGCTTTTGCCGAGGGCGGTGCGGTAAGTGGCCAGTTGTCGGGGAGTGTCAACGGACTCGAGCAGGACTCGGAGGCGGAGACGGAGACGGGGACTCCAGTGCAAAATACAAGATCTCCCAAGTAACACCGCTAGCTATAACTATGGCAGTGGTCTGTTCGATTTATTTAAATTCGTTTGATCTTTATCTATATTAACCTTTCATAGCTGCTGACTCTTGCTTGAAGCGTTCATCAAATAGCATGGTCATGAGTATTGTTGACGTGACACCCAATGAATACCTCACCCCGTTCACCAGGGCGGGAGAGGCTTACTGATGACGAGGAGAAAACCTTGCAATCATATTGACATTGCACGTATAATGCTCAGGAACGGTGTCTCAGCCACTACAGCTTATCAAGTGGTTAGCAGCCATGGACAAGCCGACCCCTAACATAGACCTGCACTATGTTTCGATCATCGCCCGTCATGATAAACTTTTCCAGCATCGTGCGCAGTGAATCAACTTCCTCGAGCGGTGCGGTGATGCCACCTCTGGCGGCGCTCACATCGACCAGTAGCGCGTCAAACTGCTTCCCGACCTGGAAGTTGCCCACCTCGTCGCCAAAGCCGACGACGCGCGCGCCGCCCACTGTCGCCATGTGAAAGGCCTCCTCCATCGTGACCGCCGCGGTCCCGTCGCGGGCGTCTAAAAAGTCGCGCGCAAATGAGTTGACCAGCGCGTGGCGCATCGCGTTGAGCATGGAGACGGAGTAGCCGCCGCCTGAGTCGGTGCCAAGGCCGACCTTGACGCCGCGGCGCAGCAGGTCTTTGATGCGCGCGGCCATGAAGCCGCCGCCGACCGTCATGTTGGCAGTCGGGCAGTGCGCGACGCCGCAGCCGAGGTCCTGCAGCCGCTGCGTCTCGTAGGGGGTCATGATTGTGCAGTGGGCGAGAATGGAGCGCGGGCCGAGGAGGCTGAAGTATTCGTACAGGTCGGCTTCATTGGTGAACTGTGGGAACAGGGACAGCGTGAAGGTCTTCTCCTGCTCAGACTCGTCAAAGTGCGTCTGGATGGCCATGGTCGGATGCTCGGCGGCGATGGCGCCCAGGCCGGTTAGCAGGGACTCGTCGCAGCAGATGGCGAAGCGTGGCGTCAGGACGTGGCGGAGGAGCTCGCCTTTCGGGTCGAGGCACTGGATGTGATGTATGCAGTCGCGCGTCACCTGGAGCGATTCCTCAACGCTGGCATCGACGTAAAAATCTGGAGCGTTACGAGCCATGTTGCACTTTCCTACCAGCGCCCGCTGGCCGTGCTCCAAACACACGTCGGCGAGAATCTTGGTGGCCTCGCCGTGAAGGGAGCCATAGTAGCTCGCGGTGGTGACGCCTTGACGTAGCATACCCTTGACAACCATGCGATACACTCTCTTGGCATGATTGGCGTCTTTGAATAGGGACTCATTATGAAAGGCAACCTGGTTAAGCCATTCCAGAATCTGGAGTCCCTGTCCCTGCCCTCGATGGAGCCACTGCGGCGCATGGTTGTGCGTGTCGACGAAGCCTGGCATGATAAACTGCCCTTTCTGCAACGTTGTGAAGCTGATTCCGAAAGCACTGAGCGCTTTCAGTCTTTCGGGCACTTTTTCGCTCTGCACGTTTGCTTCGAGGGCGACGATGGTACCATAGTCGTCAACGACTAGCAAGGCATTTTCGAGGATGGTAATTTCATCCAAGCTTGTGGAATGAATAACGGTTCCATAAAAGATCTGGCTGAAGACGTTTCTCGACATTCTGAAATGCCTAGAATTGTAGTCTGTTGCTAATGTTCTGAGGAAAACCAGGCTCTAGGCGTTTGTAGGAGAAGGCGGTGGTGTAATAGCAAGGTAGTGACCTGGGGTGGGGTAACACATCTTGCCGTGTTGGGTAGCAGCGTTACATTGTAGAGCCTGGTTTCTGGTATGTAACTCGGCCGGAATTATTCGGTGAAGCAAGAAACAAAATGCCTTTTGGGAAGCGGGATTAAAATACCAGCAGATGATAAGGGAAAAAAGTCGCCCAGGACGCGCTCAAGATGAGATCGGTATAGTGGAGCTGCTGCCTGAAGTGTGGCGCAACATGTCCCTGTAAAGTGGCTGCCCTTGGCGCCCATAGCGTCACGTGTTAGGAGCTTGAAGGTTTGTCTTTTTCACTTTCAACGCTGCTTCAACACAACATCGGAAGCACGGCGGACACACATCCAAGCTAATCTTCAGCGCAGAATTGCGGGAGCTGTACGCATAAACAGCTCAGAGGGCTTGTCCGAGCCGGGGTCCAAAACTGCTGCCGCTGCCATCCTTTCCATTCGAAGCATTTCACGCCAAGTCAACATCATGAGCGACGAAAACAAAGATGTGCTGCGCTTCGCAGCCGAGTACGCGGAGAAGAACGTCGACCTGTACGACCTCCTCGGCGTAGATGCCCTCACGTCAAAAGACGACATCCGTCGTGCCTGGCGCAAGCGCTCGCTCAAGTACCACCCCGACAAGGCCGGCGACAACTTCGACCCGGAGAAGTGGGAGTTATTCGAGCGAGCGCGCGATATCCTCGCCGACGACAACGCACGTGCAACCTACGACGCGTCCATGAAGGCCAAGCTGCTGCGGCGGCAGGAGCGCGAGGCTATGGACAAGGAGCGCAAGCGATTTGCCGACGACCTCGAGGCGGCCGAGAACGCCGCGCGCCAGCAGCAGCAGGCCAAGCAGCAGCGTGACACGGAGATGCTACAAAAGGAGCGCGAGAGGCTGGCGGAGCTGCAGCGAATGCGCGACGAGGAGGCTGCGCGCCAAGCCCAGGCCGCACAGGAGATGGACGACATGGTGGAGGCGCGCCGTCGCCTCAAGGAGCGGAAGGAGGAAAAAGCAAAGAGAAGGGAAGCCAAAGAGCGGATGAAAGCCAGCTCTGTGTATAACAAAAAGGCTAAGGGTCCCGCAAATGGTGCCGTAGATGTGCCAGGTGACTTCGTTATCGAGATTGATGGCGGCCGGAAGATGTACTGGGAGCTCGTTTGCGACAAGCTCCGAGCACGGCAGGCAATATCCGACATGGGCAAGGAGGAGAAGCCAGATCCACATGACGCCATGGACGCACTACAACAAATCATGACTACAGCCAAGCAGCGAATTTACGATGCTGAGCTAGCATATCAGCGCGAAACCGGAACAGCCTGAAATACTTTTCAACTCTTTTCTCGAAACACGCGGCTATCTACTCGACCCTAAGATTCAAGACACGAATAGCATTCACACCCAAGACAACAGCCGCATCTCTGGAGCCCCTCCCGAGGGCTTCATTTATGGCCTGGACATTCAAACTGGAACTGTCCCAGGGACCTTGTACGTCCTCCTCAATCGGCGGGAAGAATGGGTGGTCAGTACCAAACATGAGTCTATCGGCCCCGCTCGCCGCAATCGCGGCCTGAAGGCCAACCTCGGAGTAAATGACAGCATCAAGGTATATTTGCTCCTTCAGCACAGTCCAGATTGTGCGGCGGTCCTTGGGCACCTTGCCCGTCGTTACCAGGTGTCCATCATGAACGATGCAGCTCTCGATGCGGCCAGCGAGGAATGGCAGCGTGCCGCCGCTGTGGGCCAGGAGCATCCGGAGGTTGGGTACTTGGTCGAAGACGCCGGCCATGTACATGCGCGCGACGGCAATCGTGGTCTCCATGGGGAATCCCAGCGCGAGTGGAAGCACGTGGCCGTACTCCTCCGCGCGGGGGCCGTACACCTCGTTGGGCAGGCCGTAGTGCGGGTGGAGGAAAACGAGAAGTTTGGCGTCGGCGACGGCGTTGAAGAGGGGCAGGAGGCGGGGGTCGTCGAGGCCTTTGCCGAGACCAGAGGTACCGAGGATGATACCACGGCAGTACTTGAGACCCTGGACGTGCGCGATGGCGGCCGTAATGGCGTCCACGGGTGCGCTCAGGGGCAGGGCGGCGAAGAAGAAGAGGCGGCCGGCGTGCTGGGCGCACATCTCGGAGAACTCGCTATTGACCGAGGCGGCCACGACTGTGGCCTCGGAGGGGTCTAGGAAGTCGAACCACGGGTTGGCGAGGGAGATGACGGAGATGTTGATGCCGTTGGTGTCCATGAAGTGCAGCTTCTGCGCGAGCGAGGCAAAGTGCGTGCTCAGCGGGCGGCCGGGCAGCTTGGCGGCGGCATCCCGGAGGGCGGCGTCGAGGGACTCGAGCTCAGATGAGAGCAGGATGAGGCGCGGCTCATCGGCCTGAGGGAACTTGCGGATGAGGGGGATGGCGGTGCGCTTCTCGAGCATGGCGATGTAGGAGGGCGGATACATGTGGGTATGGATGTCGACAACGGGGGTCCCGGATGCCATTGTGGTTGTTTGTGCGGAGGGTCTTCTGAGGTGGTGTTTCTGGTAGAGTTGAATGAGATCTCGCAAGAGGGGGAGGACAGTGTACGTATGCTGATGAGAGGTGATCATCGATGGCAGCCTCCGGGTGGTGTATTGGTATGTCCAGATAGTTAGTTAGAGAATCCCCACTCGATGATCAGGCTGAGTGGAGGCACAGGGACTGTCAACCGGCTTTTCCACATGTTGACGTGGATTATCAATTCTACATGGAGACAATTCTACATGGAGACAATTCTACATGGAGACAATTCTACGTAGAGACAATTCTACATGGAGGCTAATCAGAAGAGATATTCCGTGTTTTACGTCATTTCCATTCGCTTGTCCCACTGAGAAAGAGATTGAAGCGGGGGACTGATCGTTGCCACTTGCCTGCAGGGCCAGCTGTCTTGCAGGTACTTTTGATGTTGCGAATGAGACACACAGATGCAATACGAACCCGCTCGGCCTTTTCCGATGCTAAGAAAATGATGGCTATGCAGGTGTCGCACGTGTCAATCAGTTGCGAAACTCGTAGTAGTTACCTACCTACTTGGAGCTTGGAGCTGATTACCCCTCATCGACACCTTGGGGGGGTAATTCAGGTGGCTATTAGTGGCTACTTTTTAGTGGGCTACAGCGGACGACAGCAGGCTGCAACGGGCTACAGTGGGTTTCGATCGACTTTCAGTGGACTGCCTGGCTGCCTTTTCCGGCTTTGAATCCAGTGGCGATTGATTGGGTTGCCTCTTAGACTCACCAGATAGACCTGAATAAGTTGAAGGAAGCGTATAGTCCGGTTCTCGTCCTGTTCTTGAGGTTACATTTACGTTGAGTAACCAACCCTTGTCATGATCCAGGCCAGTCTCTTGATAGCTGCAGAGGAATGGTCATGCCGTTGATAACATAAGCTGAAGCCGAAGCCCGCATCGAAACAAGACATAGACAGTGCATAGTTGATAACAGCATCTTCATCAAGTGGCACGTTGCACTCTCTTACCATCATTACAGAACCAAATACCAATCATCTCATTCATCACATTTCGCCTCTCATCATGAGTGTCGAAGCCGCCGTCCAGGACGAGGGGCTCGTTATCCCGGTAACCCCTCGCACTCGCCCTCCCCCCCCCCGGTTCTCGCTCACCCCCTCCGAGCGCGCCGACACCGCCGTCGCCATCCTGCGCGGCTTCCAGACGGCCGGCTTCATCTACCTGCGCTCTCCGCCGTCGCCCGCGCCCTCCGCCGTGCGCGACATCTTCGCCCGCTCTGCCGCCTTCTTCGCCCAGCCGCTCGCCGACAAGCTCGCCCTGAGCCTGACCGACGCGGCCGCCAACCGGGGCTACCTCCGGCAGGGCCGCGAGCGGCTCATCCCCGACGGCGGCGATGGCAACGTTCCGGATGTGCTGGAGCTGAAGGAGAGCCTCGAGATTGGCCGCGAGCCGCACGAGAGCTTCCGCAACCACTGGCCCGCAGAGGCGGCGCTGCCGGGGTTCAGGGAGGAGGCGATGGCATTCTTTGAGACGTGCAAGGGGCTGCACGTGCAGGTCATGAGGGCTGTCGCGGTCGGGATGGGGCTAGAGGACAGGCATTTCGACGGCTATGTCGACAAGGGCGACAACACGCTCCGCCTGCTGCACTACCCGGAGGTCAAGGCGGACGTCTTCAAAGCCAACGCCGGGCAGGTTCGGGCCGGCGAACACTCTGTAAGACTACACTCTCCCACCCACACACGCGCGCGCATCATCTCTCTCTGGGTGTGCCGCACTACTAACACCAACAACGCAGGATTACGGCTCTATCACGCTGCTCTTCCAGGACGACCGAGGCGGCCTCCAAGTTCGCTCGCCCTCGGGCAGGTTCGTCGACGCAACGCCCATCCCGGGCACCATCGTCGTCAACGCCGGCGACCTGCTCGCGCGCTGGAGCAACGACACCATCAAGAGCACCGTCCACCGCGTCGTCGAGCCCCCGCACGCTGCCGATGTCGACGTCTACCCGCCGCGGTACAGCATCGCATACTTTTGCAACCCCAACTCGGATAGCCTCATCGAGGCCATGCCGGGCACCTACGCCAACGAGTCAGATAAGAAGTACGGGCCGATCCTGAGTGGCGAGTACCTGATCCAGCGACTGGCTCCGACCTACTAGCGGCGGACCGATCTGAAACAACCAATTTATGTAACTCGTGCCTTGTGTAACTGATACGTAATTTGACTTCGCTTTCATTCCTATTTGACTTGGCGTCTCGCTCTTCGTCTTGGTCATGTACCCTTGCACCCGTAACTAAAGCGCCAGTGGCGCCCACTCCCTCGTACGAAACCAACAACGCTCCAGATCACTCAGGCAGAACTTGTAACAAAATAGCTTATAGTTATGTCTGCCATTTCAAATAGTGTCTTGTGTTCAAGCGCTTGATGCCAGCCAAGCATTGCCGCCGAGGTTGCATCAAGAAAGTGGCGGCCAGCAGACAGAGTGCCTTTTTGACTCTTGAACGTTGTGTGATTTATTCAAGGCTTTCAGCTAGGAGTATCAGAGGAAATGATGAGATTTTATCTGTTTTTAGTCCGCTCTTGACAGCTGTCTTGATATGTGCGTATTTACAATGCCTAGTCTCGGCTCCTCACAGGCAAAGTTGCCCCGTGTAATATCCTCCAGCTGGAAATTGCCTTGCCCGCCGAGCCTGCACTAGATACGGTCGACTCCTTGGTCCTGTCGCAAGAAATTAGGACGCTGCTGTGAGTCCTTGATTGGGGAAGATCTCTTGAAGGGGTATATATCTGTCAAGGACAAGGAGGTTGAGGAGTTTGGGAAGATGACCGACTAGCAACGGAGACTTCGCTTTCTCGGATACTTTTGATGGTCTCTTTGGCGATCTTTATTTTTTTGTCTTTTGAAACAGGGTAGGCAAGATTGAGCTCTCTCGAGAAAGAACTCCAGGGGTATCGTCGCTACTCATTATCCCACATCGGTTCGGCGTCCGAGGCAGTCGATGCCGCATACAGGAGCTCCCAGTTTCTGCATTTTCTCTGACCCATTCCGTGAATGTATCGTCTTCCGTCAGGAAACTGCTTCGGACGCTCAATTGTCGAGTCGGCCAGACACAGCATTGTCTGGCGAGTACGTTGATCAGTTTCGGGGGTTGCTCCACTGTACATTTTGGTCGCTTACCTGTCGCAAGTAGTCAAAGCAGTGCATAACGTGTTCCTCATCATAATGAGCTGCTCTAACAATGCTCGTAGCAGCAGCATTACTATACGTGCGCCTCTTCTGGTGAACTTGGATGTCTCCGAAATCGCTCGTGTTTAGCGTCTCGATCATCTGGTGCAAGTGCTGCATTCCCTCCCGGATCATGCTTAGACAATGCAGCTGATGAAACATGGATATTCCAACCTTATCGGGGCCGCTCGCCTTGTTGTACCTTGCCAAGTATCCGCCGTTGGGTGGTAGCAGATTATCTTTCCATAGCCAGTCAAACTGGTGATCGAGGCTTGTGTAGTTGTGGTGTCGCGAGAAGTCAGCGACACGCAAGCTAGAGCCGACCTCGTGATGCAGGTCGGTAGTCTTCTTTCTGAAATTCACGAGGTGCTTTGATTTGGACAAAAAATTGATCGACTCATAGGTAAAGGAGATGATACAAAGAATAGCGTATACTGTGCCAATAATCTTGCAGACATTCCATCCCCGGTGCTTTGAGAGTTCGCTCGGCGGATTCATAATGGTTTATTAGCGATGCAAGCTTTGGGAGAATCTTGAGATATTCGCTGCGGAGTTGGTTTGATGGAAGTCAACGCGACTGGGAGGTTTTCGGCGCCGCGACATGCCTGGCCATGGTTATAAACGAGCCTTGCATCAAGCATTAAGCCGACCCTGTGATGTCATTTCACCCCGTAATCGGATTAACGCCTTTTGAGATGAAAGGCGTATCTTGAGGCCTTGGATAATATTCTATTAAGAGACAATTTGAGAGACAATTTTTGACTCTCGCGCGACTGAATTATTTAGTAATAGTCGGAGTGAGACTTGCATCTTGGACGAAAGATGCTGTTGCGAGTGAGTGATGGGGAGACGAATCTGGTAAGAGGAGAATCCTACCACTTTTTGGCAAAGGGCTGGGATTGAGAAGTATTAGAGTCTCATCACGCTCTTTTAATAACGCTTTACATTGAAGAACTTGAATTCTTGGTACAACAGAGACTTGCGCGTACTGGCCCCGGAAGGCCTCGGTCACTGGACCGGCTCCGACGAGGCCGGCGGGAAAGTCGGTAAGTATCATTCCCTCTCCAAGACGAAAAACCATGCGGCAACTAACAGTGCTCTTCCCTTGCAGTCGTTCTCGTCTTCGACCCGACCCGCTGAATGAAGAACCTGCAAACCAAAGAATGCACCCCCTCGCTGACGTTTATGCCCCGCGCCATGGAGATCGAGAGCTACTCGGAGGAGGAGCTCTGGCGCAGCGCCGGCCCCGAGGAGACGTACCTGGACCCGCCGCCGCCGCCCATCTCGAACAAGCAGATCAAGGCGCAGAAGAAGGAGGCGACCAAGCAGAACCTCAAACACAAGCGCGACACGTTGCGGAACCGCTTCCGCCGGAGCAAGGCTCGGGTCGACGACCCCTCGCTCCCCGAGGAGTCGCAGGACCAGAGCGACGACAACGACGACGGGTCCAAGTCGTCGTACACGAGCGCGCAGCTGCGCGAGGAGTACGAGAACCCCAAGCCGTACTCGCGCGACCGGGCGTTTGCGCGCAAGTACGGCCTGTCCACGCCGGAGCTGGTGCTCCGGCGGCTGCGCGCGCTCTCGCCGGCCGAGGTCGCCGCGGACGGGGACGCGCTGATCGGCTGGACCGCCTCGACGGGGCCTTTAGCGGCGCGCTATTCGCGCAGCTCGTCGAGGCGCTCGGCAACTCGGTCCCGCAGAGCCTGTCGTGGATACGGTGCAGCCTGCAGGAGCTGGGCGAGTGGGTGGTGCATCTGCAAGCCTCCTCCGCCGCCAAGGCCGCCTCTTCTTCCACGTCCACGACAGATTCCACCGCCGCCACCGCCACCGCCGTCGCCGCGGAGGAGGAGGAGGATGTGGAGCCGGCGCTGCTGGTCGCGAATGTCCAGGCGCTGCAGGCCAGGGCCGAGTCGACGCTCACGATGCTCGCCGCGTCCATGGGCCTCTCGCAGTCGGCCCTCGTCATCAACCAGACGTCCGGCATCAACAAGCTCACCGAGCTCGCCTTCTTCTTCGTGCCGCTGTCCTTCGTCACGGCCGTCTTCTCCATGCAGGTGCGGGAGCTAACTCCTGACGACCTACCTGATCCGGATCCTGCTGCGGTCGCCGTCGGTGCGCGTCGGCTTGCTGCACTGCCGCGCCACCATCGTCAACCGCTTCGCGTCGTCCCGGACGAGCGGCCGCGGAGCACCGGCTGCACACGGTCGGCAACCGCGCCGTCGCCAAGTTCGTGCTCTTCTTCGCGGGACGTGACCGTGGCGGTCTTCGCCATCGCCTTCCTGCTGTTCGCGTGCCTGGGCCTGTGGCTGTGGGCCCGTGGCTGGGCGCGGCAGCGACGACGCTGTACTTTATCGTGACGCAGTGGCTGGACCCCGCGGTGCTGGTGCCGTGCTTCGTCTCGTTGCCTGTGGCGGCGGCGGGCATGTGGGCGGCGTGGCTGTGGGCGGAAGAGCTCGGGGACTGGACCAACGAGGTCATGATCAAGGCCGCGGACGGCCTGGCGTCGAGGTTTCCGGAGAAGTGGCGGCTGGACAGCGTGGCTGACGATGATTTATCAAGAGAGGGCGTCAATCGTATACCAGACAAACAATCACCTTGGCAACTTGAATGAGCAAGCTATATCCAAGGGTTATCAAATCCAGTTCATGCATGGTCTCTTATGCGGCGAAGAAAAGCAACAATAAGCCTTCCATGACGTTTTCCTTCCCGCTATATGTGTATTTACTCATCATGGCACTTTTTAACCCGAATTCTACTAGGAGTTCAGTGGTCAAAGTTCAAATCGATCGAGATACGGACAGCCTCGCCACATCGCCTGAACAGTCGGGAACCCGATGGACCTCAGCCGGATGGAGCTGACCTGCGACATTGTTCGCATGTTTCACTTTTCAGCTGTACCGGCATTGCGACGTGTTGGGTGATCGATCATTTCTGTGAGATAAGAGTGCGCATTTTCTGGCATCCGTACTGCGCCGTTTCCCATGCTTCGGACAGATGCTTGTACTGGAACCGCGCAGTATGATGAGCCCCCCCCCCAACTTGGCAATCGGAAAATTCAATAGATGGGTAGATTCCGGTGCGGCAACTCTAGTGTTATGTGAGAACTTACACTCGGGTCCTCCCGACAGCCATTAATTAACGCCACTCCATGTGAATACAGTGAGGGCAACTATGCTACCGCTGTTCTGTTTGGCCACCTACTGGTAGAGTCAATTGCTGAAGCTAGTCACAGAATCCGCAGCTGTGCATTTGAGCATACTGTCATGTGAATCTTCTCTTCAAACTGCATTTGGGCGGGTGGGACGACAAGATGGCGGCCATGACCTGGTCAAGCCCACTCCCCAACCTGCCGCATATAGGAACCTCGCCTTGCCATCCTACCAGGACTCGACGGTTTCCTTCCTTATTCGCTCAAAGTTTCCTTCTTCGCTCAGAGTTCCAATATGAGCAATACATCGGAGTTACTTCAGCTTCCTCTTTGGAGGCCCGACGCTGACGCCCAAGATGCCAGCCAAGCGGAAAGAATTGCACTGTCGTATCAGCGCGCTCGGAGCGTGGCCCAGCACATCGGAATGACGGCCCAAGACATTACGACCCTCAGTCCGAAGTTTTGGAATTATCACTGAAACTGTACGTCACTATTGTAACCGCGTCGCGCATTGATCACCGCTAACATGGACCAAACATGCGCCAAGTCATTGGGATTGCCGATACCGCCGCCCTCACGACTCTCATCATTCACTGGAATCTTTGCATGGGGACCATTGCTTCATACTCCGCGGACCGGCCAGATCTTATGCTCATCCTAGAGGAACTTCAAAGTTTTGACGCCGTAGGTGAGTTCATGCTGACGGAAGTCGGCCACGGCCTCGATGCCCGGAGCCTCGAGACGACCGCCACTCAGCTGCAGGACGGGTCATTCGACCTGCACACGCTGAAGGTGACAGCAGCAAATGCAATGCCGCCAGCAACTCCGTATTCCAGCATGCCTCGCATCGCCGTCGTATTCGCTCGACTCGTGGTTGGCGGCGAGCAGCGAGGCATCCAACCGTGCGTCGTGCGCCTCCACGACGCCACCACGATGGCACCAGGCATCACCTCTCGCCTGCTTCTTTCCAGACCCGGCGCCAAGGTCGTCGATCATACCGTCACCACCTTCACGCACGTGCGCCTTGACGCTTCCGCCTCCTCGGCGGCAGCCTTGACGCTCCGCAAGACGAGCGCCGGGGGTTCTTGGACCACATCCACCGCGTCACCGTCGGCACCCTGTCCATGTCCCTCCTTCACATCCCGGGACTTCGCGTCAGCGCCTACGTGTTGGGTCGATACAGCCAGCGGCGGTGCGTGGCCGGGCCTGGACCCGGTAATCAGAATCCCATCGTGTCCTTTTCGACGCAGCACACGCCCATCCTCACAGCTCTCACCTGCGCCTCTGTGTTCGACGCCTTTGCGACAGCCACGATAGCTGAATTCATGGAGGCCTCCTCGCAGCAGGTCCGCTCCGCGCTGGCTACTATATTCAAGCAGACCGTCACTCACACCACCAAGCCGCTCTATACCGAGATGGTCGAGAGATGTGGCTGGCAGGGGCTGTACAATCACAATCAACTTCAAGAGCTGGCATTAGCAGTGCAAGGGACTTCGATAGCAGAAGGGGATATTCTGGTTCTCTGCATACGTAAGTCTGCGCCATGTTCTTCCTGTTGCGAATATGCTCTCCAACGCTCGCACGTACAATATAGGACTTGCATCAGAAGTACTCCTTGGACGGTACAACCTTCCCGAAGCCAAGGACCCTACTAGTCTCTTGGCCCAGCATGAGCTCGGTATATGTGAAGAGGCCCGCCAGCTCGCCATGGCAGCGATGACAAGCCAAGGAAGCAATCGAAATGAGGAGTTCAACACGATGATCCTCCCTCGCGTTCGAAAGCTAGTCCTCGCGACCGGGCAAAGAGCAGCCTACGAAGCAGCAGTCGCTTCGGGCACGATGATGCCGGCAATGCTGGGGCTTTATGAAGCAAGTTGCATCCTGGAGGATCCCAGCTGGTACGTCAAGAAGGCGGGACTCGCGTCTGCAGATGTATACAGACGCCACGCTGAAGCCGTACACGAACTGTTGCCGAGTCTGGACGCGCTTCTACAGAACACCGGGGGCGAATCTTGGGCAACCGCTCCTATACTCGAGGAAGCAAGTTGGTTGGATTTTATCCAGCGTCTTCCGACCTTCCGCAGTGAAGACAAGACCAATGCCCAGGGGAAGAGAGCAGCTGGGCAAGGCGAGATCAAGTGGCGCTTATAACCGCTTCACGCAGGGTAACTGTGGTTGCTGTTCTTACCCATCAATGCACTACCAACTTTTTAGTGGTTTATTGTGTACGTTGCTGTTAATTGCCATCTTTGCGGTGCCTCGCGGCCGTCTTCTTGCTGCCTATTCTTCGATCATCTTGGTGACAAGTCATGACAAGATACCCTAAAGTTGTCTATCCATGGCACCTTGCCAACCTCCTCTCTCGATTTCACAGGTCGGGGTGATTGAAACCGCCGCTACCGAACTCACTGATGAAAGAGAAACAAGCGCTAAGAACGAACATTATGCAGTTTGCTTGATAAGGTAGCAAGGTGACGATGAAACCTGCGTCCATCAAGTTCGGTTCCCGCCACCGGTAAACCGTGCTCTGATTGGGTATTGCAGACCGTGATGAGGAAACAAAAAAGAGGACAAAGCGGGTGTTGCAGGTTGGCATTCCAACTTGAGACGAGCGTAGGCTGTGTCGTAGATTCGCTCTAGCTCAAACTCACTATCAATCCGTGCCCATTTTTCGATATATCAGATAGTTAATCTTGAAGGTGACAACTACGAACTTGACGCAACGGCGCTGAAGAGATAGAGAAAAAAAAGCTTCGACCATGCGGAGAAGAAGGCATCATTCAATCGTGCATGACGAGTCGTTTCCGAGTTTTTGGTGCAGCTCTCCCCTCCCCTTCCCGATGTCAATGGAGAAGAAGAGATCTAGACCCTCAAGTTTCGGATTTCTGCGCACCGACATCAAGGTGTCATTTGTCAAGAAATACTCGAAGAAGAAAAAGCAAACTGCTCTATGCCTTAAAAGAGGACTTTATGCAAAACACACAGAGCTCGGATCCCCTCTTGCCGCAAACTCGCTAGAACAACGGGCGCGGGAGGCAGCTGGGTCTTGAAGAGGGGACGGGGGAGGGTCTTGGTCTTGTAACAACTAACAAGAAGCTCTCTGGCGGCGGCATTCCGGAGCGGCTTACCCGCGGGAGAGGCCGGAGGTCACCGGCGGCGGCGCTCTCCCCTCCCAAATCGGAATTCCTGGGCGTTCGCGTCGCGTTGATGCTGCTTCCCCCCCTGACTCGACAAGGTGCTGCTACGGTCATGCGATTCCCGCCGGCTTGACTGACTCTTGGGTTCAGAGGAGAAGAGGTAAAAAAGACAGGGCATCAATCAATGCGTGCGAACAAGGGAGCATTCACTGTCACTAAAGATGAATCAATCCTGTGACAAGCCTGCCATGAGAGAAGCTGATTACGTAACTTGGGAAGGCGTCCGTTCTATTCGTAGATTTGACTCTCGTGTATTCTTCAAATGCAGTAGGTGAGCACTATTTTCTGCGCCGACCTGGACGGACTTGGAAAGGACTGGAGATGTCCAGTTTCAACGAGCAATCGCTGCTGTTTCAGATGGTCTTTTGCCGCACGCCTCCATCCATATCTACCCATGGCGGCGAGGACAAGCCCGATGGCTCAGAGAGGCCCGCATGAAGTGACTACTGCACAGAAGCAGATTTCCGCGGGCGGCAGATATGTTGTAGTTAGACTTGTTGCCTCCATCTCCGTGTACTTCTCAGGTCAAACTGGCTAGTTAGCCTCTTGCCCGTGGCGGTGGCGATGATCGTTCCCAACCCCTTCCCGCCAGGGCCGGCGAGACGGCATCAGCCCCGCGCAAGAGTGAGCTTGGGAATGTGGTCTTGCATGAACAAGCCATAGTCTGGATGAAACCCTTTGGGAGTGCGCTCTGGGGTAGAAGGAAAAGCTGGGTGAGAAGAGGCAAGGCCAAGGTTGGAAACAGTCATGAAACCGCACGAAGAGTTCTGAAACCTGGCGTCCGTCTTTTGGTCGGCTACTTCTCCTCCTCCCAGCCGCCCTATTTTTTTTTCTTCCTCTTCCTTCTCGCAATCGGCCTTTTTCCTTCTCAAGGCACCCACAATGTCCATTTTTCTTTTTCTCTTGTCGTTACCCGCGCCTTCTGCCGAATCTGATGACCCCATCCATCTGTGGCTCGCTCGTTCCTTGGAAAGAAGAAACCAAAACACGGGCGCCATGGATAGCGCTCATGCGAGCGTCGTGAGAATCTGGGCTCAAATCTGCGCCTTTGTTCATTTCGTCGTCCCCTTTGCTTTGGTCTCTCTTTTTTGTTTCTTATACCCGTCTTCTAATCCACACTCACAGCGCTAATTCTGTAGATGTAGATATGATGGAATGTCACTTCGGCCAAGAGTGTGTGAGTGAGCGTGCGCGCGCAGACGTCTTCACATGAATGAATGATGAATGAGTCGTGTCCAGTCCGGTCCCCGCAAGCCGCCAGGGTCGTCGAGATGAAGATTCTTCATGCACCCGACGCACGGCCGATTCTAAAGTTGTGCATTGCATTATTATATGCATCTCTTGGCCTATGCTGCTATTTACAGTGTAGCACCCCGTATTATGACAGTGCTGGTATGTTGTCTCCTACGCTCTTATAGGTGTCTGTTGGTCAGTACTAGCTTTCACAAAGCCAACAGTGCCGCTACCTTTGCCTGCGTAAACTGTATCTGTCCTCTGCCAAAAACGGCCTACTAATATTTACACGCTCCGTGCCGCAGTCTTCTATTCTTGGACCAACATGCTACACTGCCTCGGTGAGATGGATGCCTGCCTGTGCGGCCTCCTGGCACCCACCACAGAAAGACCAAGCTTGTTTCATATCTGGCGATGATGGCGGCAAAGTAGAACAGCCATCGAGTTGTCTTCAGAGGCCGAACAAATAGCCAATGATCTTTCTCCAGCCGGAATCCCGCATCTATGTGGTCTAGGGAGACGAGCGAGGCCCGACCCAGGCCAGCGGGTTGTCGTGAAACCGCTTGGCAGCCAGTCCAGCTCAATACCCGCACCGGCCGCTGCCTTTTCTTGCTCGCGCTCTCTCTTGGTTCTGCAACTCCCCGACCCTCGTTCCCTGAGAATGGATCTGATCAGCATTCGTCGACCGCCGACGTCGACGCATCCAAGCGTCTCCGATTGGCGAGCAAGAGAAAGCCGAAACACTAGATCACACGCCCCCCCCCTCCCCCAATTGGGCGACTTGATACCTTCTGCCGCCGTTAGTCTAGTTATCATGCTTTGCCGTCTTTTTCGTCCAAACTATCGCCCAGCTATAGCAAGGACTTGGTAATGGTTCATGCCGTCATTTGCCTGGCCGGCGTTTTGGCGCCCTTGGACGCCCGCGATGGGGAGGGAAGGGGACTTGTTGAGTGGGTGCATGAAGAACAGAACAATGGGGTCGAGCTGCCAGCTTCCCATCAGCTCTCTCCTTGTCAAATTTGAAACTACAATCATGGCGGCAAAAGAGAAAGAGCTTCTTTTCGAAACCTCCCAGTGTCCGTCCGTTTACCCTCGTCACCGGCGCTCTCATCACTCCCTCCGTCCTTGGCTCGACTCGCAAGGGTCTTTTTATCTGGCTGGCCATGCCATTTCCTGTTTCACGTGAAACAGATCAGCCGGTGTTCACCTTGGTTGTAGCTATTTCGAACAATGCGGCGTCGTCAGATGGCTTCTATTGCTGGGATCAAGCCGTTCATTGGACATGTCGAGGCAAGCCCCCTCCCTCGCCGGGGAGAGGCCCTGTCGCCATGTTGCGCAACAAGTGCACTTTGATAGCAAGATGGATTGATCGCCTGGCATCGACTTGCTCGGGGTAACACTGCAGTTTCGCATCGAGTTCTTGACATGCACCCGAGTTCTCGGATTGGATGGTATTAGCGCCAACAGTGAAGTAGGGCGTCATCGTATGAATTCGTCATCTTGCAAGAGATATACTGCATATTAATCTGCAGAAAACAAGTTGTGATACATGATTTCACACAAAAAAGAATGCTCTGCTCGGGACCTGTTTTGAGCTGGCATATTGATGTCGATGTTTGCTTTGCACAATTTGTAAAACTACCCGTACAAACGTCATTGATGCACCGCCGCAATGTGACGGAATGAAATGCAGGCATGGACGAAATCTGCACAAAAAAGCCATGATAATAAAGGCAAGAAAGAAAGCCACAAAAGCCCTCTTTTGTGTCAATGGACGAATACGCGTCGATCCAAGTTGCTGTTTCAGGTTGACAGCAGCCAGTATCAGCGGTCACTCTTTTCTCGGGCATACTACATACGACGACTGAGAGGCGAGATTTCGGGAATTGAACGCGAGCCGTCCGTCCCCATGGTGGGCTGGCCGGGGTTTTGCTGCGAGTCATCCGCCAACATCAATCACCAAGGGAGAGTGAGAGAGGCTGGCTGGATTACCGACGAAACGGGACTCCCTCCCCCCAGAGGACCGGCCGCAAGACGAGGTCGTGGTTGTTAACAACCTAGTTGGAGCAGTCGCGCTCCTTCGGCGATGAGCCATGCCAGATACAGTGGCATCGCCGGTCGCGTGTGGCGTGACTTGCGGCCGTCCTTTTTTTGCGGCGACGCTGCTGTCAGGGACCGGATGCATTGCCTAGTTGGGAGTTGACCAGGGGGGGGGATGAAGCCTACGATGGGTGGGGGAGAGAGAGAGAGAGACAGAGACAGAGAGAAAGAAAAAGGAAAGGAAAGGAAAATGGTGAAACGACATCGATGTACAGTAGCGTAGAATATGGATACAGGGAAGAAAAAGAGGGAGACTGGGCCATCTCATCTGGGCGGCAAGCAGGGAACCACCAGCCTCGAGCTCCCACAGCTCAACTACTTGCCTGGCTGTAGGTCGTATGGTCGCGCTATCGCAGCTCCATACTCCTCTCGTTCACTTGCTCTCTTCTCCCCTCCTCGACTTGAGCCGGCGCCGCGACTGTGCCCTATTCCTCTGTGCGCCGCGATCGCAATCTCGCAACCCGTTCGCCGACTTGCCATCTAGTTTACATACGGATAAGACGTACGGGGATCGCAAACGGTGGCCCCCCCTTCCTTCCCTCTCCCCGCAAGCGCAAGGCTAGGCTAGACAGAAGGAGAGAAGGAAGAGCATTGTTCCCTTTCTTTCCATGTCTCACTTTT